GCATTGTTCTTTGATGTCCCTGAGAGTCATCACCATGCTCAATCCATACATTAAGAACTCGAATGATCATAATATCAGTATAAGCACCCACACGTAGACCACGAAACACCATGCATGTGGAAATTGGGTCTGATACAAACGAAAGACAAAGAAAAACCCCAAAACTTCACACCTCGACAGTGTTCATTCACAAACCAATAAACAGAAACATGAAACAGTAAGCAACAACGTCGATACCTCGTGGAAGAGTTGGAAGTTTGAAATCACGTGGCATTATACAACGATGCCTGATATGGAAAGATAATGGAAGATCAAAAATTTCTTCAAGTGTCAAGAAACAGAAACAGAATGCAAAAGGGAAAACTATCGGCGAGCATACCCCATTGAATACACGACTGTCCCTGATCTAGAATTCGCGAAGCACTGTAGTTCGTGGGAGGAGAAGTTCAGAGAACAGGGGAAGTTAAAAGACAGAATCAGAAGCGAAATAAAAAATCGGTGGAAGTTGGTCCCCAAAACGTTTTCGCATCACCATTATAAAATACACAAATTGAATATTAAATGGGCTGTTAACTGTTCCCCTAATGGACCGAACAATTATAGAATGGGCTTCCCAAAAGCCATAGAAACTTAATATAAGCACAAAGTCATCTCCTATTGGGGCTAAATATGAGAATACTGGGCCCAATTCATATATCCACTTATGTATCGTAAAAGAGGGCCCATTATTTATATTTTTCTATACGCGGCCGGGCTTGAAGCAAATTGAGTATACACAAATGTTTCATTCGAGGACACTTTAATCATGTATCCGTAGTTTGTTATTGTTTATTCATTTGTAACATTGTCAATGGTCTAAGTGATACCACACAATTAAATTAAAGTTTGCTCTTGTTGTATATTTAGAACATGAGCTGTATTCGGTTCCTCGTTCATGGTTATGTTCCTCAAATTTGGTGCTGTTAGGGTCAGTTTTTCTGATATTTAGATGACTATCCACAGGCATCTATATTAGGCAACAGATTGGAACATGTCAAATTTCAAATCAAAGTAGTGGCTTCCACCTGCAATTTATTGTTAAAATAAATAGCAACGATTAACTGGTTGCTCCTCTTTTGTTGCATACATTCTAAAACCGTCGTGCACCAAGGCAATCGACGTTACATCCGATATCATAAAAATACATAAACAACACCATTATACTACGCACAGTAACTATACATAGATCTTTTTGTTTCTTCTCACAGAAAACTTAGCTACTTTCTTTGTACAAAAGAAGCTCATTAGATACAATTACACTTCCTAGCTCTGACAGTTCCTCTGCCCACCAAATGTAACCATTTCCCACAACGTTCAAAGCACCCCACCTGGAAAAATAGTAGCAATTGCAAAGGCAACACCTGTTCTGCCACCATGTAATAATTCATGGGTCACTATTCAAATACATTACAGAAAAGAATGCCAACAAATAGTAATAGTGGATTCTAATCCTACTAAAGAACGTAATCACTCGCGGGCTCCAAATGCACCCAAAAAATTAGGAAGAACCATTTCCACTCAAAGAATTTGAAAGTAAAACATTGAGAAAATCACTATAGGAACTGGAGCCACTCCTCTTTTCTGAGTCCTCTCTCGTCTCGAGACAACTACCAACAACTGACCTTCCATTTCTTTCTCAAGGAGAGTCCAGTTAAATCCGTTTCTCCTCTGAGTCCTCTCTCGTCTCGAGACCACCACCAAGAACTGACCTTCAACTTCTTTCTCAAGGAGGGTCAAGTCAAATCCCTGTCTCGTATCAGAAACCCAGAGAGAGAAGAAGGTATGCGAGAAAATACAGCCAGAAAAAGAGGAGTAAAGGATCGGACCTCTGCGGGCAATGTGCTCAACTTCGCAAAGCCCCACGCAGGAAATCCGGCCCAAACTCAAAAAAACCCGGTAAAACCCACAAAGGTGGTAACGTAACAACAATGATCACAACAAACCTAGAACGCAAAAGAAGAAAAAAAGTAGAGGGAAAGACAGGGAGTTGACGCGACATTCAGCATAAGAGTTCATGAAAACTTGCGGATCTGTACAGTCAGTATTCTATACTTTTCAGAAGTAGGCGCAAACAGACGACGCATTCTTCATCCTCACTGGTGCAGGGAAACAACAGATGCCGGGCTCCTCAATCCTCATCGAATCAACCCCTTCATCCTCATCGAAATTACAAAAAACCTATCAGATCCACACAACCCATAAAACAATCCTTGATTTAAGATTCTGAAAATCACCAACAATCACTCAAACAAAAAGATGAAAAGAAAGATGTGATGATATATCGATAAATCGGAGATTCCTGACGATGAATCAAATCCCTTGATTAATGAGCATCTTAACTTTTATGATGATCAACAAAGGTTACTGGCAAATACTATGATTAGCAAACTGAACACAAAACAGCCTTCCAACTACCTGCAATTACAAACAGAAAACAGGATCCAAACGATTAAGAGACTCGCAAAAAGAGAAAAGCAAACTCAACATAGAGAGACGGATAAATCAGCTGGGACGAATACAAAACCTACGAAACTGGATCTTTTCTAGACCTCTCAACTGTCCTCCAGTGTGTCTGGATCTCCTCCAGATCTCTCAAACCTTCTTCTTCGTGACCTTCAACTCCGCCCTTCTCCCAAGAAGAGAGGCGAGAATTCCCAACGCAGATAGACCACCGAGGGCGCGAGAGGGAGAGAGAGCAGCCGGAGAGGTGAATAACAAAAGGGGAGAGAGTAACATGCTAAAGAGAATCAAAGTTTCTTTAAGCACCAAGCTGAAGAAAAAGAAAAGAAACAGATCCTCTCAATTAATTAATGGCTTAGCCTGCACAAAACAGTAATAGCCTCTCTCAGCGTCGAACAACGCAAGGACTTTCCAGGCCCTCCCAGAGGCACCCAAAACCGGTCTTTTCATACAGTAGAGAAAAAGTATGTCAAGGTATCTCTCTGTATCTAGAAAACCCTTTTCTGTTTCTCGAACGACCCACCTCTCCACTGTCCAGGTATGTCACTCTCATCCACACATCCACAAACCCGCCAGATCTCCCAACGCTCAATGATCCCTCCCCAGCAGAACACCCAAAGCAACTGAATAAACCTCGATCCACACACCCGCCTGTGCCAAAGCAGCATATAGATCTCTGATGACCAACGCGCGTCAGAGCCACCAAACGACCCCAATGCAGAGATACTGAGCAACACAACTCCTTTCAATCAACTTTTCAGTTCCTCTCATGGCCCACCATCTCTGAGCTATCCCATCTCCAAGCACAGTCTCTCCCAAACCCGCCAGATCGCCCACCACTCAAAGATCCCTACCCAGCAGAACACCCACAGAGCAACCGAAACCCTCGGTCCGCGTGCCCACTCGGGCCAAAGTAAAATATCGATCTCTGATGACCAACGCGCCGGGGCCACCAAACGACCGCAACTAAGGCCAACCAGAAGCCAACGACCAGTCCCACCCCGACCGAGCCCCCAAACCCCACCAGATCCCAATGAGGCCTCACCCAACTCCAGCCCACACCGAAGGACACGCTAGTTTGAAACAGTACATCTCAGTCACGTTGTACAGTAAAAGGTGTCTGTGTGTGCATTACACGGGCATGCGGCGGGTTTCTTTCTTTCAATTTTGTGCGATGTGTAGGTGATTGTTTGGAAATCAACACGAGGGATTTGTCGCACGTGGTCGGTGGAGCTCTCCTGAAAGAGATACAGGTGTTCTGTGCTTATTTAATTCGTGCAATGTTCCATTTCGCTTCCCGTAAGTATAATAGGGCTACTCACAACGGCGGATTCAGGACTGGGTAGAGCACTGAGCCACATTTTGAAAAGAGGCAGAGTGGCTGGGTCGTAGCTCGACAAACACTTTAACAATTATCGAAAATAAAAAATTTGCAAGTGTTATACTAGCTTTGATTCCGAGAAGGGCTAGGCCGCGGCCCCCCTGAATCCGCCGCTGGCTGCCCATATCGTGGACAAGCCCTTGGAGCGATGGTGCAAACAATTATCGACCATCGAATTTTGCTTATTTAAATTTTCTAATTTGATCTTAGCAGAACCAGTGACGGATCATGGGGTGGCCACCCTGGCCACGGCCCCAGCCCTCTTCTGGATCCGGAGCTAGTATAGCCCTTATTAGTTTATCGATTTTAGTCATTCGGCACAGTGTTATTTTATAATAAGATTGTATGTAATTAGGGAAATGGGTAAGATGAACATATTCAAATCATAACTCTAAATTTAGCCTGAAAATTCTAGCTCCAATGATTCTCATCTAAAGAAAAACAAACAATGAAACCTAAAATTCTAAAACATAAAAGACTAAAAGAAATATGAGGTTTGTTCGCTTAAGAAATTACTAGAGCAGCTAGTGAAAATAGGAATTGATACACAATATATATTGATTAGTCAATTGATTTGTCTAGTGTTGACATTACTCGTTTCAACAACTACTATCGAGAGAACCTTTTCAATAATGAAATAGGTGAAATTTTATTTGCGCAACAAAATGAGTGATGAATTTCTCGCCAATTGGTTAACTATTTTATCTTAAAGAGAGTATGTTATTGATATTGATGTAGACTCCATTAGTGATGAATTCACTATATTAAATCATAAAAGATCGATGTGTATAATAGATATTGTAAATAAAAACTATAATTTTTTTACAGCATCTAATTTTCTAATGAAATGCGGCCCAGTGCTCTACTATGTCCTGAATCTGCCGCTAAGCAGAACTTGTATATTATCGTATCTATACTGCTTCTTTTGAAAGATAACTATGGAGGAAAAATAAAATCAATCATAGATGAAAATTATTTGGTAAAATTTTCATTAAAAAAGTAATAATAGGTAAAAAAATTACAATAATAATATAGTAAAATTTTGTAATTTTGCATGAGGGTAAACCCGAAGTAAGCTATGCAAAAGACACCTTGGCCCTTGCCAAAAGGGATCAGAACAATTCCAACACATATACTCAGCCGTTGGTGTATTTATTCATCCCATTGCCCGAATATCCTTTCTTCATCCCCTTCCCTCCCATCCCTTTCAATCCCAATCCCAATCCCCATTACACCAAGAAGAAGAACAAGAAGAAGAAGTGCTTGAGAAGCAAAAAAATACAAAACCTTAAGAGGGCGAGGTAGCCCTCCCTTCTTCTCTTTCCTTCCTCCATTCTTTCTCTGAGCGCAACTCGGTTCCAAGCGAAGAAAGGGGGGAAATAAGAAAGAAGAAGAAGAGGGTAAATTAATCAATGGAGGGCGGGAGAAATCAATTGAATAGCGGGAATGGGACTGGGGATAATGTTGTTCGATCTGGGTTTCCTCTCAGCTTCTGGGAAGCCGCCGTGGGCGCCCTCGTCATTCTGGGATTCGCCATGGGTCTTCTCCTCGTTTACCTCACCCTCCCGGCGTCCGATTATAGCTTCCTCAAGCTGCCTCGTAATCTCGAGGAACTCCAAATCCTCAGGTTTGCGGCCTTTTCTATCTGGGTTCTGCTGAAAGTTGTCTTTTCGTGAGATGAAGCTAATTGAGAGATCTGGGGTTGTTTTATGAAGAGTGGTTTGGCTGTTTCCTTGATTGCATTAGTCGATTGAGTTTGTTAGATCGAGAATCCGGAAGTTCAGATGATTGGGATTTGGAGTTTTGACCCTTTGTTTTTTAGATTGGGGGGAAAGGGAAGAAGATCATTGCTCTGAGCCTTTAGCTGAGTGCTTGCATGTTGTGCCTATGTTAGTTTGGTGTCTCTAAATTATTGATTTTTTGCTAGGATTCCATTGAGAGATTGGTTATGCTACTTTCTGATTTGAAGGATAGTGTTGAAGAGAATGCATGTTTCCTTTTACAGCTCAGCATGCCACATCCATGTTTTGGTCATTGACTCTTTCTGCTTGATGTTCGGCATGTTCATGTATATGTCTTGTTTTGGTGGCAGGGATCACCTTGAGACTTACACCAGTGATTACACGGCACAAGTTCTGGTCGGCTACTGCGTTGTCTATGTCTTCATGCAGACTTTTATGATCCCGGGGACTGTGTTCATGTCATTGCTGGCCGGAGCCCTCTTTGGGGTTTTCGGAGGTGTAGCTCTGGTGGTGTTCACTGCCACTGCTGGAGCTTCTTCTTGCTTCTTCCTGTCGAAGATCGTCGGCCGCCCTCTGGTCTTCACTCTCTGGCCTGACAAGCTCGTGTTCTTCCAAGAGCAGGTGAGAAAATCAAATCCCTATTAACCATTTGCTGAAGTTGGCTATCAAACTGGAGTTGTGGCATGAATGTTCTTTGTTGTTGATTTCTTACCAGGTGGCACGTCGAAGGGAAAGATTGTTGAACTACATGCTGTTCTTGAGACTGACACCTACACTGCCAAACACATTCATCAATGTGGCCTCGCCTATTGTAGATGTGCCTTACCACATCTTCCTCCTGGCGACCGTCATTGGGCTCATCCCTGCTGCTTATATTACCGTCAAGGTAACTCTCCTCCTACTTTCGCTTTACCTACGCGTACTTTGGAGTTTGGGGTCACTAACAAATAAGTTACCGAAGCTTGGAAATTGATGATCTAATGCGTACAACTGGGGTGATTGTTATAGCTATTCTTTTTTTATGATAAGCTGAAATTCAGAATTCTCAGTTACCGGTTAATTGGGGACCAATTATGTAGTAATTGTCCCAATGTAAAACTTCAAGTGCATGTAGTGAGGTGACATTGTTTCTGTGCCTGTATTGTGCACAGGCTGGAATAGCTCTGGCAGAGCTGCAGTCAGTGACGGATCTATACGACTTCAACTCCATTGCGGCTATGTTCCTCATTGGTGTCGTTTCCATCACCCCCACGCTGATGGGCAGCAACGAACAGAAGAAGAAGGCCAGTGCAGCGATCGAATAGCAGATGACGACGATGATGATGGGTGTCTGTGTGTCTCTGGAAGAACAAGAAAGGTGCTTTAAGGCAAAAGGGGTCCGTTTCTGTACAGACCAGCACTAGAAGGAAAAGAAAAGAGAAGGGCAAAAAGAAAATGTACAGCTGCTGCTGCTAGTGAAGTTGAGATGGATGGCTGACTGTTGATGATGTGGGAATGTGTAAATTTGAGTGCTTTAGTAAAGTATCATGGGGAAGGAGGTAGTTGGGATGGAAGGGGATGGGATGGTGTTAGGAAGGGGAAAGGGAGGTGGGAGTGGACATTGTTGAACTTCAATCCTCTAAACCGTTGTATATCCCCACCTTTTAACTTGTGCTGTAAGGAAATAAGATTTCTTTTTCCGCTGCCCTCTGTTTCTTCGTGCCTTATGATTCTTGCGCCAATTATAATCATAACTGATATCACCAGTTATCATTGAGGGTGACTTTAAGGATAATCCCTTGATCTAGATAAACATAAACAGTAGGTTACACTAAGAGAGCAATGTAAAGACGTAAAAGGGTATTTTGGAAGTAAACAATCCAAGCCTACATTCACCAAACAGTTGAACCAAACTAAATGAAATCGTACACTGCTATAAAATGAAGTGTTCAACAAGGTAGTCCCTCCTTTGGACTTGAAACTGAAGCATAACTCTTTGATTGTGCGATGACACAATCAAGAACCACAAGCTTTCTTATCTGGGTTTCTTCGCTTTCTTCCAGTTGCTGCTATTTGGAGTCTCCAGCTTCCTCTTTTTCCCGGTTGCTTTCCTTCCACTACCCCCACCATCATTCCCTCCTCCAAGAGCCTTCGCCTTCCTTGCTGCGACAGAAGGTCTCTTCCCGTCACGTGTTTGTTCGCGACGTTTCTTGAACATAGTCCTGCTCGATGTTTGGAGTTGTGGAGTGGGTTTCTTCTGCACCCCAGACTTCTTTGCTCGCCAACCCTCATACGCGGTGGTGTTTGCCTGACCAAATCCTCCTGTAGGTTTGTCCCCCCTCGCAAACTTCTTATTGCTGGGTGACTGACTTCTGTCTCCCGAAAATGGATTGGCCCTCTTGGTTGGGGTAGTAGAATCTTGTTGCCGTGCACGAGACAGCCTGATTTCTCGATCCCGAAGTTTTAGGCTTCGCTTCTGCATTACCAAGTTGACAGATTCCTGTACAGGCAGCAAATCGTATGAGCAAAATCTACAGAGTATAGACTAAGTAAATGTTTGACAAAATTAGTTGCCATGCAGCAAGAAGCTCTTACCTTATCCTTAAGCAGGAGATAAGCAATACCCTTCCCCAGACCATTGTTAGGATCTCTAACAACTCGAACCCCTTCGATCCCAGAACTCAGACCTTTGATGCCAGTGAAAAGCTGATAAATTTCTTCATCCTATAAAGGGTTAAAAAAAAAAACAAATTGAAGCAAAGCCGAAAAATGAATTAAGGGAACCAACAAATATATAAGCAACATTGTCTGAACCAAGAACGGAAGAGCTTACACACCTTGACATCAAATGGGAGGTTGCCCATGAAAATAGTTCTTTTGTTATCATAGAGCGGAGCCTCCTCTCCCTTCAATTTTTTTCGAGGAGGGCAAGCCCTGTCAACACGAATATGGTTCCCTGCAACCTACAATTGCACAGAAGGTACACAACACCATTTTCATACAGAAGCAAGCAGGGCCCAAGTCATGCACAACAGGAAAAAAGTGAGAGTAAAGCAGAATTTCAAACACCTTTAGTTCAAAGTAAAACATACCACTGCCATATTATGAGAGAGAGACGCCTCAGCAGATTCCATTGTTTTATAGACGATGTATGCATGAACACTGCAAACACGAAATCAGTCAAGTCTGTCAATACAGAAACACTAAATTTGTCAAGATAAATTTAAATCTTTCAAGGACAGAATTCCTATCACGAGTACACCTGTGGCGCCTTAAGCTGGAAAGAACATTACTTTGACGAATATAAGCTAAATGTACAAAAAGAAACTTACAAGAGGAGGAATTACCAATTCTGATATCTAAGGTTTGAAATGTATGAGGCATAATAAATCCTATTAAACATTGAATCTAGAGAGTTACTGCTGCAACAACTTCAGTACATGCATTGAGAGTATCTGGCAATCACTTTTCTTGTCCATCCTCAAACATATAGTACAGAAAAACCTTTATACTTAAGCCAAGGGATCCCTGTCTACTGATGGTAACCAACAAAACATGACTGGAATGTCGCCACAAGGATGAAAGACTGGATCTTATCGATACCGAGCCTCTTAACTGATTTCTTGGTCAGGTCCTAGTAGAAACTCAATAGCAGTCCTTCGTGCTACCTCTGCTTCGGTCTTAACACAACATTGATTGAAGCTAATACTTAATGAAATCCAACTTCATTTACCAAAAATTTGAAAGCAACTACCCATGTTAGCAGCCTGCTAAGCTACTAGAAACAAAGATGGCTATCAACTATCTACAGCTCAACTGGATTCTCAATACAAGAATACGTCAAGGCGAACCTCCACACAAACAGACGAACTGACATACCTCCCAGCAGCATCATTGATTTTGTTCTGCATAATGGCACCCTTTCTGGGTATCTTAGTCTGCTCAAACAGAAAAGATCAATACAACATCAATGCAGAACACCCCAGAAATGCGGCATCTTCGGTCACATCCAACCATATAGAATGACCATGATAACGTTATGAACCAAACAACTTACATCCATAACTGGCACAGAACGGATTCTCACAGACTCAACTTCCCCGAACTGGATGAACTCCTTCAACAATGCTTTCTTCTTCACCTTCAATGGCAAATTTCCAACAAACACAGTCCTCAACAGCTTTTCCTCATCATCAAATCCTTCCTCTTTCTTCAACGTCTCACCAGCATCCGCATCAGGCTTCTTCCTCTTCCCTCCAACCCTAACCTCGGGTTCCGGACTCTCTACACCCGGCCCGTACCTCTTCTCCTCGTATTCCCTCTCGACCTCTTCCCTTTTCCTCTTCTTCTTCTCCGCCTTCTTGTTCCCGCCCAAGTCGTTCTCTCCTCCTTCTGCTGCTAATACCGCCGATTCCAACTTCACTTCCTTCTTCTTCTTCTTCTTCCTCTTCATCTCCGTCTCTTCTCCAGAATCAAAACTGGAGTCCTCCACTTTGTCTCGCTTCTTCTTCTTCGGCTCGGCATCGATTTCAGGACCCTCAGCTTCGTATACTTTAGGGTGTTCCTCGGGCTTCCGTTTGAAAGGGTTTTCGTCCGAGAAGATGGAAGGAATGGCGGCAGTTCCTTCCTCGGCGGCGCTGAAGAGCGTTCTGAAGATGTTCGATGCCGGAGCAGAGTCTTCTCCCATTACTTCGGCCTTCTTCTTCCCCATTTACAGCCTTTTTTTTTATCAATTCAATCAAACTATACGAGAAATACCCCTCTCTTTCACTGTTCTTCCCTGAGAAACGATCCGGAATAGGAATTGAAGATTCCGGCGATAACCCACTCGGATTGAGACGACGAGGGAACGGAAGCTTTCAGCGTTTTCTAGCCGCGCCGCCGTGTTCTGTGTATTTGGGGTTTGCTTGACGGAGGGGAAGAAAGAGCAATCTAGTTATGGTAGAGCGAATGGGGGGAGAAAGGGATTTCTTTCTCGTATTGTAAAGGGCGCGTTGCGGTTACCGGAGATTAGGAACCGCGGGTCTGGGTCGGTGCCCGAACCAAAACTCGCGAACCCGCTATGTTAAACCGGGAACTGTTTTTTCGTTTTCAGTTCTTCAATTTTAGCTCATATTTTGTTGGTTTTTGTTTTTTCCCCTGAAAATTGAAATCGTTTCCTATTAAAATTACTAGATAGTGATCAGCCTTCTACATCCAATTAGGATGAATAACTCATGTGATTACCCGATCTAATTCGAATCAATTTTGTCAGAAAAATTTAATTAATATTACCTTTGGTGCAATTTTGACATTTTAAATATCTACCTCGAATCCACCCAAATATGTGTTTTAACTATGTTTTACATAGCTGAATTGCTATTCGTCGCCCTAAAATTCAAATTTTATCGCCCTAAAACACAACAAATTGACACATTTACCCTTCAATTCAATTTCAATTCTAGCCCTAACCAAACAATTCCTTCTTCACCGCCGACCAAACATCCGCCGCCCTCACCCAGAAAAGAACTGTTGCCTCATCACCTCCCCTCCCATGCTCCTGCCCCAACCCCAATCTGCCGCAGCTGCTGCTACTCAAGCGCCGGAGGGAACGAGGACGAAGAAGCAAGTTAACAAGGTGGGAGAAAAAAATTGCAGAAGTTTACGAGGAGCTCGATATTCCACTTTCGCTTTCTTGAATTCAACTATTGCCTGAAATAAAGTCCAACACATAAAGTTCATTATGGGTTGGACTATGATTACCAGATATCTAGGGCTTATCCATTTATATATATATACCTTTTGCACCAGTTAAGAGGAGAAAATAAAATGGGTTGGACAAAGTTCAGAAACGAAGGACAAGCATGCTAAGAACAACAGTCTTCCTATTATGGAAAAGTGGATCTCTAGTTTACCTAGGGTTTGGCGAGCCTGCTACAATTTGTGAAAGACAAATAATTGAGATAAGGGTATTAGAGTAAATGTAATTTAATTAGGGCGACAAATAAGAAAATTTTAGGGCGACAAATAGCAATCCCCTTTACATAGAGGTGTCAATCGGGCGGGCTCGGGCTGGGTTCATTCAGGTTGCGGGTTACGGGTCACTCGGGTTGCGGGTCGGGTTGCAAGTTTTACGGACCAGCACATCGCGTTACTTTTTGCGGGTCAATCTGGTTACGGGTCAATCGGGTGATAACTCTCATTATTCTATAAAATGAAATTTATACTCAAAGTCTTCTCCCTCATTTTTTGGACCACACGACTTTAAAGTTGGGACTCCAAAAAAACAAAACTCATAATTTGAGGATCGGATGGGCAAGTCTTTTGGCCTTGGGATTCCACCATCCAGGGATTTCGAATCCTTATCTTGCAGAGCTGTTGGCCGCCAGGGATGCCATCTCTTTGGTGCTTTCTCGCACTATTCCCCACGCCATCATCGAAGGTCATTCTGAAGTGGTTATCTGGCAACTTGATGGTAGATGCTGTGAAGACTCGGTGGAAGGCCCTTACTTCGTGATTGTTTTCAGTTGTTGAGATCTGGTTCTTCATGTATTCTCTTTAGTTCGGTCCCGTGGACTGTCAACTGGGCTGCCCGTAGAGTGGCAAGACAAGTCCTGCTGTTGTCCCCTGTAGAGATAGCGTCCTTCGATTTTGTAGGGTGGCTCCACTAACTGTCTTTTTGGGGTTTTGGGTAGAGGATTTAACTATTGTATTTTGATATTACTTGGGGAAAAAAACTCTATAAGAATTGAGACACTTTAATTTTTCTGACCAAAATTTTGCTCCATTTTTGCCGCCCACAAAATTTGCCGCCTGCTATTTTAGTTGCCGAATATTTGGCTCCATAATAAAAAATTTTGCTTATAATTTTGGAGCGCTACGAGAAAATGTAAAGAATGGAAAATGTGAAAAAGCGAGCTGTTTTTGGTTCCGGTGGGAGGGAAGATGAAAAATGAAGCGGGATTAATTTTGGTAGCTCAAAAACTTCCAATTTTTTCGTAGCAAGGCCGCGCTCTATTGTTCACTAACTTGGAGTTTTTAAAACTCTTCTTCACTCTTCAGATCATACCCCTAAGTGGTGTGATTTGGAGTTGCTTATGATCAGACTTTTGTGAACTATTATTAGTCTTTTTTATGATAGGACCATGATATTTGGATTTTAAATCTTATAATTATCTTATTGTGCTAAATTAATAATGTTATGTGCACTATTAGGTTGATGATGTATCTAAATCAATATTTGATTATGTTATATGCGTTAATAGGTTGATGATGTACATTATTAATTTATTATACTAAGTTAATAATTGATGATGTAATGATCAGACTTTAGTGAACTAGGATTTCAAATGTCAACTTATAGTTTATCTTCATCGAATTCCTTCTAATATAGTCGGGCTGCGGGTTGGTCGGGTTACGGGTTCGGGTTAGTCGGTGTAACATCCCGAACCTTTTCCCGACGAAGATATTGTCCGCTTTGGGCCTCTACCCTCACGGTTTTCGACTTGGGGTGCAATTCAGGGTGACTTCCCATAAGGTCACCCATCCTTGTTGTACTCCACACAACACACGTTTAACTTCGGAGTTCTCACAAGAACTCCTTCGTTTCACCCCAAAACGCTTCTTGTCAGTTAAGGTTGGTTTCCTACTTATGAACCATGGATCTCTCCCGTGCTTTGTCAATGTGGGATTCGCCTAAGGTGTTACATACGGGTTGCGGGTCGATCGGATTGCGGGTTGATCGGATTATGGGTCGACCAGGTTTGTGGGTTGGTCGGATTACGGGTCGATCGGGGTTGCGGGTCGGGCCGGTTACGGGTCATTGACTTTTAGTCAAATCGGATTACGGGTCGGGTTGATCGGGCGGGTTACTCGGATCAGGTTACATTTGACATCACTCACTTTTACATATACTCACTCACTTAAACGCTTTGTATATCCATGTTCCTCAAATACTAGAATTATCTCTTAGACCTCAAATCTTACTCATTTTCTCTTCAAAACTTCAATTAAAATTGACATTCTAAGCAAAAATCTAGATTTTATATTCAGAACTTTATATGTGATTGCTCGGGGATGGTGTGAGTGCCCCGAACCACAGAGTTGGTTTTAGTTTGATATGTTATATTACATCCCGTATAGTTTTGGTCATAAGATGGTTATAAATTTTAAAACCATGATTCGTGAACGATATATAAGAAAATCGATCCCGTTTTCATCCCATACTTCCCATCCACAAGCCTGGCCCAAAGAAGGGTATCGACGGTCAAATGGATTTGTAATCAATCAGTCCAAATAAGAAGCCCCCTGTACAAAGGGCCCAATAGGCCTCGCCGCCGGCTATACGAAGAAGGGTATCGACGATCAAATGGATTCGTAATTGATCAGTCCAAAGAAGAAACAAGTTACCATGGAAGGTAGGATTCATGTCTTGGGATTTACATTACTGTATATTGTATAATAATATATACGCATACGCCTTCTTCTTGCCGCCCGCTAGCTATATATTATAGGTAGAGAGAGAGAGAGTTTCCTTCATCCAACAAAGAACAAAGTGAGGTAAAAGAAAAAGGAAGAGGGGAAGTTGAACGACATCGATCGACTCAGGATTCAGGTATTGGAATGGAACTATGATGATCGCGAAGAGGCTGACCATACTATTGTTGTTGGTAGTTTTCGCGACGGTTTTACTTCCACAGACGGCACGCGCCGTTGAATATGGGAAGCTTTGTTCCTGCTGGATCGGTTTCATCTGTCCCGAGTGCGGCTGGGGAGGGTGTTGTGACAAACGCGAGTGCATAAATTGCTACTAGAGTATGGGTAATACGATCGGTATTATATTATACTACGAGTATTATTATGTAACTTAACTTTCATGTGATTTCAATAACAAAGTGCAACAATTTCCACCGAAATTTATCAGCTTGGTGTCAAAGTCTGGTCTTCAAATACAAAATCTAATTGCCTTCTTTTCTTTTTGTTCATTCACCCACCATCATGAGTTCTTTCTCCCGTAGCACTATCTAGCAACGGCTATCATACGTTTAGCGTGTGCATGGATGCTTGGCCGGTGGGATGGGTGGGTTGTAAATATGTTTGTCCATCGGAACAAACATGTTCTTCGGCCGCTTTGCGGGAGGAACGGGCGGGCTTTCTACGCCTCACCCGTTCGTATTGATTTTTAAAAAAATTATTAAAGTAATTTTGTATGTTTTAAGGTTTCGGCCGCTTTGCGGGAGGAACGGGCGGGCTTTCTACGCCTCACCCGTCCGTTTTGATTTAAAAAAAAATATTTAAGTAATTTTGTATGTTTTAAGGTGATAAATTCAAATTAATTAGGACGAGAAATAATAAGTATATTGTTATCTTATATAATGTAGGCGCTTAAAGCGTGAGTTGTTCTATAAAAAAAGGAATTGTGGTTGGTCCTCTTAATGCAACTATTGTTGAGTGTGTTGATTGACCCGCGCGCTTAGGGGTGGGCATTGGTGCGGTTGGACCGCACCAAATCGCACCGAAGTGTATATGCGGTCAAACCGGATCGCACTATTAAGCTTGTGGTTCAACATGCGGTCTACATTTTATGCGGTTCGCGGTCGGATCAAACCGAAACCGCGCGGTCGCGCTTCAAAACCACAATCCGCTAAGGTTTCATTTTGAGTTTTGAATCCTTTAATAGAGAGGAGTATCACTTCTAAGACTTCACCACATGAGAATTCAAGGAGCTTGCCGTCGGCTGAGAAGATGAACACGCTGCGATCCCAAGCTTTGTAGAGCTGGCTACTGCCTCTTCAAGAATGTAACGAGTTTGCCACTGCTCTGCATGTTATGCTCTGTTTTTTGAGGAAGTAAAGTTCATGCTTTGTTTTGTTTCTTTCTTTCGAGTGCTTGTTAATTAAGCAGGAGCCATGGGTTTAACTTTGCGGCATATATGTTTCCTTTCACCATGGCCGTCCCTTCCAGCATCTTTGATTCCTGATCTGCAAAATGTTTGTCCAGACAACATTTTCATATTATGCTCTGTCTTTTTGTGGAAATAAAGTTCAAGCTTCCTTTGTTTCTTCCGAGTGCTTGTTAAGCAGAAGCCATGGGTTTAATTTGCAACATGTCTGTTTCCTTTCACCATGGCCTTTTCTTCCAGCATCTTTGAGTTGGACGATCATGAGTGTAGAAAGTCTGATTTGTCAATTCAATCATGAATATTGTAGGCTGATATTACATTGCGGTCGAATATGCGGTGCAGTTCAAATCGCTTATCTAAGTGGTTTGGTTTGACCGCACTGATTAAATGCGGTCTATTATGCGGTGCGGTCCAAATAACATGCGGTGCGATGCGGTCTGTGTCAATACGGTGCGGTGCGGTTCGAACCGCACCAATGCCCACACCTACGCGCGCCCAACCCGGCAGGTCTTTTTCGTTTCGGTTGTATGTAGGGCTGCAAATGAGCCGAGCTGTTCGCGAGCGGCTCGGCGTTCGACACGAAAATGCTTGTTCGAAACTCGACTCGTTAATAAACGAGCCGAACATGAGCTCACCTTTGTTCAACTCGTGAAGCTCGCGAGCTAGCTCGACTCGGTGGCTTGTTGAGCTAAACTCGTGAGCTGGCTCGTTTAGAGCTCATGATATGTCTTAACATGTGGCTAGAGAGCCAACTCGATTACCAACTTATGGACGAATCAATCTATATCTTATGATTTTAATTCATATGATTGTTAATTCATATATATCTCACCATATATAAAGTTTAACACGTTGAGTATGTGAGCAAATATATCTTATTTTCTATTTTAAAAAGAAATTATGCATCATAAATTGCTTGGATATTATGAAATAACATGATTTGAAGTAGTTAACGAGCCAAACTCAAATTGGGACAAAACTCGACTCATCTTATTTACAACCCTAGTTGCATAGAAGGAAAACGTTACTTTAAGCCGCAGAAACGGGGGAAAATATGTATATTTCCCGAGAACGGACCGATATTCAAGGAAACTCCAGGACAAATAAAAACAAAACAAGAAGTTATAAAAAGGGAAAAACCAGAGAGAAGCTCCCCTCCGATTCCTGGTCCAGCTTCAAAATCGAAAGGTGGGAGGCAGAGAGAAATCGGGGCTCCGGCTTTGTTCCTCTTACTTTTGCCGTCTCCGCTCTTTCTCCCGCGAAAGCTGCTGATCGCCTCCGTTTGCCGGCTTCAAGCTCTCAGAGAAAATCAGGAAGAGGTTCGGAGGCTTTGAGACATTTCTCGTTCGTAACCGAATTTTCCCCTTTCTATCGTCGTCCGTCCGGCATTGCCCTTTTTTCAGATCCGCGGACGGTACCTTGTTTCACATTTCCGCCTGTCGGCCTCTTCTCCTGCAATATCTGTAGCCTCAGATCGAAGCGAGGAAAGTGAATTCCGCAGGAGAAAGGGGGAACACAGCCTTCGTCGCCGAACGCCGTAGCTAACCGCCGATCCAATTGAACGCTCATTTCCCGCCGTTCGGCCGACGTATCTGGGAATCCAGGTATTGTGATCTGATGTCTCCGCATTGGGTGGAATGTGAATGGAAAAGGGGGATTGATGCGTTATGAATGTGGATACTGGGGGCTCTCTCGTTCCATAATTCTGATTGATGAGCAGCTGATCTACTTTTGCTCTTAAATTTTAATGGCGTTTCGTTATGTTGGATCGTGTGGCCAGTGTCATTATATGTTCTTGCGATAAGCCTTGTTTTAGTGATGCTAATCATGAGGTCAGGGAGGCAAATCCAGATTTGGGGTTGTTGACGGTCAGATTAGATTGAAGAAATGAGTGTGATATATAACTTTTGTTGAAAAGTAGATTTATGGCTTGGCTTTTTCTTTATTTGTTTTGACATTATTGGCTTTCTGGTCTTGTTTTGTGAAAGGAGGCAGCGATCATGGCATCCAGCGATAGCTTCACTGACAAGAATGCCGTGTTCAAGAAACTCAAAGCGAAACCTGAGAACAAAGTACGTTTCCTCATGCGGTTTGCTTGTTGGTTCTTTGTTGTTTGATTTTGGATCGGTAATGCCGCTGTCACCTGCCAGCTTTTCAATATTGGCAGATGATTCCTTTTCCCCATTTTCTTCTTCTTAAGATGATTCCTTCTTGCAGATGTGCTTTGATTGTAATGCGAAGAATCCTACATGGGCATCTGTGACGTATGGAATCTTCCTCTGCATTGATTGTTCTGCAGTTCATCGTAGCCTTGGGGTGCATCTGAGTTTTGTCAGGTAATGGACGTCCTGTTCCTTTTCCCTTATGGATTATGTCATCTAAGTATTAGTTGGTTGGGGCGCAATTTTGGAGAAGAATATGTTGATTTAGGTCAGTTTTAGGAACTGAAATGAAACCCGTGGTTAATGTTGCCTTTATATTTGTGCTGGCTCAACGAATGTCGTTCTAGACATGCTCCAGTTTGTCCTTGGAGTTCATACATTGGCCAATGTTGCTGTCATGTATCAAGTATGTTCTCTCATAAACTTGTTCATGATATTTGTCTGTAAATTCTCCCACGTAGAATTTCTGACACACCAAGATTGGGACATTTCATCAAAGGACATTCTTGTGGTGTTTGTTCCCTTTCTGTATCCCATTGATCTTCAGAAGTAGCTCTTGCTAGATCTGTAGAAGTTGGTTGGCCAGATTTAATAGTGTATCTGACATACTTCACATCAAAAGAAGTTGCAGTTGTAACTCTTTATTTTGTTTACTTTATTTGGTAGGTCTACAACATTAGACTCGTGGTCTCCAGAGCAATTGAAAGTGATGGCCTTTGGTGGAAACAATCGGGCACAAGCGTTCTTTAAGCAACATGGCTGGTCTGATGCTGGCGAGGCCAAGTATACATCAAGAGCTGCAGAGTTATATAGGCAAATTTTGTCAAAGGAGGTTGCAAAAAGTATGGCAGAAGATGCAGGTCTGCCATCCTCACCTGTTGCTTCTCAGTCAGCTCAAGGCAATAATGGATTGTCGGATGTTCCTAGAATTGAATCTTCTGACAGAACTTCAATGGAAAAGCAGCAAATACTTGTGGTAGCTCCATCTTCAGCCTCTCCTTCAAAAGTCCCTGCAGTTGTTATCACTTCTACTGTTAAGAAGCCTCTTGGGGCAAGGAAGACTGGGAAGTCTGGGGGTCTAGGTGCTAGAAAACTCACGGCAAAGGTGAATATCTTCTCTTTTTTGTCGTCCTTTTACCCGTATGGTTTAGTTTATAAATTTGTGTAATGGGGTGAGAAATAATCCAATTCATTTCTTATTTAAGTATCTTATTAACTAGGTCTTTTCAATAGTACTTAGATCGTTTTCTGAATGCAGTCCAGTGAAAGTTTGTACGATCAGAAGCCTGAAGAAGTACCTGTTCCTGTTCGATCTTCTTCTAATAACAACCTGAAAGCTGGGGGGACTGCTTTTACTTCACGTTTCGAGTATGCAGACGATGTCCGGCCTGTGGATATGCTTTCAGGATCAAAGGGGGTTAGCCATGTATCCGCACCAAAGTCATCAAGTTTCTTTGAAGACTTTGAAATGGATAATGGTTTCTCGAGAAAAGGAAACTCAAATCCTCCAAGAGTGCAAGTAAGTAGTGGTTGCATATCATCTCTCGATACATCCTGTGGATTCCTAACTTGTTTCCAGAACTGTTACCTTATTAGTGCAACCTAAAAGTTGGGATTCTGATTATTAGTTTGGCTCTAATTGGATAGTAAAGGGTATTGCATTCAATAGATACGGGTTGATCTTTGAGACTGTTTGTCTTGCTGTTACCATATTCGTGTGGAGGATCGAAGAATGTTGTTTTAGGCCTCAGTTGTAGTTTTAGACGCAGTCTTCGACTCTTCGTTGGAGTATTAGCATGACCATATAGCGATACCAGTTTTTACAATAGAATTGACCTTTTTGATTACCTGCCTAGGAATCTGATATTTCTGCTTGTTGCGGGCTCTTGTTGAAATCGTAGTGATGCAGAATCTTCTCAATATGTCATGTCATCAAACATTTACTGTGGAATCACTAAAATTACAAACGACAACTCGTTTGCTCTCACACTTTAAAATATTGTCACCCAGAATTACAGCTAAAACAAACCCACTTGCCTGTTTCAATGATCTGACTCGAACTTCTGGCTAAGGAAGATGGATGCTTAATCTAATATGGATATATGATATTTCTTTTGTCGTCAATGGTTACTGTGGTTCTTCAGGTGTCCATGCATTTCAAGAAATAGGCTTCCATTAATACTGTCAGATGTTTCACCCATTACATGATTCAATGACTGAACTATCTGCCGTGACCCCCTGCTTTGCATATAATCATATTTTGCTGGTATCAGGTCCAAGAGACTGATGAAGCAAGGAAGAAATTTTCAAATGCCAAGTCAATTTCATCGGCCCAATATTTCGGCAATCGAAGCAAGTCAACTGATCTTGATGCTCAAACTTCTTTGCAGAAATTCTCGGTATGTCTGGTTGGTTTAGCTAACTGTATATCCTGAATATAATCTGTAGGAGAAGTATATATAAACTCGAGTTATGTTTAAAGTCTCTTTCACCACTTGGTAAGAAATTCTATTTCCTTTTAACGAGGGAGGAGGAGTTTCTATTAATATTGAAATCAAAGTAAACCAAACAACTGAAAACCTGGATTAGTCTAGCTGCATGCGTATAATTTTGATTCACGAATGAGTTCAGAGCTTGAGACCTATTTGTCCAAGTAGTCTGGTTCCACCGCAGATGTACCCAAGTCTCATCATCTCATGCTTGGTACCATGGATCAACCATGTATAAGAATGCATTTGTTTGAGCCTAATTTTCCTTAAGTGTACTGAAAATGGTGCTGAACTTCATCTCCAGGGTTCAGCAGCCATCTCGAGTGCAGAGCTTTTTGGCCACGATGATGACAACTCAACCATCGATATTGCTGCCGGTGAGCTGATCAACCGGCTGTCTTTCCAGGTAACGGTCTTCAGAAATGATTTGGTCTTGCTGTTGTTAGGCTTCAGTTCTTCTTATTGATGAAAACTGACCATTCTCGTCGTAATGAACCTGTGTTTTAGGCACAACAAGATATCTCCAACCTCAAGAGCATTGCAGGAGAGACCAGCAAGAAGCTAAGTTCCTTAGCATCTTCATTGATGACCGATCTTCAAGGCCGAATCCTGTGATTCCGAGTATGAGCATTTGGAAGAACACGAAATGGGCACTTGATGCCATTGGGTAAGTGAAAAATTAATTCAATTTGATGATTCTTTCCAGAGGCAAAATTGAAAAAGAAGAGAGTGAGAAGAGGGGGCGATCTTCTCCTTTGAAAATGATGAGGGTTTCTTTACACAGGCTGGAGCACAGATGGTGAGAGAGGATATTGTAAAGTGTTTTTAAACTTACCCTTTCGGTAAGTTTTCATATGTACTAAAAAAGATGATGTAGGAATTGAAACCCTATAAACCCAATTTGTTTGTTGATAATCAGCAATTTGTTAACTACCATAACTATTTCTGTTAATACGTCTTGCTTCTTGTGATGTTAGGCAAGCTTTTTGTTCCGTTTTCGAACCTAAACTTTCTCATTTTGGTCGTTCTGGTCCCTAGCTCACAAATGCAAGTCTTGCTTCTAGACTCTAGTGAATAGTGATGCTATTGCTAGGTAAGTTCTTTGTTTTGGTTTTTACCCCCTGAACTTTCTCAATTTTGCCATTCCGGACCAGTAGTTCAATATTTGGTTGTTCTAGTTTCTAGATCACAGATGTTTTATATATGTATCATTCTAATGCGCGGTTGACATAATGGCATTCAATTGATCATAGCTAATCATATTTTTGTTTGTGAAAATTTGATATGGTAGAAATTGACAGTCCTTGTTGCACGAACATTTAAGCTCGGCTAGCTACTATAGGACTATCCATGAATAGAAACTTGGTGCATCGGATATTTAGGTAGCTTAAAATAAGCGGTATACAATGTTATACCAATAATCAAGTTTAGTGGTTATGTATCAAAATGACCAACACAAGATAGTTCAACGGTTAAGTCGGCATGGCTTTTTCAATAAGTCGTGTCTCAAATCACGTAAGTTTAGTATGAAAGTCTTGGAAATTCTTAGTTGACTAATGGTGGATTAAGGCACCCTTTTGTCAAAGCAATTTGTATCAATGTGTGTTGATAGTGCGCACAATAAAAGGTATTTACAACGTATATAAATCTCAATCATTGTAAAAATTGACATGTTTAGCATAATGTATGGATGACGATAAGTTGATAAAATGATAATAAGAGATTGTTGATGGATGTTAAAGCAAGACGCACGTTTAAATTTGAATCATGTCATGGAGGTTATACGGTGCCGTTTTGGTTTCCTAATTCCCCTTCTGTCTCTTTCCTACCGTCTTGATCTTCGAATATTATTATCAAAATGGAAAACATCTCTTGTCACGTTAGGTGACAAAACACCTAATGTCAATTTATTCACGTATTTTTGTACTCATTCACGCCATTTTGTGTGTATTCACGTAATACTATGTTTATTCACGTAAGAGTGTAAGTTATTCACGTAAATGAAAATTCAGACTTTTTCCCCCTAATAATTTGTATTGGCTATATTTTATGGAATTAAATTTGGATTCTCAATTAGTCTGTAAAAATATGTTGCATTGATCATAATCTACACAATGACATCCACTTTGATATATTTTAACGTCTAAAATTTAATTTTAAAATGGCGTGAATAAATAACAATATGCGTGAATTGACACCAGGTTGCGTGACTAAACAATATCGGTTGCGTGAATTAGCAACACTCTTACGTGAACAATGTCAATATGGCGTGAATAATGAAAATATGGCGTGAATAAATGAAAAAGTGCGTGAATTAGGTGTTCTTGTCACCTAACGTGACAAGAAACTTGATTCTATCAAAATAAATAACAAATCATACCAACAAGAAGCGGAAAAGAAAAGAAAATAGGTCCGCGTCCAGGAAACTCCGGGAAGATTTTCGGGCAAAGCGCAGAAATCGCGAGCTAAAAACGCGCGTCGGCAGATCGTCTCCCACCGCCGTCCTCCGCTCCTCTAGCTAGCAGGCGATAGGTTTTATCCCCGGTGGTTATCTCTCAGAACCGTTGTTGTTGGTCTGCTACTGCTTCTTCGAATCTCCGTCCCCTCAGATTGCGCGGAATCGCTGAGATCGTGCGGGAGAGAGGAAGGCAAACGCACGTAGATCGGAGGAGAGGTCGTCTCTTTTCCCGACGATCACCACCGCTCCGCCGGATCTGTCTTCGTTGATCCGTTAGTGGTCATTCTCAGCATTTGTGAGGACATCGCTGAAAACCCTAGGTACTATGTTCTGTTCACGATCTTCAATCAGCATAGATGGAACTTGAGTTGGTTGGATGTGGAATTGTTGTTTAGTTTAAAGGGAGCTGGGTTTTTTTTACCTTTCTTGTTTGTTAATTTTGGTTGACGAGGCGATGAGAGCTGCTTTGTGTTACTTCATTTTTCATGGGCGTTTAGCGTATTGGAATTGGTGTGCATGAAGGCTTTGTTTCTGTTCTGCTTCGTCTTGTTCTAGTTTGATGATAAGGATGGATTCAGAGGTAGATGCATCCTCTCTCTGATGCGCATTGAGATGCTAAACTCTTCATCGGTTATAGTTCGAGCTATTTGTTAGTCTTGAGATGCGCATTGCTAGATAGCAGTTTGGACCTGCTAATTTGGTATGATATTGTCTCGTATTATATGAACTAACAGTGTCTGGTGTTTTACGTATCGGAGGTCTGGGAAAACAAGAGTTCTCCACTCACATCTTTGGAGCCCCACTACTTCTCTTTTCTCTAACCTCAATCTCTTGCTTTGTTTGGTGAAAGAAGCAAGCAATCATGGCATCTATCGATACTTTCACTGACAAAGATGCTGTGTTTAGGAAACTCAGAGGAAAAGCTGAGAACAAAGTATGTTTTCTTATGCTGATAACTATGATTTCTTCATTATGGCTTTCGTTTCAGTTATGTTTGATTGTATCCTACGGTGGATTTGGGAATTAAAGTCAATTACCTTTTCTACAGGTGTGCTTTGATTGTAATGCAAAGAATCCTACGTGGGCATCTGTAACCTTTGGGGTCTTTCTCTGCATCGATTGTTCTGCTATTCATCGTAGCCTTGGTGTGCATCTGACGTTTGTCAGGTAATCAAATGGGTCACTGCCCTCCCATTTTCCTTTGTTTTTATGGTTATTTCATTTAAGTGCCTGGATAATGGGAACTTAAAAGTAGTTGGTGGCGATAAATTTTGTCTTCCTTATAGGTTTGATACTGAGTACTCTTTCTGTATGAGTTTGAAAGCTGGAGCCATTTTGTTTATTTGATCTCCATCGTTGTCTCTTGTTTTGTTATCAAGTCTGTATGGTCATCTTTAATCTTAGTTCTGCATTTTTAGATTCACTTAAGCTGATTTATCACCCTATTTGTTTGGTTTGGCAGGTCCACAACTTTAGACTCATGGACGCCTGAGCAGTTAAGAATGATGACTTTCGGTGGAAATAATCGTGCACAGGTGTTCTTTAAGCAGCATGGCTGGACTGACGGGGGGAAAATCGAGGGCAAGTATACATCTAGAGCTGCTGATTTGTATAGACAAGTTCTCTCGAAGGAGGTGGCAAAAAGTATGGCAGAAGATATAACCCTGCCACCACCAGTTTCTTCTCAGTCAGCTGAAGGCACGAATGGGGTTGTTGATGCGACTGGTACTGACTCCTCTAAAGAAAAGTCATTAGAAAAGCAGGAAACACCTGTGGTAGCTGTTCCGTCAGCACCCCCTTCAAAAGTTCATTCAGTGGTTACCACTTCTACAGTCAAGAAGCCTCTTGGAGCGAGGAAAACTGGGAAGACTGGGGGTCTTGGCGCCAAAAAGCTCGCTACAAAGGTTGATTTACCTTTTGAAACTATTCCATTATATTAACTTGTCAATATGTTTGAAAATAATACTCTAACCTTTTGATGTGCAGCCAAATGAAAGTCTCTATGATCAGAAGCCTGAAGAATTACCACTTCCTGTTCCATTGTCTTCGACTGGCAACCCAAAAAGTGGGGCATCTATTGCATCCCGTTTTGAGTATGTAGACAATGTCCAACCCGTGGATTTGGTTCCTGGTGGACAACGAGTGATTAGCCATGTTTCTGCACCAAAGTCATCAAACTTCTTTGCAGATTTTGGAATGGATAGTGGTTACCAGAAAAAAGACAACTCAAGTTCCTCTAGAGTGCAAGTAAGTAATGGTAACATATGTTCAATTAATTACGGATGAAATGGTGAAATTAGGTTGGTGTTTTACTCTTTTCTTTGATTGCCCATTGTTCAAGACAACTCTCCCCATCTAAAATTAGAGCCCTTAAAGTAAAACCGTCTTTGGTTTGTTTTTTGAATGTAAATCTGGTGAAATTCGGAAAGCTGGTTACTGACCTGAAATCGGAATCAAGCATTGGATAAGGCACAGTGTGATTGAGCGTGCACATTGAATCTACTGATATTTCCTCAACTCTTTTGTTTTACCGAAGTATGTGTAACTTGCTGTCCCTTTTTGCTATTTTGCCAGTGACTGTTGTCATTATTTTCACAATTCAGTGCATATGGTGGAAGACTGTTGTGCCTAGTAGAATTAGTCTTTTCACTTAATCTCATCTTGTGTGACCTGTACATGTTTCTGTAGACTGTCATGGCCTCCTTTTCTGCTTATAATTGAATTCTTCTTTCAGATCGAGGAGACGGATGAAGCTAGGAAAAAGTTCTCAAATGCCAAGTCGATCTCATCCGCTCAATTTTTTGGCGATAAGAATAAATCAGCGGATATTGGTGCCCAAGCTTCTTTGGAGAAATTCTCGGTATGCCCGATTCCATGGTTGCTAAATCTAACATGAAAAATCACCAACTGTTACCTTCCAAGTTTTTGTTTTTCAAGTGGATACACGTGGAAGTTCCCCGCTAGTACTAAACTATATCCAATCATTGTTGCATTCCAGGGTTCTTCGTCCATCTCGAGTGCGGATCTTTTTGGTCACAGCAATGATAATGCAAGCATCGATCTCGCTGCAAGTGACATGATCAATCGGCTGTCCTTCCAGGTACATGGTTCTTAGTGTTAGTGTTGTGGCATATGATCCACGATTGAACTTCTCCCAATAACTCGAGTTATTGGGATCAACTGGTTCTTGACACTTAGAAACTCCCCGAAATCATTCCTTCACAAATGAAAACTTGCTGTGGTTCAAAGTGTTTTTTCCTCATTGATCTGAAATGAGTTGTGCGTTTCTTATCATATTTTTCAGACGCAACAAGATATTGCCTCGTTGAAGAACATGGCCGGAGAGACAACGAAGAAGCTCAGTTCCTTAGCATCTTCATTGATGACGGACCTTCAAGACCGAATCCTTTGATCTGAAACGCATTTCAAACATCTGGAAAACCATAGGAGAGCTTCCTTGCTGCCATTTGGTACGTTGTAGGTAGCCAAATAGAAAGAAACCAAAAATAGTTGAGTTGAGAATGTTTGAATATTCCTAAGAGGCTGGAGTTATTATTATTTTTGAACCATTGGTCGGGAGATTTGTATAGTGGTAAGCTGTCTTTTACTGTCTGTTGTGTGTTGTGGGAGAAATCCCGATGTTTGTGTGATGTACCCATGTATTAGAAAGGATTTCAGAACGGTTAGTGGTACTATTTTGGTTCTGTATATCCTTTGGGGTTTTAGGGGGCGATTATGAAAAAGAACCAATGCAGAGGTTCCTTATATGGAGAAATCCGTTTTCAACTAATCATTAGGGTATCTTTACCCAACATAGGAATCAAAATACATAGTTACAGATCCCTAGCTAGCTAAGCATTGCAAGGAAATAAATAAGCCACTTGCAAGATGAGATCTAGCTAACTAGGGCATAAAGTATATATAGTACAGTAACATATGAGTTCATGGTGTGGCTATGACGACGGGTGTTCGGGTTTTCTAGTTAACGGTTTAACAAATAATTTGGCAGGAACATATTCAGACGTCTCGATATAGTGATAACCGGTAGACCAACTACCGACCAATTACCATCCCTAGGTGTGGCAGCTGGTTTGGTTTCCTTGCTTAATTAGTGCCGTTTCGGGAGTGTAGCAAGGTGACCCTTTTCCTGAAGAGACTTGACAGTTTCATACAAGCATTGCTTCACCGGTGTGAACTCCAGCCCTAGCTCCTTCACCTTCTGGCAGTTGAACTTGTGTGGTTCTGCTCTTGGCTTCTTCTCATCCGAGCACCTGCATTTCTCATATAATTAATTAGTTCCAAACCTCCTTTGCTATTTTCATTTACCCAAATGCAAAAAAAACAATTGAAGAGAGCAGCAGTACTGACTTGGTGGGCAGGGGATACTCCGGGAAGAGCTCGCCGAGGATCTCCACCACCTCGCCGCGGTGGATGACGCTGTCGACGCAGAGGTACCGGCCGGAGGCGGACTGGGCCTCGAACACGAGGACGTGGGCCTGGGCTACGTCCCTGACGTGGACGTAGCCCTGGACCGCGTTGGCGTAGGTGTTGACCCACCCGGCTAGGTACTTGAGGATGTGGACGCTGCTCGCGTTGACGCTGGATTGCAGCAGCGGGCCCAGCACCACCACTGGGTTCACCACCACCAGATCCACCGCCAGCTCCTTCGCCAGCTTCCACGCCGTCTGCTCAGCCACCGTCTTCCCATAGCAGTACCAATTCTACAAAGGAAACAATTTTACAAACTATAAAGGACTTGTTTGTAATGTTCTGAAAGTTCATATACCATAATGCAAGGAAAAAAAAAATTCATATATAGTAACATTCTCTTTAGTGACAATATATGTAGATGTAGACAATTCAACGAGAGAGGGAAAAAAAAATGTAGACGAAATTAATTAATGAATAATAATACCTTGGTGTCCTTGCAATATTCAAGATCACTCCAATACGATTCGTCCATCACCTCGTCGTGGCTCCGGTTGGGATCCATATACACGGCGCCCACCGACGACGTGAAGACGACCCGCCGGACATTGGCCTCCGACGCCGCCATTATCACATTCTTGGTCCCGTCCACCGCCGGCCTCAACATTTGTTCCTTTAAATTATCAAACAAACAATGAATTAAGTCATTACTCAATAACGTATCCATGCACTCTAATTCTCTACCATAAAAAAAACACTTGAGTATGAATAGGGGTTAATGAAATAACTGTCCTCTTTGAATATGAGACTTAAACTACTTAAGTTTCAACAATATTATTATTATTACTAGAAGTTTTGTTTTAGTTTTGCATATTCAAAGTTCAATAACAACCACTCCGTAATATTACTGACCATTGATTTTAAAACGAGTCACAGTGAGATGACATCCGCGACACATCAAATGCAAATTTCATGTTAAAGAGTGGTATAATGATCCAGCATAACCTTCTCACAACAACTCGAGTTATTGGGATCAACTGGTTTATGACATGGTATCAGAGTTGGTTTGGCCAAATGGTCGTGTGTTCGAATCTCTACGACCCCCAATGTTAACAATTGATTAAAGCACAAGATATGGTGATCGCCTGTGCAAACTTCAAGCCCATGGGTTGGCTTTCGTTTGAGGGGGCGTGTTAGAAAGTGGTATAAGACAATAACATTCTCCCAACAACTCGAGTTATTGGCACCAGCTGGTTTATGACACTTCAAACTCCATATAAAACAATATATAGTTCTAATTTTACATAAAACTTTCGCGTTTGTGTCAATAATAATCAAATTTAAAGAAATACCACTTATAGCTACTTCAGTCCAATACTTACCGGGTCATCGGTAATTGGACAAGCGGCGTGGAAGACGCCATGGCAGCCGGCTATGGCAGCTCGAAGGCTGTGGAAATCCAGAAGGTCGGCCTCCCAAAGGGTCAGCCGCTCCTTTGCGCCTTCTAGCTCCCTCAAGTGATCGTTTTTCGGATCCTCTGCAATTAATTAATATAAACTCATTATTAAGATGATAGTACTTTAACTATATATCGTATATGGTTTCATTGATATAAAAAAGCAGGAAAGACAATAACCTGGGTTCCTGACGGTTCCTCGGACGGTGTAGCCCCGAGCAAGGAGAAGCTTAACGATCCAGGAGGCGATGAACCCGCCGGCGCCGGTGACACAAACGGTCTGGCCATGGCCGCCGGCGGGCGGTGACGATGAGATGTCAGCTGCTCCAGGCATTCTCCACGGGGAGCCGGGAATTGGGGAAAAAAAAAAGGCTTTGTAAGAAAAATGTGAATATAAGAAGGGAAGGGTTGATGGTATTAGGTAATGGAGAGGGAGTTTGGGTATTTATAAGGAGATAACCTCTTTTACCCTTCTTTTATGGTTGAGAGTGGCTAAAGGTCCTTCTTATTTTTACTTAAGTTGTTCTAACTTAACAATTAAGATTATCTTTTTATTCTCTAAAAAAAATTTATTGTTAGGAGATAACAAACACAATTTCGTTATGTTTTGGATCTTATTCAAGATATGCGTGTATTAGTGGGCTGGCGATTCTTATTTTTCGATGCAGGTTTGGAAGATTTGGAAGAGAAGGTGCTCTACAACTTACACTGGCGGAGCTAGGTGGGCCTTCGGGGAGGCCCTGGCCTCCCGAGAACTTTGACATTACGTACAAATTGGTATAAAAGTTTGGAAAAGTACGTATAAACTAAAGCATCTGAATAAGTAAATGTTGTGTGCAATAAAGGAACAGATGTTCCATTGTCTCCGGACCATCCCAACAAACTGGGCACCGAGGTAGTACCTGGACCTTTTTCTCAATAAGCGCCTCCGTAGTCGGCAGAGCTCGATTAAGAATTTGCCAAACAAAAACCTTCAACTTCGGAGGAATCTTCGCCTCCCAAACTCTAATCCAACTCGACTTATCCATCCAGCTAACCGAAGACCGCCACCCACCCCTCCTCCTATCCAAATCGACAGCCAAATGGTAAGCTGACTTAACCGAGAAAACCCCGTCGGCCGTAAAATGCCAGATCAGCCTATCAGGCACATCCCAACGCGGAAGAGGAATAGCTTTAATAGCCTTACAGGTGGGCGGGTCAAACCATTGGCTGAGTTTATCATCAGACCACCTCCCTCCCCCTTCACCAATAACCTCCGCCACCAAGGGATCACCCCTCCCCCAGGCAAGATCCGCGGATTAAAGCATGGGGGATCTAGTTGGCACCTAGGAATCCAGTTAGCATGAAGGAGGGAGGCCGATTGCCCATTACCAACCTGCCATCTCAAACCCCTCTCCAATAACTGACGCTCATAAAGGATACTCTGCCACCCCCAAGAGGGACAAGACCTATCAATCGCATTTAGGAAAGACCCTTGAGGGAAATACTTGCCTTTATAAACCTGGGCAATAAGTGATTGAGCTTCATTGAGAATACGCCAGCCTATCTTAGCCAAAAGAGCTTGGTTAAAATGTTCGAACTGACGAAATCCCATCCCCCCATCATGCTTACTCCTGCACATTTTACGTCAGGACACCCATCTAATCTTGGGATTACCGTCCTCAGCACCCCACAAAAAACGGGCCACATGTTATCTAAAAGACGACAAAGAGTCAGGGGAAGATGGAAACAAGACATAACATGAAGGGGAAGAGCCAACGCTATGGACTTAATCAAAGTTTCCTTCACAGCCCACGACAATGTCCTTTGTTTCCACCCCTGAAGTCGCTCTAGGAATTTTCCCTCGAAATACCTGAATGTAGCCATTTTGGACCGAGCAACCAGCGTCGGAAGCCCCAGATATTTATCGTGGACCCCTATCGCACCAACTCCTAGGATCGTGGCCAAGAACTCTTGATCTGGCGTGGAAATATTCTTGCTAAAGTACACCGCCGATTTCTCCAACATATGAGGAAGTAAACTTATAATTAATATTTATGAATTGGGCGGGTCTGAAACAAAGTGAAAATATAAATAATATTTATATCCCTTGGGTTTATGTATAAATGCCGTTCTTGTTTATATAAGTTAACAGGGCCGGCCAAGAGGGTGTGCTGGCCCGCCCTCCGGCACAGGGCCTCAGAATATTAGGGGCCTCTACTTAGATTCGTTAGTTACCGATCATATATTGTAGGTTGTATTTTTAGTGTATGATTGATTGATTATGAGTATATGATGATGTGTTTAATAGATAATTTTAGCTATAATAACAATTGAAAAGGATCTCATGGAGAATACGAAAATCTGAAAAATAATAGATATTTTAATTTAAACAATATAGAAAGATATTACATTTTGAATAATGTTATTAAAATCATTTTAGTTTTATTATAGTTAAAGGTCGATTTGGACCACGTCTAGATTTTGAAATAGGGCCTCCACTATCTAGTAGACAACCCTGCACCCACCTCTCGGTCAATTTAGACTATTTTCATTTCTCCATTCAATTTTTGCGCTATATCCATTTTCTCTTCCTTCCATATTTACTTTCCTCCCTACTAGGGCTGGGAATTCGGTCTTGGTTTCTTGGTCAAACTCGAAACGAGATCTTTTATTCCTGATGTAATCTTTTTCTGAACTTAAGTATTTTTTTTACAATTATTTACTAATTTTTAATTTTGATAAATTTATGGAAAAAAAATTAGGGCCACATTTTAAATTTTCGAACCGGGCCTCCAAATATCATGGGACGGCCATGAGTTAATTTGCTGGTCGTCATGGGAAATGACGTGAAAGTAGAGTTGCAACGACTATATATAACTCCATCGCCTATATATATAAGAATAAAAGTAAGTGCAACGATGAAATTTAAGCCAAGGCTGGCTGGATCAATATAATATATATATGCCTTCTATCGTTTCGTAGATAAAAAATGGCATCTGGATTTCAAATTTATCAAATTTTTTAGCATGATTCTATATTCTAATTCTTAATAAGTAGCGAACCTTAAATTCTAGTTATCTAAATCATAAAACTTAAATACTGAAATGATTCATGTAGTTTTTTGCATACATTACGACGAATTATAATTGTACTCCTAATTAAATTAATCTTATTGTACAAGATTTCTAAAATGAAAACGCAAATTATATATACATCACCAAATCGTGATCACATGAAAGGAAAGGATAAGAACTTAAAAAAATCAAAGTGACACAAACTATCCAACAATTCGGCAGGCAATTCAAATCTTAATATGAAAACGTTTGAAACTTTCAAGAATTCAAATACTATATCCCTTGGATCTAATGTTGATGGAGCCAGCTGCAATGGAAAGTGATGGTGAGATCTTAAAGTTGCAACAAGCCAACAACAACTGGATAAAACAGATAACGGCAACGATGAAAATTGAGATGAATAAGGCTGGCTGCCCAAATCAATACTCATAGTCGTACAGATTCATTTGGATCGTTGGGAATTTTGGATTCTGTAAGCTCAAAATTTGGTGGTACGTGGTGCTGTCAAGAACCAGTTGGTACGTTCCAATAACTCGAGTTGTTGGGAGAGGTTCAATCGTAGATCATATACCATTTACTAACACATCCCCTCAAACTCATATAGGCTTGGAGTTTGCACAGGCACAGGTCAGGACAACATGTGCTTAACATGAAACAAAAACAAACAAATGAGGGTCATCGGGATTCGAATAGAAGATCTTTCGGTAATATAAGACATACCATGTCAATAATCAGTTTGTTCCAATAACTTGAGTTATTGAGAGAAATTCAATTGTAAATCATATACCATTTACTAACAGGTGCAGTCCATAAGTCCATTGCCTCTCATGATCAGTAGTACTCTGATTGGTTCTTCAAAACATCATAGGGTTTATCATCCAAAAGAGACTCTTATACATGCTGTTTTCTTACATGCGCCTCTAAATGGAAGTTAACCCATGAAATTTGAAGTCTGCATCTGTCAACCATGTAAACTACGTGCATGAATCAATAGTTGATATTGACAATTGTCAGGGGGTGAAGAGTTTGGTATAATGGGTAATACTACTGGTCTTCAATTTTGAGGTCTCAGTCTCTCAGATACGAATTATTTTTGTCAAGAACCAGATAGTCTCATTAATTTGAGTTGTTGATAGAGGTTCATTTATGTATCATATACCATTTACTAATACTTCTCCTCAAACGAAAGCCGACTAATCATATGTGCTTGGAGTTTGCATCAACGCATATATCCAGTGGCGGATCCAGAAATTTTTTGTAGGGGTGTCCTCTTTCAAAAATTAAATTAAATTAATAATCAAATTAAATAATACATAAATAATAAAATATCCAATTAGTATAAATGTTCACAAAAAGCCACGATGTGTTTTCAATTTCGAAAAAAATATAAGATAGATTTGGTGTGTACACTGCTCAACAGATCGGTATATCCTACTAGATCGCATATTCAATTTCTACCTTGTTCATGATGTAATTCAAAGTTGAAAAGACTGTTTCAACACTTACAGTGTAACCATAAAATCAATTCAAATTAGGGTACCCCTGGGGATAAGAAATCGTGTTTTCAAGATTACATAGTGTTTAAAATAGAACAACAAATGAGTTATAACCTAATGGAGATGTTAAATAATAGCAGTGTCCTAGATTTGAATAACACAGAGTACCACTTATATTTTTTTAATCACGCAAATTACTATCGAGGGTAAGATAATCATTTATTAAAATTTTAGGGGTGTCCTAAATTACTAATTATATTTTGTTTATACATACGAAACTACTACCGGGGGTTGAATAATCGTGTTCCCAAAATTTAGGGGTGTCCCAGGACACCCCTAAATCACCATGTATCCGCCACTGTATATATCATATGCTTAACAAAACACATGGGGACAACGGGATTCGAAAAGAAGACCTTTCAAGTCACAAAAGTCGAAGGGTCTACTACCATATGTTAAGACTTAAGAATCAGTTAGTCTCAATAACTAGAGTTGTTGGAAGAGGTTCAAAAATAGATCATATACCATTTACAACAAGTAGCACCTAATATTTAAAACAAATCTATTTCACCCTTATAAAAAATTTGATGATCGTTATGTAACCTCATAGTTAAAGGGTCATATACCTTTTCGAGAACACTTTGATCCCCAATAACTCGAGTTGTTGATAGCCAACGAAAATAATATCTTATATCATTCTATTAAAAAGAATAATAATGCATATAGATTTCAAACTAATGAGTAAAAATACAAGAGAATAAATCATACAAGACAAGATTGTTACTTAATTCAACAACTTGGTAGGAACTGAGATTTAATTGATACTCTTTGTTTCTTGTTTTTGTTGAAGCAGTGAGCCAGAGAGTCCACACTTATTGACATGGGAACAAGAAATTACTCGCCGCCAGGCAACAATTACCTAAACATATTAGGTAAAAGTTTACACATGTCAAAGAGGCGATGACTCGTAGTAGAAGTAGAGAGTAGAGACATATTAGAGAGTTGAATCTGAAAATTTATTTCTATGGTGAATGCTAATTGCAAATTCATGTGATTACATTGTACTACATCACTTTGTCCTCGAAATACAGAGCCGGGTTCCCTAATCGTATCGCAAAGTTAGACAAATTATTAATCAGAAGCACCGGTTTATCGAAATCCTTCGTCGGAAACAGACAAGTTATCGCGAACTGGAGTAGTAGGGTATTGCAGTTTCACGCCTAGGTCATGCTGATGACAACATATACAAGTGGAGAAGGAATCATATTTTGCTTTTGAAACAAAATGGTTAAGTAGGTTAGTGATTCATTAATAAGATTAATGGTTAGGTTAGTTGCCTAAGCTTAGATTGAGTGATGGTTGGTAATGGACTTTGACAGTGCAATGTAACAATGTACTTCTAGAGAGGACTCGTGGAAAGCCTTCTGTCTCTATCTTATTTTGTTTTCCTTTCCTTCAATATTTCTCAACTCAACCATTTGAGCATTTGTGGAGTACTAAAGTTATCAAAGTTGGTTGACCAACAAAAGTTTCAGGCTTACTTACCTCGTTAATTAGATTGATTAATCAGGCGTGAATCATGAGTATTATTGATTGATCCAATATGATCAAATATTAATCATATTGTTTTGACCAGGCAGAGCTAAGGGGGACACTTCATGATGTTTGGTTCAAATGGTAACGTTTTTTCTTGCACCCCTTCAACTGCAAGCAAAAGAAACCAATATAATGAAGTCTCCATCTTCTTCTTTTCCATGGAGGGACGGTGGATTCCTTGACTTGTGCGGATTTGGGAGGTTTGTCATCACTTTGGTGTTTTGGAATGGTTCTAGTGTTGGGAAGAGGTTTGGTAGACTTACAAAGAATCACATTTCGGGCTTAGGTGTGGATATAAGTTCATGGAGACAGATGGACAACCAAAGTGCAGGTTGTAGGTTGTGCGAGTTGTTGGGATGAACTGGTTATTTACATGATATCAGGGTTTTGGTTGAGCGATGTTGAGTTTGAAGTTTGGTGACCAATTTTAGCTGCAGTTGAGTTTAAGCATAAGGGTATGGCTAGCTAGTGTAATCTTCAATTACGCGAGTTGGTTTTCATTTCGAGGACGTTTATGAATCTTCTTCAATAGATGAGTTGTTTAAATTTATTCGTTACATAATGTTGAAGACTTTTATAAGGAGATCTCGTGCTTAATCCCAAAAAATGATGGGAGAACAATAGGTGATAGGTCGTATGGTAATACCACTTAGTGTTGAACTTGGAAGTTACAAATTCGAATATCTAAAGTAACACCTAATCACAAAAAAGTAAAATTATATCATACTTTAAAAAATAATGGTTGTAATTATTTTGAGGAACGTGTAGATATGTAGGCTTAGTATTATACCTGGATTAGAGGATCATCCTAGGCCCAAAGGTGGTACGATGATCTTGGGCCGTCAAAATCAACTATAAAACTCGGTCTCAATGGCCAGCCTTAGAAAGCCCAAGAAAGCCCAATTAAGGATACCAATTTCGAAACCCATGAAATAAATCCAAATTATATTGTCGTTGTATGCAACATGCCCAAAACAAAAGCTCCCAGCAAAAGGTCAAGCACTCAAGCTCAAAGCCTCAAACATGCAAATTATCTCTCCATACTTAAATTACCAAAACACCTCAACGCAATAACTTTGGTTCATAAATAATTAAATATGACACCCACAAGCGCTGGTCAACGTTTATAAACCCAATTCTTTAAGAAATCAAGGCTTATATCTCAATTTCCACCTTTTGTGATCAATTATTTTTCGATTTATCAATCAGATATAGAAGGGATATCTACCAATACAAATCTCTCCTTCCACCAAGATTTCGAATGAGTCATAACAGAAGTTGCACATTTTGCTTCCCTTGGAAAATGTTTTCAAATTCCATTTTCGTCTCTCTCACACAACATCCAATACTTTCACACCTCTATAAGCGATTTTGACTCTTGATCTTTTAAATATATTTGATCATCATTTATCATAACAATGTATCAGAAACGCAATCATAGAAACCAAAGGAGAAGTAGCTAGGGGGCGAAAAAGAAAGATTAGCAATGATATTGAGAGTAATCAATCATACAATCCTCTCATTCCATTGAGATTTGGAGGGAGAAAACAAGTTGCACCATTTGCTTCCCTAATTAGGAACATGTTTCCAAGTTCCATTCTCACCTCTCTACGTAACAACAACAACATCCCGTTACTAAAACTCAAACCCATTTCATCAACACATCACACCTCTATCAACATTTTTGACTCACATGATCTTCTGGATATATTTGATCATCACACCAACAGAACAATGAATCAAAAATTCATTCATAGGGAAAGATTAACGAAAAAGAAAAGAAAAAGATGAGCAATGATAATATTGATCATCATTTAAAAAAGAAAAAAAAGAATAATTGCACATATCTATCACCTAACCCACAAAGGATCGGTAATAATACAAGTGACGCTCCCCGTTCCGGGAAACACATCCTTATCATGGATATTGTTCTTACTGTTACTAACCTTCCCCGACTTCCCTAACCTGACATAGAACTCCGTGCACTCGGGCCGGAGCAAGACCTCCCAGGCCCACGGCCAGTGCGAGTACCCGGCCCGAACGTTCATCACAAAGCCCATCCGCATCCTCCCTTTCTCCCGCGCGTCGGTCAACATGTCCTCAGTGTACGGGAACCCGCCGTGCGTGAACTTCCCTCCCCGGTCGCACATCACCGCCTCCATCTCCACCGCCGCCTCGCTCCGCCCGCGGAGCCGAAGCGGCCGGTCCTCAAGCACGCACGACACCGGGATCCCCCGGTACATGAAGATCGCCTCCACGCGCCGGATCGTGATGTTGAGGTGGTCCTTCCGGTTCGAGAACCGGATCGTGCTCCCGTTCACGAACGACAGCCAGGGTTGGGTCGAGTTCGACAGGTCCAGCTCCACGGCCACGGGAGGGATCCGGATCTCCAGGGGACGGGCCACGGGCCCGTACCGCAGGTTGATCACGGTGACGATCACGAGGAACGTGACGCAGGAGACCATCAGGGCGAGGTAGATCAGGCACCGGAAGGTCCGGCAGCCTGCCGAGCTCCCGCACATTGTTGTGCTCTGCGCGAGAGAGAGAGAAAATGTTGTTTTATGGAGGAAAGGTTGGGAAGACTCTGCTTGAACGGTGCAACACCGGAGCGCGCGCAAACGGAAGAGATGTTGGGGCGGAGAGATCCGCCCTTCTTTTTCCCGTTTGCGAGCCGGTGGCGGGGAGGCTTTTTATTTGGAGGGAAGGAGAGGGGTATGACTTTTTATTTACATTGAAGAGGAGGGAAAATGGGCAGGGGGTTTGAATGGTTGTGATGATCATGATTATCATTATTATTAGTGGTAATTTGTTTTTGTTTTTGTTTTTGTTTTTTTGCCAAGTAATATTTTTGTTTTTATTTCTTTTTGGAAGAAATGGGGAAAAGATTGAATTACTACAACCATGCAACTAATCTTGGTAAGAGTAGTAATAATGCTAAGTTGGCAAATTTGTGTAGTTTTTCAAAATTATTCCATAGGTATGGATGGAGGCTTTGGCTAATTTGGAAAAAAAAAAAATTGAAACAAGAATAGCCTAAATGAATTATTAAATCTAAATATAGCTTAATAGCATGGAAGAAAGGTATCTAATTCCTTATCATCCAATCTTATTCTAGGTTAGTCGTTGGCTTTATTAAACAATCGCAGGACCCTTTGCATCCACACGCAAGCATATTGCACTCCATTCATCGTATTTTATCTCAGGATTGGATGGTTTAATTAGTTCATACATATTGCGAGGGGTAATAGAGTCGTAGACTTAATCTCAAAGTGTAGTCTCATCTATCCCTTTCGGTTGTATGAAGAAGATGATCTCTTCGGAATTGGAGATAATTACCAGGTTGAACATAATTGAAGTCAGCTTCTCTCGGTTAAAGATTCGAGAGAGCAATTGATGGGTTGAGAGCCTTTGGCCAGATCTGTTTGGTGTTGTTTTTGCATTAGTCACTTCAATCTGGTTCTCTACTACTTGTTAGATAGCTCGAGTTTCCAGATAGGGATGACAATTTTGCCCATACCCATGGGTATTTTACTATCCAACCCAATTGGGTTGGGTATGGATTCCAAATAAATGGTAGATGGGTAGAGTTTGATGGATTTGTACCCATACCCATTTACTTGGGTTGGGTTGGGTTTTTAACACATGGATTTGGGTTTGTACCCATGCCCAAAGGCAAATTACAGTTTGGTACCTTAAACTTAATAGATATGCAGATTTAGTACCTAAATTTAATTTTTTTGCATATAAGTCCTCAAAATATCGATGGAAAATTACGTTTTGGTACCTAAATTTTTTTGGCCTTACATTTTGGTACCTAAACTTTTCAAGTTTTACAAATAGGTCCAATCTTTGTGTGTGTAGTTAAAACACCCTAAGTAAATGGATATCCAAATCCAACCCATACCCATTTACATTATGAAAGCAATATCCATACCTAACCCAAATCCATCTACAAACCCCCAAACCCATATACACTTCATCCAAACCCTACCCATACTAAATGGATTTATTTGGATTTGGGTAAAATTACCCATGGGTGGGTAATTGCCATCCCTATTTCCAGAGGCTTTAGCGTCAGTGCTTTGTTTCTTGGTTGCCTTGCAACCCCCTCTATCAAAAAATATTATGTGTAAAAGATCAAACGAACATATATCTCAACCAGATATAAAAAAAAGTCAAGTTAAGCAACTACAACAAAGGCCAATGAGAATTGTCATATTTCAGGGTTCCAACATGAGTTCTTTCATTCATTAGCTTGAAAAATTACGATATCATCTTCATCCTCAAACGCCTTTCCATAGTAAAATGAAAATCACAAAGTCATAAGCCACAACCTCAAAAGTGTTCAAAAAAATTACCTCTCACACTCATTGGCATGGACCCCACTTGAAAAATGAATACACATTAGAAATGAAGGATTTGCTAGGTGAGGTTAGTAAGTTCCGAATATGGACCTCCTCTTCCCACGAGAATGATTTTATCACTAAAACAAGCATTGTATTTGATTATGTTTGAGCACCGATAAATTATATTTCTGTCTATACCAATGAGATTCACACTGAATTTTTTGCTAATCTAAGGATGAATTACACTAATTATTTTGTTAATGGTTGTTCAAGGGTGAAGTTCATAGTTACAAATTATCATTGTATACCGTTTCTCTTGTAGTGGACATGCACCCAACTCTATGTATAGTCATAGAGTCCTATAAACGAAGAAGGTTACAGCCTTCAGGCAACTAGATGATTTCATTAAGAGGAGTAAAAAAAGTGTATTATTGTGTATACTAACGCATATATATGTAAAAAAGAATACTAACATTATTACTTACAAAAATAATCCTGATTCAACTCTCAAAAGGTTAACCTTCGACCAAAATTTCATAATTTAGCTTCTAATCAAACCTGAAGAATGGGAGATTTCTCCTTTTGATCCTCCCCATCAATACAGTTATCAGTACTACAACCACTATTCGTTACAGCAATATTCCTCACTGCCTCATCTTCATAACCCAACATCGCTTGCTGCCGTGGGCTTACACCATTCTCTTCCACACCCACTGCTGCAGCTGCCGGCCTATTTCCTCCGGCGGCAGTCGTCGTCACTGCAGCCACCGCCATCTGATCCACCGTTGTTCTCTTCCTCTCACTCACCACATCCCAAAGAAAATCAATCAGAACCCGCTCGTAGCCGGGCATCTTTGCGTACCCGGGGAAATAATTGATATCGATAACTAAATACTTATTCTCTCTCGTCGAATCCCTAATTACATCAAAGTTAAACAGATGGAGCTTCGTCGCGGACCTGAGACCTCTGGCGAGGTCCACGACGAAGCTCTGGGGTGGCATCTCCGTCCCATCCAGCTGCATCACCTTGTAGTAGTCGTACTTATCGTCGTCGTCGTCATCGTCATTGTTCCTCTGTGGCGTCGTGATATTGGACACCTGAGAAAACGGCATCGAGCTCTCCGAGCTGATGCTCCCCGGGATCACGTCGGGGAGGGACTTCCGCTTCACGCACTGAACGTAATCGCCCACCACGTAGACTTTGAAGATCACACCGCCGTGGTTGACGAACTCTTGAAGAACGATGGGGGGTTTGAGCTTGTCGAGTCCGTCGTGGTTGAAGATTAGGGACATCTTGTGGGATTTGGCACTACCGTCGGCGATCAGTGGCTTGGCAATCACCGGGAACTTGAGAAGGTCCCATGATCGGCGGTCCGAGAGGGTCTCCTTGTCGTAGATCACAATCTGTTTCGGGATTCCGAATCTGGCCGCTGGTGAGACTGCGGTGGAGTTTGTTTTGAGCTCCGAGACCACCTGTTACACGAATTCTAAAGAGATTAGCATTACAATTCATTGGAATGATTACATCCAATTCACCTTAACTTGAACATTCAGTCAATTGGATTATTAGCTTAATAGTAACCAAACACCTGATCCATCCCGAACTCCGAACAATCGACTATAACATCCAATTCATTCTGAATAAGATTTGCTCAGCATCATAATGGAGTTAGCCTCGCATGATAACATTTGATCCACCTAACATTCAAACATTGATTTGGCTGTTCGGGGTAGTCCGACATTTAACAGTAGCATTCAACCCATCTTGAATTAAAACCTTAACACGAAATAGCAACAAGGTAAGCTTAACAATGATGGTAAACCGTTGCATACTATTCACCCCGAGTTTGAACATCAGGCCACCATTACTACGAGATTAACGAAACTGCAATAGAACACCACAATCTAGTTCATCTTAAATTTGAACATTCGGACAACACCATTACACGATTAGCTCTAACAATAACAGGGCATACATTTCAATCCATCATGAATTCCAGCATTTGCCTAATATCACTACAAAGACAGCTTAATGATAACATTCAAATTCCACTTGAATTCCAACATTAGGTCATACATCACTACACAAATACACCTACCATTACAATTCACCCTGAATTCGAACATCAGGCCACCATTGCAACGAGATTAACAAAACGGCAATAGAACACCACAATCTAGTTCATCTTAAACTTGAAGGTTCGGCCCATTGCACGATTAGCTCTAACCATAACAAGGCGTACATTTCAATCCATCCTGGATTCGAACATCAGGCCACCATTACTATGAGATAAACGCAACACTAATAGAGCATCACAATCTAATAATTTGAACATTCGGCCAACACCATTACACAATTAGCTCTAACCATAACAAGGCATACATTTCAATCCATCCTGAATTCGAGCATTTGCCTAATATCACTACGGAGACAGCCTAATGATAACATTCAAATTCCTCCCTGAATTCCAAAATTCGGCCATGCATCACTACACAAATACACCTATCTAGCAATACACCGACGACAGAAACGACGACGTTGAATTCGTACCTGGAGCATGGAGATGCGGTTGTGGAGGCGGGAGATGGATTCGGGGGAGTCGATAACGGCGGCATCGGGGTGGTGGCGGCGGAAATCGTCGAGCTGTCGGGACCAATCGTCTCCGTAGAGCTTGTGGAGGAGGCAATCGAAGGGGCCCTGGTCGATTAGAGGGCGGCGGAGGTCGATCGGGACGAGGTCGATGCCGCGATCCCGACAGAGGGAGACGAGGGAGTCCTGGATGAAGCTCTGCTGCTTCTTCGGTAGCAATGCGTATCCCACTCTGTACCGCCTCGAGTCCGCCATGGATTTGGAGGAAAGCTTGGACAGAGAGGGAGAAGGGAGGGAATTGGGGGCCGATTGGAGAAGATGGAGGAGAGCGATTTTTCGGTCAAGAGAAAAGTTCGCAGAAAGGGTTTTTTTTTTTGGGAGAGTGAGAAAAATAAAATAAAAAATTGCTACGTGGCGGGTACAGAAACTGTTCGAATCCTTCTTCTATAACAGTTTCTTTCTTCAGTCATTATGTCTAGAGGCTAATAGCACTTTTAGTGCACATACTATTTTGGTTTTCAGAAACAAGTGCATCTACTCCGATTTCTTACGTAATGAGGAATTTGGGACCAAGTGTGCATAGCTTGAAAACATAAGGGACTAAATTCGTCTAGGACGTAGGATTTATGATCAAATGAGAGATTGATCATGATGAGCCGATGACTGATGAGATGACGATAACTCAAAATAAGTCAAATGGTTTATCGCCAACAGCCGCCGGAATTTTAGAAGTCGTTCATGCACACATAATCATCTTAATTAAAACTAAAATTAGGATGTGTACGGTGGTACTCATGATATCAACAAAAGAAAGTCAACTCCAAAGAAAAGTTTTCAGTTTTGTTATTTTTATCATTTGAAAAGAAGAATGCCCACCACCATGAGGCTAATCAAACTCACCATCATAAGGTTAAAGGACTTATACTCTACATTATTAATCAAATTGTTATAAACGCGCTGCTACGGATCGGGAAATCACCGAAATCGATAAAGCAAGAATATGAAAGCGAGAATCGAAAAACACAGACACACGATTTACGTGGTTCACTAACAAGATGTGTGTTAGCTACGTCCACGGGCGAGAGAGAGCCAGTTTCACTATATCGAGGAGATTACAGATTACAGAAGAGTATGAGAAGTATTTATAGTACTTCTCCATGTGGGTCTATACCTAATCCAATCTGGCAAAGGAAACGGTTACAGACCAGGCCCAGAACCCGAACCCAAATAACATTGAGCCCATACACTGCGGGCCGCCGGGGCGTTGCCCTGGACCCCACTCGCTGACCGAGCAGCGAGACCCCCGACTACCAGTCGTAGCGGCTGATAGTCCGATTCAAGACACATCAACACCAATATGCAGGTAAATATAACTATATAAGTTGTGCAAATCATAGAAGTTTCAATCTTCAAACGAATACGCAATTTTGTGCATATGAAATTTAATTAATATTAGTGTATATCTTTACAATGGATCGAATTGTTATTATCGTGACATCATATTGTTTTTATTCCCCCCCCCCCCCCCTTTTATAGATTTGTAATTTCACATATATGTTAAAATGAGTAGTTTATGTTCAGAAAAGGAATCAAAGTTGTACATTGTATAGCCAAGTTGTCAGTGTTCAACCTAGCGAAACGACTTGGACATTTATACATGACTTAATCAATTATACGAATGTATGATGCAATATTGTATTCTAAACCAATAATTAAAGATTAACTTTAAATTATACATAAGTTGGAAATGTTCAATATATTTGAATGTTGAAGTCATTATCATTTGGATGCAAAATTTGGTCTTTGGTACAAAGCCCATAGGTTCAGAGAATTCAACACAACAACAAGGCGGTTTTCTCATTTTCGCCGATGGATCGGATTAATTGTATTGGCCAATTGGTCAAATCCTTTGATAAGTCCAACCCTAATGCCTGGTTTTAATGTCAATGCTAATTAATGCTTTCAGAACTGTTGGCGGTTGCTATTAAGTATTAATCTATACTAGTTCTCGATGCCCGAGCTTCGCGACGGGATTTGTATTATACAATAAAAAAAATGATTGATAATATATATCTTGAACTTCTTTTGTTATATATTCCTGGATGTAGCAAATTTATTGTTTGAATAGCAAGTTAGTATGTAAGCAAATGACAATAAATAAGTAGCTAGTAAACAATTGTTGGTTTTTGGTCTAATTCTTAATCAATAAACAGATAATTAGTTGAATTAACAGGACCATAAATTCATGTATAGTTTGTTTCTCCATTTCGATTCAAAACACACTAGGTTATGTTTCAATTTCAGTTTTTGGATTAAGCTTTTGACTTTTCAAATTGTGAAATTAGGGACTCAGCAAGGACAACATGCTCTGAACAGCTGAAAGTCCAGAACACAAACCAGGGTCAATTTTGACCTAAGTTTTGGAATTCGAATCTACATTGACGATTCCACTCGTGTGCTACACATACAGAATGATTGGCCATTGAGCAGACGGTTACATAGTATCAATCAATACTTTCAATTTGTAACTATATTAACATAATAATGAATCAAATCATGCTCAAAGCCGAGGTCAGTGTCCAACAAAATCAGACCTCATATGTTTACAAAAACTTCAACCAATAGGTTCTTAGTTCGAACAGGAGCATCCACTTGCAAGTTATGGTTGGGCACATGAGTAATAAAACCTTATAACATGGTAGATATCGTTTTGATCTTCCCCTTCAGTGGGCAAACTTTTCTCCCATTGAAAGAAAGAACGAAACCTGTCCTAATCAATAGGCAATCAACCAAGACTTATGTGGGATAAAAGCTTCTATCACCCACGTTTGGCCAATCATAGGGATAAAAAACAAATTTCATAAGCATCATTCCATATACACACCAACCAGCCTAACAAAGAAGCACACAAAGCTTATATGAGCAAACCACATAGAAACTAACTATTAGAAGATTAAAGTGTTTCAGACAGATCAGTACATTAACCCTCAATTAGAAGATGTCAGCTCCACAGGCAGAGTTGCAATTTCCTTTCAATAGAAGCACAACAGAACTATGCATAATGGGGCTTTACTAATGTAACATGGCGACTCCTAGCTTCTCAGTAGAAGAGAAAGTAACACAAGTTCACATTACAAACAACATAATTCAATAGATTACCGAGATTACATAATAAACAAAAAAAATGATAACTTGCAGCAACCACTCTTCCACCAGAAAGGAACTTAAAAGTACAACCATTTGTCATTGGATCTGAGTTGAGCATCAGAAATTTAAACATAAAAAATCATTGAGAGAATGAGCGCTTGCACCTTGAAAGAAAAGTTTTCAAGCTTGTCCAACATAGACTCACTGGATTGAGAACTTGAAAATCTATTAGGAATGGAAACAAACAATATATTCTCAGCTCCGCATTTAGTAAGAAAGATTCCAAAAACTTAAATATAAAAAGAACTTGGAGTAGATGCTAACCTCAAGGGAGTTCCGAATCGATGGGTCATATCACTGCTCCACAACCTCTGAAGTAAGACGATTGTTATCCCCATCTGCCAAAGTGACTCAGCCTAACAAAAGCGTAGACTAAGAAGTAAGTCTATGAAGGAAAAAGAAATCAAAGCTAGAAGAGAGAGAGGGAGAGAGCTGGAGAGAGGCTCAGAGTAGGAGAAACTCACCGGTTGAATTGATAGACGTCTTCAACAATATGGTATGCCACTTAGACTCGTCCAAATCCCAGGCCCATCATCAACCTTCGAAACACAAGAATGACAACAAAAGCGACAAACACAAGTCACATATCATAAAAGAAAAATTGGGTGGAAAAATTGGGGGGAAGGAACTACTGTGAGTTTTAGGTCGTTGGCACTACCCTGCGACTACGGCCATTTTGGATCTTTTAGTTCATGTCCGTCGTAGATCCAGACCCTGAAGAAGAAGTAAAATATATGAAAGGAGAACAAATCAGTGCACCGACACCAAAAGAAAAATGTTGTGCATAGAAAAAGGTAAAGAGAGGCACCGCTAGGGTACAACGCATTCAGTTTCTTCGAAAATACAGGCAAGCGCAGTGCTTTCTTTGCCTGGTCAGATCTGAGAACTTCTTCACTTTGTTCGGCTTCATCTACACAAAACCAAAAAACCCACCATAGATTAAGTATGATTCCAAAAAAAAAAAACCTATGGAAAGAGATACAACATACACTTTCAGAACAAAAGGAAAGAAGGAAGAAATACTCGAATCAAAGGCAGAACTGTAGGATATGAATCTTCTCCAGGGCCTAACGATCTCTTCCGTCTTTGTCCATCGTAAGAGGATAGTTGAGGAAAGCCAAAAGAGAGAAAATGAGAGAGAGAAGCCGGGAAGAGAGAGGAAGGAGAACACGAGAGCTTAAAACCAGAAACGCAAGAAGAGAAAGGTGGGAAAGAGAGAATCGATAGATGATGAAAGAGAACCGACGTCTTAACTTCTCTCGCTAAGAAAGCCGCACCAACTGGCCACTTTTCTCCCCCGGCTGACTGAATGATTGACGGTTCTCTCGAGCATAGCGCCCTTTATGGGCATTGTGCCTGATAATATTTCCCAGCCTATCAAATTCAAAACGTTCTATCGTCTTGAACACTGTGAAAGCAAACCACCCCACCCCACTAACCCTGCCTACTATTAAGAACCCCAATCACAAAATAGTCGCTGGAATTAGTTTGTTCCCGCATGATCAATGCGAGAAAGGGCCGACCAAAATAGGAGAGAGGCGAAACCAAACGTGGTGTCAGTAGTTCAAAGCAAACCAATAATTCGAAACCAACCAGAGAATACGTGCACCCGCCACAGCCAATCCCACGCCAAGATGTAACAGTAAAACTGAGTCTAAAACTACAGTAAAAGCAGTCTTGTGCTATAGTAATTGGGGAGTTGGGGTTTTTATTTCTTTCAATAATCCGAATTTATTTAATTTTTTCTTGCTAGAGCTAGTAGCCTTTATTTATGAATTAATTATTGGACAATGCTAATTAATTATCGTTTGTTTTCTTCTAGTGAACTTTCTCGTTAAGCTATAAACAGCACGGCCACCTTCATTTTCATAGCAGCCAGCCATGGGAAATGCCGGCGAACTATTAGCTAGCAAAAAAAAAAAAAAAAAAAGGTGTGAATGCAAATATAACAAGTAAACAATAAACGATTCAACTATAAGTTTTAATTTGTTGTTGTTTACTTATCTATATTGCTTGCCTATAGCTATTAGACATAAAATCATCTTGGTGTAATCTGAACTAAACTTTGAATTCTTCTGGTAATCCTTGTTATTATTTCGTTAACAATCACGTAAACAAGGAGGTTCCTAGCTTGGTAATGATATATAATAAATAGTCCCATTCTCATATTGTCATGAAATATAATGTATGATACAATGTTTGCACGTTCAACTTTCTCGTGTTTATTGTAAAAATTATTTTTTATTTAACCACTAGAACGATGGCGGAGAAAGATTAAAACTAGGGGTTCACCTGCTTGAGTGCTTTGGGCCCTCCACTAAGATTCTTTTTTGGTGCCTCCGGAAACACCATAGCTGACTTTAAGTTGGGCCGAACACATGACCTCACACTTTCCGATCAAGGGTCTCTAAAATTTTACCAGTTGATTAATCATCAACAGGGTTACCATTTAATAACAAAAAAAAATTGAAGGATCATGACTTACAATTACTCTCTTCCATGTGGTATAACATGCATCACCTATAAAAATGCATTCAATCAAACGCTCAATTAATATTTATAAAAGAAACACTCAATTAACCAATATTTCAAGATTAAAATAAAATCTAGCCGTCCTACTACTACTACTACTATTATTATTATTATTATTATTATTATTATTATTGATATACATATGCATGGGAGCAAAGAAATCCGGAACTAAATCTAATATCCAGAATTTTAATCATTCCTTCATTATTTTGAACAATTATTTTGATTACTTCGATATTTTCATCGAACATTAAAGAGTAAAATAATTACCGGGTGTCGGCGGCAAGAACAGCTGGCCAACTGGGTCTAATCTCGGGATAGCAGACAACCAATGTGGAAGCATATGGGCCTCCAGCAGCAAATTTAGCTCAATATATTTCCACGTCGGCCCATTTTATTTTTCACGTCTCTCCCAACAGAAACCTTATCCAAATAATTGCACTGAGACAGATAATGCCACTTTCTTTGTCCCCTTCTCTAGATTGACTTTTTCTTTTCTCTTCATTGCTCGACAGATGTAGTTTTCGAAAAGATAACTTGACAGGTGGCGTCCGTTTAGACTGTAGGAAATGGTAATTCTTTCTTTATGTTAATTAGATCTGGACTAGGACGACGGCGAATGAGATGAGCTATTCCAACTCGAAATTCGGCTCGAACTTTTTTTTTGTTCGAAACTCTATTTGTTTACTAAGACGTCGAGCTTGAAAGGCTTGTGAGATAGCTCAGTTTGGTGATATGTCGAGCTTGAAAGGCTTGTGAGATAGCTCAATTTGGTGACATTTTGAGCTGAACTTATGAACTGACTCATTTTGAGCTCATGAAATGAACATAAACGCCTTTTCCCCACGAAAATAGGTAGGGAGAAAAAGAAATATCATGCTATCTAATCCTATCTAATACGTAAGTACATTAAGACGACGTTTTTCGTTACCTTTCTCCAAAATTAGGCTAAACTCTTGATCACTATAACTATGAATAATGCACAACCTCATCATCATGGTTGGTATTCTCTATAATTGGCAATGAGCATAAGATACATCCTCGTCCAAAACCACCAGCATATTTACCATTCTGTCATCCTCGTAACAGCAAACTATAGAAATTGACAAAACCTAATTATTAGTGTATTGGGAAGAGAAATGAAGGCACTGATATTTATTCATAAGTATAGACAGCCAACGTGTTGTTGTTCTGTTCGTCATCAAACAAAATAAATTAAGAAACCCCATAAGAAGAAGAAGAAGAAGAAGAAGAAGAAATCGGCGGTTCATGTCGTAAGAGGCTTCTGTAAAACGAAAAGAAACCATCCCCAGCATTACTAGATTGAATAACGATCTGTACATGATGAACGGCAGTTCTTTTTCATTTGGAAGTATTACTGAGGAATGGGAAACAGAACAAGCAGAGCCTTAACCACAGACCTTTCTTCTCCTCCGGAGCCAGCAATTTCGCGTCCCGGCTAGCAACAAGGTCGGCCATGTACTGCACAACTGCCTGCAGAGAAGATAGAAAACCAGATTGAAGAAATGTAGTTAGAAATGATGACCCTAATCATAAGATCACTAAAAGTTTCAATGCATATGGTAAAATGGTGATTTAGAGACCGAATCAAATCGTTGATAGCGAAGCAGTGTACAATTCGATCAGTCGAGTTAAGACTCAGAACAAGTACCTGAGCTCCCAATTTGCATACTTCTCTAGGGGGAACTTCAAGAGGTGTTTCATTAGCATGAAAGACTCTCAATTTTGACAGGAACCTGAAGGAATCTGGCAACACCCTTATTTGATCATCGCTTATATCCAACTCCTCGAGCATCTCCAAGTTTCCAATCGATCTGGGCAGGGCTCTCAAATCCGCAAAGTTCTTACCTACATTGATCTTCTTCAGCTGCACAGCGAAACACAGGCTCTCGGGCAGATACTCGAGCTCGTTAAAGCTCACATCTATCTCCTTCAGATTCAACAGGTTCCCCATTGTGGTAGGCAAGCTCTTGACCCTGTTGTAGTGCAGAGTCAGAACTTCTAAGCATTCAAGCTTGCCAACTGCCTCGGGGAGAGCTTTCAGGTTGTTGAAGTCTAATCTCAGCTCGGTGAGAGACGAGCAGTTTCCGATTGTGTAAGGGAGCTCCTCGAGCTCGTTGGTCTCGGCGATGAGCGTCTTGAGCTTTGTGAGGTCGCCAATGGTGTCAGGCAATGAAGTGAAGTGATTCGAGCTCAAGTCCAAGTTGACCATGTTCTTCAGGTTGCCAATTGAAGGTGGGAGCGACTTGAGGTTGTTCGCGTGGAGGTCGAGGTCGGTTAGATTGATCAGCTCACCGAATGAGTCCGGTAAATTCATCAGCTGGTTCGAGTGGAGATCGAGCTTGGTTACTGATTTGAGGTTGGAGATGGATGGCGGGAGTGCAATGATTTTGTTCTCGGATAAGTCGAGCTCAGTGGTGGATGATAGTTTGCCGATTGAGGTTGGAAGCCACTCGATTTGGTCCATTAGTTTGCCTCTGAGATCGATTGTTTCAGCTCCTGATTTCGCAGAGTTCTCTATCATTGCTGCCACCTTCAGCAGGCTTAGTTTCTCGTTGGAGTTCACTTCACCTGCAACCAGTGAGGCAAAAACACAAACAGTTGGCATGCATCGAACTCTACACGAAAATTCTCGACCCCATAAAAATGAAATCTGAAACCTAAAGCTTTCCACAAGACAAGAAATTGAAACTCCGGAAGAAAAAAAAAACCCCACCTGAGAAGAAAGCAGCCCTAGTGGAAGAGCTTCTACCCAAGGCCTTGAGCTCATCAGTACCTAGTTCACCACCAGCCTCAACCAATTTCTCCGTCACAAGGCCAGTTTCCTTGGCAATTTTGGCAACTGGGTCGTCGAATCCGGCCGATTTCTCCACCTGGGAATCGCCAGAGACAAGCAAAGAAGCTCGCTGGATCAACCCACCGAGCATCTCGAACATCTCGTCGAGTTCCACCAACCGAGCCGCCTCTCTGCTCTGCTCACGGCACTGGTGAACAGACACCGTCCTCCTCACTTGCTGCAGCAGCGCGAAGAGCTCCTCTGGCACATCTGGCGGGCGCTGGTGTTTGGAGATTTCTTCTAGCTTCGCCTGCTCTTCGTTTTGGATGGACTTGACCACGGCGACGGCGGCCTCCACTTCGTCGATAGAAGGCCTCGGAGGGAGGGATCTGTAGAGCCTCATGATTTCGGCGACTGTATCCACGAAGGCGGGCGACGGAGCTGCTGGCCCGCCGCCATCGTTGGATTTCACGGCCATGGCTGCTGCCTGGGAGAAGAGATCAGAGTGAGTGGAAGACAGGGAGAGAGAGAAAGGAAAGACAGAGCTGTTTTGGTTGACGGAGGAAAGGAGCAAGGTGGTTTCATTTTATCTTTTTCCCCTGAAAAGAGATGACAGCTGATTGCTTCGTTGTTATTATTTTAGCATGAAATTGTTTATTTATTTAATTGAGAACCTTGTTTACAGTTTAATTTTTATTTTTATCCTACTTGTTTGTATTCTTGAAACCGGCATTTAGGTACAAAGAAAAATAGAAACCGGCATTAGGTAGGTCGACATTTTCAGTCATATATTATATACTATGGTATTTTATCCAATTCATCACTGTATCATGAGTTTTAACAAACTAGCATTTGTAGTTCCTATGTTACACACTTTGTCCAGAATCGTGGAGTTAGACTATAATTAAATGGGGAAAAGCTCACAATGGATCCAGAAATATAAGGACGTATTTGTCATTAGTTTGTTACGTGGATGGTGCGGTGATGGATGACTAGGAGGATTTTCTTCTTTTATGCAGGTCAGACTGCAACCCTATGTGATGAATTCACATAGGGTTGCAGTAGTGGTGGTGATGGATGATTAGGGGGATTTTCTTCTTTTATGCAGGTCAGACTGATACGTTTTTTGTGGAGTTACTCGCGTTTCGAGATGCATTGCGGTGGACCTTGTTGAAGAGTTTGTCGTCAGTGGAGTTTCGTGGGGACGTCAAGGTTGTTATTGACAGGTTTGTTAGGGAGGTGCGTCATGATGCTCGACGAGGAGGAACTTTTGAGGAAATCTTTCAGTTGAAGGTAGTTTTTCATTGGTTTAAAGTGTGTTCTCTTGGTAGGGAGAGCAATCTGGTGACCCATATGATGGGTAAAAAGGCTCTTTTTTTTGTTGCCTGCTGGTATTTTGGGGTTTGATTATCGCTCTTGTGTGAGGTCTGTAGTTTGAACATTATATCTATGTTCCTTGAACAATGCAAGTGAGCTATTGATAAAAAATAAAAAAAAATTACAAGGATGTATTTGTTAAATTGACAAAGTGTAAGAATTAGGTGTCTCGTTAACAATAAAAGATGCATATGTATTTCATTCTTACATATATATAAAAATATTGCAACCAAACTCAACAAGAGTGGCAATCGGGAATTATAAGAGTTCAAAGATTACTGATTACGCGTTAATAAAAGCTTGAGTACGGCCATTAGAGGGTTTTGGTCTAACGATACAAAGGTAGTAACATCATTATTAGATGTAGTAATACGAAAGTCATTTCTTCTCATTTTTGTTTCTTTGTATTTGTAGATTGTCAAGCTAATGGTCCATCGATAAATTATATATATATTTTTTTTATTTTTCATCTCAAAATGTGTCCAATATTATATGCTGAATTCTAGTAATAAGATTCGTAATGTGTTTTGCAATTGAGAAAATGTCTTCTTTAGCACAGGCTAAAGTTTATGTTTATGGTTGTGAAACGGTCACTTATGAAAAGCGCGGTCAGCGGTCAAATAGTAAAAAATATTTTAGTAAGGTTGTCAATTCGGTTTAGACCGTTGGTCCAGCCGTCCAGTCGACCAAGTAGGTTAGGGTTAATGATTCGACCGGTTTAGCACTAATTTATGAAAAAGTCATTACATTCTTCATACATTTATAAATTATATAAAATCTCATCTAACATATGAGTAATAACATTACACCATACTAGTTACAGGCCCGGCCAGTTGGCCGGATGCATTTCGTCAACTTCGTAAACAACGGTCGCAATTAGTATGCGAGATATGTATTTATCATAGCTATAGGCCTTTACCTACTAATTGGTTTTTACCCAAGGTTGTTTGTTCGAGTTTCTCAAGAAAGAAAAAATTCTATCTTTGTTAATAATTCTTTACCTCGGGTCTAAATCTTAGTTAAACATTCTTGATCTTAAATTCAAGATAATTGTAAACTTGTTTTCGTCAACTACATAAACAACAGTAACAATAGCAATTAGTATGTGAGATATGTATTTATCATAGCCATAGTCCTTTACCCACTAATTAGTTTTAGCTTGAGGTTGTTAGTTCGAGTTTCTCAAGGAAGAAAAATTGTCTCTTTGTTAATAAATCTTTATATCGGGTCTAAATCCTATTTAAACATTCTTCATGTTTAATTCAAGATAATTAAAGTACATAATATTTCATCAAAGTTTCCTTTATCTTTTCTCGAACATACTTGACTATAAACTAACAAATTCCTCAAGGATCCTTAATTACATGCTATTCTAAGTCCTTAATTAAGGATTGTATACATTGATAGAGGCCATTCTAGATCATTTGCTGGCCTTTATCAACTAAGACACTTAATTCTTAGTCATTCTCCTCAAACATTTGCTTATACGCAACACATAAGGTGAATTAAAGCTAATATAGAGTCTCCAGCATGTCTCACCTGATGTTAGGTAACGAAGATCTAAAAATGCTTTAATCTCATTAATGCAAATGCAAGCTGTTAAAGTTTTTTCTTGGATTTGGTATTTTTTTTCATTACCTTCTGGTTTAGATGTCAAAGTCATCATTGTTTAGTCTGCAGGTTTGTTGATATATTTGAACAAATACTTGATAGCCACAGATAACATAGTAAATTAATCATATGATTTAGAAACATACAAATAAAATATAATAATAAAGTTGAAAAATTTATTGAACTATGAAGCGTTATATATTGACTCTTGAAATTTGGTTTCACCATATTTTGATTTATAAATTTAAAAAATAAAATTTTTGAAATTTTGGTGATAATTTTGTTCGCTTGGCCCAGCGTATGAAGAAAAATAATATTACACTTGAGCTAAATCACAAAATAAAATAAACCTAAACCTAACACACGCCTCACATTCCCACAATTTCACAAAACCACTATGCCTAAATACACAATAATAATATGGTAATGATAATATTAATAATAAAGCGATTCTAATAATAACCCATTAGAATATGGTAAGTATTCCCTTCAGAAAAAAATGGTTAAGCACAACTGCTTGATATCGCATCATATTATAGTAACTACTATGTTACGCTGACAATATGAATAACGAATAAATATTGAAAATGGTTTAGGGAAAAAAAACTATAGGAGACCACAATAATTGAAACATTATGTAACATTAATTTAATGAGGATATAAAAAATAAAATGAGATAAATAACTAATAGATGTTTGAAATTGCTACAACAGATATTTGTTATAAGAAACAACAAACTGATTATCTAATGAGATCACATTCACCATAAATGATATGTTGTTTCAACTTGAAATCTCTTGCGAGGACATCAACTCTATTACGATATTTTCTAGTAGTAGTCCTTATCAAATCAATAATGTATTGAGTCTCAGACCTATCAGGAGTACATGTAAATGTAATGAAAAGATTTGGATGTCCTGTCCATTCACAAATTGCCATAACATTATAGAAGTTTTTGTACTTATACCGAGGACCATCTGTATGTGATGAAGATAAAGTCACATAATTTTCACTCACACTAGTACCTGAATCACCTCTCAAGTATGAATTCAAAAGACCTTGGTAGTAATGCTGTTGCAACCTTATTTGATTATATCCTCATCAAGTCTGTAACAATGTACAGATTAAATGATTTACTTGACTTTAAATCGAATAAACATATACTCTGCATCCATAATTTATCGATCAGACAATTTACCTCTAACAAAAGTTATGTGACGACCCCATTACCGTATGATATGTTCCAAAAGGTGACATCGCATTGAAATATTTGCTTGCAATAGAATATTTAAAACCTCTAGAGGAGGGATGTTCACTTTGCCTTATTTGCAACACAATGAAAACTTCGGTTGATCTAGAATTTCTAGTGGGCTTGATGCTACTTCCGCCCTTCCCATTCCACAATATACGATAGGTTTCAAATGACAAACACTTCAACAATTGTCAATAAAATTAAACTCCAATATAACAAATACATTTGAAAAAAATTCTAACATTATCATACATGAAGAAAACTAAAATACTGTAAATATCAATAAACCTGAAAAGTCTTCGGAATGCATCACATGTAGATGATTATAATGGTTTTTGGCATGTTTGATAGATCTTCACAATCTATTTTCTCTTAGTTTGTAAGTTACTTATCTCAAATTGAAGTCTTGTATAGGAATTAGTAAAATAAGAAATCTTAGCATTCAACATAGAATTTGATAACCATATAAATCGAAAACAAACATGAAATCAATGGATTACCCGTAGGAATTTTGACAACTTTTCTATGTATAGGCTTTTGCCTTATATAAAGAGCAAGTTCTCTTATTTCTATTTTTTCAGTGGTTGGTCAATTCCCTTCAACGCTGACTTGTGTGCATTAATTTATGAAAATTTAAAATAGATAGTAATAGTTTTGTAAGATCAAGTCATATGAAATAGTTGGAAAGTTGTCTCACATGGATGATCCGGTAGTGGTAGAGTTGCTGGTGCTCAGGGAAGCTATTATTTGGTGTGTGGAGCAAGGCTTGTCGGAGGTCCGTTTGAGGGCGATACGAAGGTGATTATAGACAAAATTAATCAAGCCGACACAAGAGATAGCCGATTGGGTGCTGTTCTGGAAGAGATTAGTCATTATTTTCGTACTCAGCCTGGCTTTAGTGTGCGCTTTGTAGGACGGGAGAACAATAGGGTAGCTCATTTGGTAGCTAGGAAAGCCCTCTCTTTGTATCCGACTATGAGTTGCTTCTTTGATTTCCAGACCTGGCTGGCTTCCAGGGGGTAACTATCTATTTCTCGATCAATACATGATATCTTTTGACAAAAAAAAAAGAAGAAATAGTTGGAAAGATTATAAACGATGGATGGTTCATGGATTTTCATACCATCGTAAAACTTTTCTTGTGCTTCAGATAGAGACTTATCAATATTTTTTTTTTGAGGGAGAGACTTATCAATATTAATCGTACCTTTTGCTGGCATATAAACAACTCTTGTTTTGACTAAATCGCACATGGCATGTACACATATATAATTGTAAGATGTCTAGCATTATGAGAACAAAAATATATGTGCTTACATTCAACTTTTGATGATTCAATTGAAACAATATTTGGTTTTTGGACGACTCTCATGTGTCTTTGAGGCATCTAACTGCAAAAAATAAATGCTAATAATTTTTATAAAAATAATTTGAACCTTTGATTCACCAACCATCCTTAATCTTGAATATTTAATTAGGTACCCATCCTATTCATATTCTCTTCTAATTAAAATATGCACCTTTTATTAACCAACCATTCTTAAGATTCAAAATCAATTAGCTACCCATCCTATTTATATTCTCATACGGTACCTAATGTAGTCAAAAATACGTTTTTTCGTAGAAGCATTTTTGTGATCTAGAAGCGTAAAATAGTAAGCCTTTAAGTTTTAAAACGCGTTTTCCACTACAATAGTTATAAAAACTACGATTTTGTTTAAAGTGTTTTTTGACCTAGCTAGAAGCGTAAAAGTATAAGTTTTTAAACTTTAAAAATGATTTTGACTACATTGCTCATATAGTCATACCAGTATAATAATATAAATAATATTCTCCTTTGATTAACCAACCATCCTTAATCTCGAAAATTTAATTAACTACCCATCCTATTCATATTCTCATACCAGTATCAAGAATAAATTATAATTCAAATTTTTAACCATGGGTATTATCTTTTTAAGAGCGAAGCAACTGCAAGAGAAATTTTTTATCAACAATCATTATGCATTAATTTGGTATATAGTATGATAGACCATCCAATAATTAAATCGAAATAATTATAGCATGGTCGGCACACCTATTAAAACAAAACAAATTGGGATAGGACTCATAGAAGAGAAGTAGAAACTAAATAAATTAAAGAAGGTGAAAAGAGAAAGCGATTATTGGATCAGGTGTAGTATTTACAATGATTTTGATGAATTGATAATCTAAGGCCCCAGAGGGAGGCCCATCTTCCGAATTAAAGAAAAGGACTAAAGAGTCCTTCCGTGAGCTGCGCACAAGCCAACAAAACAGAAATTGTGTGGGTCATGAATCAGAATGTCTATATAGTCTTGTTTGATTGGCGTACATGGGCCAACAACCCGTCTCCACTAAGGCCATCATGGGCTCGTCTAAGATAGCGCACGCCGAGAGAGACCACAAGCCCACAACTGCTCACACCCACGTCTCCTTTGATGTTTACCCTACTTGTTGTATCCTAGATGATAGATGTAAGGATATAAAAGGTGTTGTAAGGTCGAGAGCCAAAACCAAGCATTGATCAATAAGAATTCAGCCGGAGAGTTGAGCACTCTCGTCGACTAGTCCCGATATCGAGGAAACCACGTAAATCTTGCCTTTTCTTCTTCTTTAGCTTCCATAAATTTTACATGGTATCAGAGTTGTGATCCATACACGACAATTACACTATAACGAGACCAGATTCTACTCTCGAGATACCGAACTCGGGAAAGTCCATTAGTTCTGGTTAGGGCAGTGAGAAGGAGCTCGATGCTCAGAGTCCCTTTTGCATCCCCAATTCGGATTCTACAGGTCATCTGCATGTTAGCAGCGGATTCTACAAGGATGGTTTCATTGATGGTTCTATCCCTCGTCCCCAGGTCGGAGGGCCATCATTGCTTGCTTGGACGCGGTGCGATGCCCTGGTTAAGGGTTGGTTGCGCATTGCCATGGATATGGAATTATAGAGTAGTGTTATGCATGCTAAGACGACTTAAGAGATATGGGAGGATCTTCGAGATCAGTTTAGCAAAGGTAATTTGACGCGTGCGTATGAATTACGTTGTCAGGTGAGTCTTTTGCAGCAAGAGAAACAGTTTATTTCTACTTTTTATATGAAGATCCGCAAGGTTTGGGAGGAGACGTAATCAATTCTGCCGCCTCCTACTTGTTCTTGTGGACGCCAATGCCGAGACCAACATGAAAGTTTGAGGCTCTTTGATTTTTTGTTGGGTTTGGATGATTCTTTTGCCACTGTTTGTAGTCAGATTTTGTCCATGTTGGTTCCTCCATCCCTACCCGAGGCATTCATGATCGTTTATAACGACGATCGAGCAACAACGAACGCTCACCCAGAACCACAAACCCCATCCTGAAGCAGCCACGTACGCGACCCGTGGTGAAGCTGATCGAGACGCGTCTAGCGCTTCCAATACACGCAAGCGAGTTCTGCTGAAAAGGATACTCGGATTTGTACCTATTTTCTTAAGTTTGGGAATTTACGAGAGATCTGTTTCCAGCTAATCGACTACCCTTCAAGAGATAAGCAAGGTGACGACCAGAATCATCGTAAGAATCGTGACTCCGGGCGAGATGCAGGTCGGGATGGTGGACCTTCCCGCGGTCGTAGCCGTGAGCCACGGGCCTCCCAAGTCGAACAGGAGTCCAGTCTTGTTTATGGTTTTAGCATACAAGAGTTGGAGCAGTTAAAGCGCTTCTTTGGTGCGCAATTCTCTTTGGCCACGGATCCCTCAAGTCACATGGATGGTACATTTTCTGTTTCTGATCTATGTGAATGGATTATTGACTCAGGGTGTAATGAGCATATCACTATGGATGGTGATCTGCTCACTTCCCATCAATCTATTTTACTTACTCAACCGATACGCATTCCGAATGGTGCTAGCATTCCCGTTAAACACATTGGCTTAGTTAAACTGGGTGATGAGCTGACTCTGGGTCACGTTTAACATGTTCCTGAATTTCGCTGCAACCTCTTATCAGTTAGCCGACTTTTCCAAGAGCATCATGTTGCTCTAATCTTCCTGGATGACTTTTGCATTATACAGGACTTACACTCCAGGAACGTGATTGGGAAGGGGGAGATTCGTGATGGACTATATTTTCTACGGTTGTGCAGTTGTCGTAGAGCTCAGGTGCATGCCATCGAGAAGACTCATGTGCTTCCTTGGCACGCACGGTTGAGACATCCCTCGATGGCAGTTATGACCAAGCTTCAAGATCGGCTTCCTATTTCTGCAGATTCGGTTCCTAGTGTCTGTCATCCTTGCTCTCGTGCTAAGCAAGTCCGGACTAGCTTTCCTGCCAGTGGAATTCAGACTACTTCTTGTTTTGAGATGTTACACATGGATATTTGGGGAGGATACAATATTCCTTCTTACAGTGGTGCTTACTAGTTTTTGACAATCGTTGACGATTTGAGTCGTGGTGATTGGATTTATCTTATTAAATTCAAGTATGATGTTGGGAGATATATACAGCTTTTCTGCAATCTTGTTCATACTCAGTTTGGTAAACAGGTGAAGAAGATTCAAGCTGATAATGGCCCTGAATTTGGCACTATGATTCTTCTCTAAACTTCGTGCACTGATACCCCCACAACAGAATGGTGTGGTCGAACGCAAACATCGACATCTTCTGAAAATGGCTCGTGCATTGCGTTTTCAAGCCTCATTGCCTATATGATTTTGGGTGAGTGTATCCTCACTGCAATATATTTGCTTAATCGGCTGCCCACTATTTCCACTCGTCGAACCCCTTATGAGGTTATATTTGGTAAGCTGGCTAGTTATTCTCACTAGCGTGTTTTTGGGTTCCTTGTGTATAGCAAGGATACTCATTCTCATCTGGATAAATTTGATGAACGAGGTCGTGCGAGTGTTTTTATGGGTTATGCGGCTAGTCAAAAAGCTTATCGTGTTTATGATTTGGTGAGCAAGAAAATTCTCACCAGGCGCGATGTGATATTTCATGAATCGGTTTTTCCTTTCCACTCTGACACCTCGCAGCAACTTCATTAGGTTCGTGGCAGTGAATTTTCTCGACCAGATGCTGACTTAGAGGATGAATTAGTTCTGACTGACCCAACTCCTGATTTGCCTTCGACGAAAAGTGGTGATGTTGAACCCACTCATGTGTCCTCTTCTTCTGGGCCCATTCAGCCTTCCTCCCTGCCCCACAAATCAGGTGGGCTTGTTCCACCAGCCAGCCTATCCTCGTCTCTCCGCTCGAACGGTCCTTCAGCAGAAACAGTGTCTCCTACCACTCATTCCACTGTCAAGACCACCGCCTCTCCACCTGAAGTCAGACCGAGCCCCTCTTCTCCTCCTCCGCAGCTGGGTTGGGGTGATAGGACACGTGTTCGTAGAGACTTGATGATTATTATACAGGTCATGATGCTCATTCAGTGTGTTATCCTATTTCTAACCATCTCTCTTATGACAAGTTATCTGCGTCTTATTGTGTCTTCCTTGCTGCAGTTGCTCACAACCTGGAACCTCGCACATTTCATGAGGCCTTCTTGCATGGTGCTAGCTACGTGCCATGGCAACCAAAGTGCTGGCTCTTGAAGGAAATGGCATGTGAAGTCTAGTCGTATTACCACCTAACAAACGTGTTATTGGTCGAAGTGGATTTACAAAATTAAGTTTAATCCCGACGGTACTGTGGAGCAATACAAAGCAAGGTTGGTGGCCTAGGGTTACACGCAGATAGAAGGGGTGGATTTTCACGATACTTTTGCGCCAGTTGCTAAGCTGGTTACTGTACGGTGCCTTCTCGCTATTGCCGTTAGCAAGGTATGGTACATTCATCAACTGGATGTAAATAACGCATTGCTTCATGGTGATTTAGATGAAGAAGTTTATATGCGGATTCCCGAAGGCTTCGCTGCACCTGGCGATACTCGTGTTTGTCGTCTTCACAAATCTATTTATGGGCTTAAGCAGACTTCGAGGAATTGGTATCACAAATTCACCCTGAAGTGCAGTTCCGTCCGTCACCTGCAGATCACTATGTTTGTTTTTTGCCGGGGGAGTACTCATGTTGTTGCTCTCATTATGTCGATGACGTTGTACTGGTCGGGAATGATCTCGCTTTCATCACTCGTGTCAAGTGGTTCCTTCATTCTCGCTTCACTATCAAGGATTTGGGTGATTTAAGATATTTCTTGGGGATCGAGGTGGCCCGGTCACCGGAAGGCATGGTTCTTAGTCAGAGAAAATACACCTTGATATTCTCCACGACTCTGGTGTCATGGCTAGTCGCCCCAGTGCATTTCCGGTCGAGCAGAATCACCATCTTACCCAACCTGCATCTGCCAATCATGTCGATCCTGCAGCGTATCGCCGGTTGGTTGGTCGCTTACGTTATCTGACTGTTACTCGACCACGTATGCGGTTAATATTCTTAGCCAGTTTGTGCATGCTCCCACTCAGGCTCGTATGGATGTCGGTAACAAGATTCTTTGTTATCTAAAGGTTGCTCCTAGACAAGTTTTTTTTTTTTTTTTTGCGACTAGCACAATTGATCTTGTTGCCTATTATGACGCCGATTGGGAAGGTTGCTAGTCTACTCGCCGGTCTACTACCGGCTATGTCATTACTCTTCGTGGTGTGCTATTTCTTGGCGAACCAAGAAACAACATGTGGTAGCTCGATCCTCTATCGAGGCTGAGTATCGTGCCTTGGCGAGCACGGTTAGTGAAGTGTTTTGGTTGTGGTGGCTGTTACAGTAACTTGGTGTGCATTTACGCGGCCCCACTCCTCTTCACTATGACGATCAAGCAGCCCTTCACATAGCTGCTAATCCGGTGCTTCATGAGCGCACCCAACATGTTGAGATGGACTGCTACTTTGTCCGTGAAGGTGTTCAGTCTGGCGAGATTGCGTCTATCAAGATCAGTTTCCATCTGCAGGTTGCTGATATGTTTACTAAAGGTTTGGGTGCCGAGCGTTTTCACTTCCTTTTGTCCAAGCTGCAGGTTCGTGATCTTCATGCTCCAGCTTGCGGGGGAGTATAGGCGTACATGGGCCAGCAGCCTATCTCCACTAAGCCCATCATGGGCTCGTCCGAGATAGCGCACGCCGAGAGAGACCACAAGCCCACAGTTGCTCACACCCACTCCTCCTTTGCTGTTTGCCCTACTTGTTGTATCCTAGATGATAGATGTAAGGATATAAAAGGTCTTGTAAGGCCGAGAGCCAAAATCAAGCATTGATCAATAAGAATTCAACCAGGGAGTTGTGCTCTCCCGTGGACTAGTCCCGATATCGGGGAAACCACGTAAATCTTGCCTTGTCTTCTTCTATAGCTTCCGCAATTTTACACACCAAGATAACATAGTCATGCTTGTATCCAATATATAATGAAAATTCACGCACACTTATATGACATCAATATTCAAATGTTCAACTTATAAGTCCAACGATAAGGTTAGGCGAAAAGGAAAATCGAAAAATAGACCTTCGCTCCATGAAAAATTGTTGATAGAGGGCGACGAGATCTCCGATTGCGTGAGGAAGGAATTTTCGATTCAAGAAGTAGAGAATACACACTCAATTCTAGATCTATGCAACCCCAGGTTCAAGAGAATCCAAACCCAAACCCCAATTGAAGTAGAAGCAGAACTCGAAGACTCATTCTCGTTCCGGTATGACAAATGGAGAGGTCGTAAGAGGAGAAAGAAGCGGAGAGAAGGAGCTCTGATGACCTGATTTGCGACACATTCGATTGATAGTCAAAGTAGGGTTACAATCAATTTCGGGCAAGCTTCCACGATGTTGGCGACGAAGGAGACAAATTTGGAATAAGATTGAGGACAGGAAGGAAGGTAATTCGTCTGATTTACCAGCAGAGACGAAGGGACGCACTAAGAAAGGGAAAAGTCGATGGAAAGAGGAGGACAAAATTGGGATGAGAAAGAACAGAGGCGAGAGGAATGCATTATTGTGAAATTACATGGGGTGGTGGGTATTTTAAATAGCATGTTTCTCATTATCTTCAATTAACTCAGTCTCGGACTTACCGAGAAGGGAATAGAGTCGCGGACTGGCTCTCGAAGCACAGTCTCGTCTATCCCTACGGCAAGTACGATCTAGAAACTCCTCCTCAAAGCCTTCAAACCATTATTGGTGATGACTGTAGAGGACAATCTTTCCCCAGAAACGTTGTTCGTTCTCCTGGAAACCATTCTACTCTCTAATCTCCCTCCCCTGTAATTTCTTTTGCTTTGGCTGTGAGGCCTCCCCTGAAACAAAAAAAAAAAAAAAAATTAACTCAATCATCAATTAACGCATGCCCATTTTATGAAATTAAACAAGTTATTTGAGTCTAAATAACTCATTCTAAATTATTTCAGTCCAAATAACTCATCATCAGAACAATCATTCCAAACTAGGGATGGCAATGGGTCGGGCCGGGGACGGATAGTGCATATCCGTTGCCCTACCCAAAGTAGTTCGGGTTTTACCCATACCCATACCCACATGTGAAACGGGTAGAATATTAAAACCATGCCCATACCCGTTCGGGTTTCGGGTATCCGCGGTTATCCATGGGTAATGATTTTTCTTCATAACTATAACCAATATGTTAACATTCACACGTATTCTCACATTACGTAAGAAGAAAAGTACGACAATAATTCACTAGAATGAAGAAAATTAATTAAAACAACACTATTTCATGAAAATGTTATATTTATATGCTAAATATAAAATATGTTAGAGAAAAAATGATTATTTCTAGACAGAATACATATGCATGTGTATAATCGGGCGAGTTCGGGTTGGATAGTAAGAAACCCATGCCCACCCATTACCCGCAATATTCGGGTTCGAATTTTACCCATACCAACTAAATGTCATTCGGGTTCGGGTTCTACCCTACCCGATCAGGCCGAATTCGGTATCCACGGTTACGGATATTTTTGCCATCCCTATTCCAAACCACCATGAAGTGCATGAATAAGAAGAATGACCCAATGAAAAAGGCCAGATAATGTCATCTTATGAAGAACCTTTTAAACTTGGGTGGTGATTCCTTCCTCGAGGAGACCTCGTTCTAATGTTAGCATGATTGAACTGATTTTTAGTGATTATGGATCGTTTAGTGGGGAATTGGCAGATTAATGAGAATATAAGTTATCAAATTATTACTTAATCAATATTAGCATTGGTTATGCGATTAATGGTTGCGTTAAGAAAGGACATAAACACATTTCGGTGCTAGGATGGTTGGAAGCCTTAGGTGGGATTTCATGTGTTTTTTCTATTTAAGAATTAGGGATAATACCACTACAACACCCGAACTATCGCGAAAATGCCACTTGTGTCCTATTGTTTCCAATATTCCATCTGTGTCCTGAACTATGATTCCGTTAGTTTTTAACAGAAAATCTAGTCAGCACTGATGTGGCAGCTGACGTGGAATTTTTAATATTATTTTTTTCCATCTAATATTAATAAAATAAGAAAAATAAAATAATTAAAATAAAAAATAAAAAAAAATCCTACCTCTTCTTCCCCGAATCCCCCTCCATGACTTCCTGCTGCAATTTTCTCGGCGGCACCATCGCTCCTTCCTTTCTTCCCCAACACAGCCGACACGAACGTAACAAGCTGAAGGGGTTTCGAGGATCTGGAGGCGGCGCCATCGATTGGAGCCAGTAGCTCGGCGGCACCATCGCTCCTTCCACTGGCGACCTACTTCTCTTCTCCAGATCGCCGATTCTCTCTTTCTCTCTCTCTCTCTCTCTCTCGACTTCCAATCTGGATGTCTCTGCCTCCCCCATCTTAGCGGCGGGTATGTTTGATCCCAACCCCAAGCCACCCCACTACTGCAACTTCCATCTTCTTCCTTTCTCTTTCTTAATCGAGCATGGGCGAGAGTAGGAAGATTAACCGCCGCCTACGCAAATCCTCTTTAGATTCATCGCCAAAATCTTCCATCATTGAACATGAATCATGGGCTGAGAATCCCTCTGTCTCCAATGATGGGATTCAAAAGAATCGATTTGGATTCTGGCGATTACCCGATTTGGGATTTTGATTTTCAATTAACCCCATTTTCTGGGTTCGGGCCATAATAGCGGCACGATGAAAGATTGGCGAGTTGGGTTATCTTTCAGAGAGATTCTCAGAGCCGGATTGGGAGATTTTTGGCGAGTTGGCGGTGTAGTAATGGTTTGGCGGTGGCGGCGGGGAGAAGAGTGGAGGCGGCGGTGGCCTCGGGTTCTCGAAGACGAAGCCCGGCGGGATCGTCACGTTCTCACCGCGGTCGCCGAACTCGTCCTTGTAGTACAGGAGCTGCCGCCGGCGGAGGTAGGAGACCTCGGCTTGAGTGAGTGTTCCATGGCTGGAAATGGCTGGTGGGATCTTTGCATCAGAAGACGAGTTGACAAGGGAAAGGGAAACGAAGGAGAGGAGGAGGAGAAGAAGAGGGAACAAATTGGTATTCTTCTCCTTCATTTCAAATGAGCAACATCTACTGCTCACTAGCAAAAGTGCCACTCCAATGGGGCTTTTCTTTCGAGTTCTTGCTTTGATTTTCCTCTCAAACAGGAGCCAAAGCTTGAATCTTTGGCAGAGAAGAAGAAGAGTTTTTTATTATTTTGTTTTAAAATTTTGGTTTAATAACATAATTGAATTTACATTTTCTTTAATTTTAACTCATTTTTTTATTTAATTTGAATTAAAAAATATTAGGTCAATGACGTGGCACCTATGTGGCAGCCTCTTTTTTTGCCACGTCAACAAAAGTCAACTTCGCGTTGACCACCGTTTGGTCAACCGTTATCTTTAACGGTCAACGAAATTGACAGGATACAAATGACAGGAAAAAATCCCAAAGTACACTAGTTTTTAAAAAAAATTCCCAAAATACATTAGTTATAAAAAAAATTCCAAAAGTACACATGTTTGAGCATCACCGTTTTAGACAAAAACGGTGAAGGTCATCACCGCGTTTGACAAACACGGTGAGTACTTCACCGTTTTAAACAAAAACGGTGATGTATTCACCGTTTTAAACTAAAACGGTGATGTATTCACCGTTTTAAACTAAAACGGTGAAGGGTTCACTGCTTTTGTTAAAAACGGTGAAGCCTTCACCGTTTTAAACTAAAACGGTGAAGGCTTCACCGTTTTTGTTGGCCGCGGTGAAGTTGCTGACGTGGACAGCACGGGGTATTCACCGCGTTAGACAAACACGGTGAATAACCCGTGTTTGTTTGCGTCAGCGATCCGCGCCAATGTGCTTTCACCGTGGCCGTTAGATGCGGTGAGACGCGGATCGTGGTTTTCTTCCCACGATCCGACGCCTCACAGCACCCCACGTCACCTTTGCATTCACCGTTTGCGGCTAAAGCGGTGAGTTCACCGCGTTCATCAAACGCGGTGAATGGAGCCCTAATAACTGCGCAACAGCTCCTCCCCCCTTCCCCCAAACTATAAATACCCCCTTCCCCTTTCACTTTCAACTCACCCCACAAACATTTCACTTCTTTCTCTCTCAATTTATCCGCTCTAGTCTCGTTCTAAGTATGCTCTGTGGTTGCGGCTAAGTCCGATCTTCCACATCAGAAAGAATTACTAGAGTTTGACCCTAAAGCCCCCGTCCCGCTAAGTTCCCGTCCTTTACAAAGCTAAACCCGTCGAACCTCTGTCCGGCTTCCGCCAATAATGGACGAAGAGGCTCTTCGTGTAGGTTTTTGGTTTGTGATTTTTTTTAATCGAAACAATTTGATTTATTTTTTATCAAAACAATCTCTGATTTCATTACTTTTTTATAGATGGGTGCCGAGATATACGATCCTCGATTGTATATCCATTATGGCCCAAGGGATGCGAGTCTCTTAACCGATCAAGAAATGCATCGCTCCCGTGCCATTTGGGATAACAATCCGGTAATTTGATGAACTGACTTGCTTTATTTTATTATTTTCTAATGTTTTATTTTGCTTTATTTAATCTAATAAATTGATGTTTTTCCTATTTTTTTTAGGAATCTCCTGTTCCCGTGGTTCATAAAGGGACCAATAACTTGCCCGCTTGGCATCCAAGGTTGGAGCCCTATATAGCGAGGACCGGTTTGGGAATGTTGCGCCATTTCTTGCGGATCGAGATCGACAACGAGCTGCTTACGGCAATGGCGGAACGATGGCGTCCCGAAACCCATACATTCCACCTTCCGGAGGGGGAAATGACGATCACCCTCAAAGACGTGGCGATCCTCACCGGGCTTCCTATATCTGGAGATGCCATCATTGGTTCCACGACCAAACCCGGAGGAGGTTGGGGGCCGCTCATCCGTGATCGTTTGGGCTTCGACATGCCGACCACCACACCAAATCAAGGACGGGGGCATCCACCGTTGAATGCGGGGCAAGTGTCGGTCCCGTGGCTGGTATCTCACATCCAGCAAGAGGTGGAAATCAATGACGAGACACCGGAAGAACAAGTCGAGCGCTACGCCCGCATCTACCTCATCGGTTTGGTGGGTGGATTTTTGTTCCCCGACAAGTCCAACCGGTGGATTCAAGGAATATGGTTGCCATTGCTCACCGGTGACTGGGATGCAATTGGAGAGAAGAGTTGGGGATCGGCCGTGCTAGCGGGCGTATACCGGGAGCTGTGTACTTGCTCGAGGGTTGGGGCAAAGCAAGCTGGTGCTGCGATGTTCATCGTTCAACTGTGGGTATGGGAGCATCTTCCAATGTTCGCACCTCTCGACCCACGTCCATACCGGAGAAACGATGATGAGCTCAACCTTCTGCAAAATCTCCCCTACGGTGTCAAGTAAGTTTATTTCGTACTTAGCCCAATTTAAATTTTATTACATGCTTGAGCTAGATTTAAATTGAATTTATTCCGTACTTAGCCCAATTTAAATTTTATTACATGCTTGAGCTAGATTTAAATTGAATTTATTCCGTACTTAGCCCAATTTAAATTTTATTACATGCTTGAGCTAGATTTAAATTGAATTTATTCCGTACTTAGCCCAATTTAACTTTTTATTACATGCTTGAGCTAGATTTAAATTGAATTTATTCCGTACTTAGCCCAATTTAACTTTTGATTACATGCTTCAGCTAGATTTTGACAAGAACACTCCCCTAATTCGTAGTGCAATTTGACCGTTTGACGATTGTGACCACGTCTCCCTCCACCCCATATACCTGTTTCGACAGCGAATATTCCTTCACTGCGGTTAAAAAGAACAACCTTATGCTTACTTGATTTTTCATCGTTCTTCTGCATTTGAGCGAATACGTCATGTGCTACTGAATGACCTTGCAACTCCCTCCCTATAGCTAGCTGTAGCCGAGCAACTCGCCACTCGTTGACCTTCCAATAAGACATTTCCACGATGACAGAAAAAGGCATCGCTCGAAGACCCTTGTACACATTATTTATACTTTCTCCATGGTTGGTAGTTGCAATGCCCCATCTGGCCCCGTTGTCCATATGGAACGTCCACATGGGCAACTCTTGACCTTCATCCCATACTGCTCCAGCTCGATGGGTCTGACGGATCGTTTTCATGATGTGCTCGTACTTTTTTGGTTGATGTGCAACCGCTAAAAGGTGAACAAAAGACTAACTGGTCAATACATGATGAATAACATCAGCTTATCAGCTTAATAAACACAAACTTAAATCGCATAAGAAAAACATTAGTACCTGCATTCCAAAGTAGATTTTTGATGTCTTTCTTCTTCCCAAATTTGTGTTGGAAATTGGCGAGCCAGTGTCGAATACACCATCTCCATCTCCACCCCCACTCGTCGGGAAAACCACCAACAGCATTCCTTATCCCGCATGTCGATCGGATATAATCGTAATATCTTCCCGCTGTGTCACGTGTTCGTGCAGTTGGTCAAAGAACCAAGCCCAACTTAAGCTGTTCTCCCCTTCCACTAATGCAAATGCAAGCGGGAAAATCCGCCTGTTTCCATCAACGCCAGTGGCAATTAGAAGACATCCTCTGTACTTCCCAGTAAGGAAAGTTCCGTCAACCTGAATAAAAATTTAGGATATAATTAGTATGAAATATACTTAACAGCAAATAATACAAAATTTAAAACCGGAACTAGTTGGTAAAATACCTGAATAACCGGTATGCAGAACCCAAAACCGTCAATGCATGGTTTAAAAGCCCAAAAAAGACGATGGAACATCAGCTTATCCTGTACTCGAACTTGATCCTCAGTGTATACATTGTTGTATACTGGGACGAAAACAGTCCCAGGATTGGACTCCTCCATTGCTCCCATAAGTCTAGGGAGTAAAGCATACGAATCCTCCCAATCACCATACACCTCAGCCATGGCTTTCTGCTTACCATGCCATGCTTTTTTGTACCTTATCGTGTAAGAATGTCGATCCTTCACCTCTGCCATGATAGCTTTCACCTTGATATCTGGTTGTGCTTCTATAAGGTGTTTAATAGTTCTCCCAACCTTCTTTGCTTTTAGTTGCCTGTGATCTTGGGAAAGTATAGAAGAGGAGCATGTGTGGATCGTCTCAGCTTTGCGAATCACCCAAGCACCCTTTCTCTTCATATTTGCAGCCCGCAGTTGCCACGTACAACCCTCTGCATCATGCTTGCATATGACATGTAGTTGTTTACTGTCAGAATATTTTACCTTCCACTCGAAATTGCGCCTCAACGACTCTTCTGTAAAAGCATCCTGCACAGCGTCTTTCGATGTGAACGCCATACCCACCTCCAAATTGGCCGTCGGATTGTACACTGGCATAGGGACAAAGTCGGGGGGATCATTCTGACTATGTAAAAATTGAGTTGGAACTTGTGTGTAATATGGCGTGGGTGCCTCACGAAATGCCGCCTCATCATCGTTATCATCAGTATCTTCCTCCTCCTCGCTCACTGATATCAAATCTTCCTCAGTATCCTCGTCGCTCGACTCGAATGGATAGCTCGGGCTAGAAGGATCAACATGACCACGATCACCAACATCGTCCTCTCGCTCATGTGAAGTACGCCCTGATCGAATGGTATTCTCGATTCCATACCACTCTGGCCCCCAAGCAGGCCATTGAACACCATCGGCCTCAACAAATGGGGCTGGTTTAGGAGGTTGCGAGTATTGGTCCCATCCTGCACTACTCGATCCACCGTAGTTGATTGAACCACCACCCTCCCCGTAACCTCCTGTAAAACCACCGCCTTGGTAGTTGCTCGAACTACCACCCCATTCGTACCCTCCTGCAAAACCATCATCATAAGAATACTGGTGAGAATGAGATTCACCGAGCGCCTCGGTCTCAACATACACCTCTGCAAGCCGGACTTGGTTATCGCTTAGGAACTGTAACATCATCATAACCGCGTCATCATCGTTTATGACAACTTCTTGGAACACGACCCCGCCAGCACTCATGTCTGGATACCGGTAAGTAATTTTGCCAAGTCCCGTCTGTCCGCTCGTACAAACCCTTTCTGCACAAAGATCACAGAGTTCTTGAAAATTGAATCGGGATTCAATTTTCAGCATAATGGATTCGCCGTCCTCATAATCAATGCCTATGTCAGAGTTTGTCACCCTTCCATTCCACCGAATAGTAAGATGAAACTTCTTGAATTTACCCATATCTACAATTTACAATAAGTATCTATTAGCTTAAAGACAGTAAAATTAACCAAAATCATATTGTACAACTAATATTAAATCATACCATAACTAACGAAAATAAATTCAACTAACTAACAACAACATAATACGAAAATTAAATCATACTATAACTAACGAACATAAGTTCAACTAACTAACAACAACATAATACGAAAATTAAATCATACTATAACTACTAAAAACATAATTAGACTATAATACGAAAAGTCTCAACATACCGAAAAATTTCTGTTCTGTGTATTATGCTCGATTTTGCCTGCTGAAATTTGAAGAAAGGGGAGTGGTTATGTTTTTACAACTGCTGGTAGTGTGCAATTTATAGGAAAATCTGCCCACTATTCACCGTTTTTGTCGAAAACGGTGAACACTATCACCGCGTTTGTCTCAAACGGTGAATAGGTGGTAGCTGCGACCTAATTTTGACCTACCAGGGGTGGGAAACGTGGGAAAAATCACCGCGTTGATTGACAACGATGAATGGGTTCACCGTTTTTGACCAAAACGGTGATGTATTCACCGTTGTAAACTAACGCGGTGAATACTTCACCGTTTTCGTGTGAAATGGTGAATACTTCACCGTTTTTGTTTAAGACGATGAAGCATTCACCGTTTTGGTCAAACGCGGTGATAATCTTCATCGCTTTTGTCTAAAACGGTGATGCTCAAACATGTGTACTTTGGGAAATTTTTTTATAACTCATGTATTTTGGGAATTTTTTTTAAGAACGTGTGTACAGTGGGATTTTTTCCCAAATGACACAAAGTATCATAGTTCAGGACACAGATGGAATATTGGAAACAATAGGACACAAGTGGCATTTTCGCGATAGTTCGGGTGTTGTAGTGGTATTAGCCCTAAGAATTATGAATACTTAGGTTATTAACTTAATTTTGTTTCTTTCTAGTTCATCTCTTTCAGTCTAATTATACTCTATTATGTGTTTTAAATCTTAACACTTTCGAAGTGATTTCATGAGAGTTCATTTTTGTTATCTATCTCGATAACTTGCTTGCGAAAAACTCATAATTGAGAGGTAAGTGTGCATTATCCCGGAATTAGACTACTTTCTAACTAATAACCTTTAAATTAAACGCATAACCATGAAAACAGTAAGCTTGAAAAAGTACGACACATAAATCCTTACAGAGGAGCAAGGTTGTGCAGGTCGACCTGTGGGTCTACCCAGATTAATCTGGACAGATGAGGAAAACAAGCATCACACATCCTTTTAATGGATCATTCGGAATAGTCAAATACGTATTAACCTGGTCAAAACTCTATGAATCTGGGTAGGTCAACTCACGTTAACGATTTCTGGTTGGAGGTCACACGACGTGGTTTTTACTTTTGGTTGTGAATTGCACTTCTTTCCGGTTTTTTCCTTTGTCTGTTAGTTTAGTGTAATGTTATATGTCATTACTCAGATGTTAGATGAAAATTGATATAATTTATATGTCATTACTTTTTCGATATATCCGAACTAAATCAAACTAAAACAATTGCATTATTAATCCTCAACCCATTTGCTCGACCGAGTCAACAGGTTCAACCGAGTTAACAAACTTGTAGAAGAGTGACAAGAGTGGATTCGTATTCATTAGGCAAATCCATCCCTAATCATCCAATCACCCAAAAGGATCTGACCCATCCTAACTCATAACTCCCTTTAACAGTTCTCCTAATGACCCGCCCCAACCTACTTGCCCTGAATATGACCCGACCCGACCCGCTTGTAATCTCCTTCCGTACCGTCCACTCGTGAGCCATATATAATACAGCAGAAGCTGCGCGCTCCTTTGTTCGTCTTCTCCAAAATCCCCCCTTCCCAAAAATTCCTCCCTTAATCGCCATTCTCCTTTCTGTAAATTATTATCAGCACTCACAGTGAACCATTCCAATCGGAATCTGCGTAAGTACCTCTATGTTTCTTCTCTCTCGTTTTCCCTTTCTCGCTTTCCTCTATTTCGTTTGTTGATCTTTCATAATCCCATAGAAAAACTTTCTGTGATCATCCATTGTTTTCGGATCAAATTAATCGAATTAAGTGTATACGAAAATGGGTTGCACTGTGAGAGATAAGCACACTAGAGCCAACCGCCGAGCTCGATCGTCGACAACGACGACGACGAAGCCCGAAATGGATCCTTGCTGTTATGCATCTTCGCTCTCCAAGTCCTTACTCGAATCGGGTCTCAAACCCTTGGCGGCTTATCATATGGGTCTCCAAGATCTGACCCAGAACAGCGACGATGACGAGAGCAACAACAATGGATGGGGATACTGCACCGAGGACCAATTGGAGGAGATTCTGTTGAAGCAGCTGGAGTTTCTGTATAAGGAGGCCATTTCCAAGCTTTCTACGATGGGTTACAATGAGGAGACTGCTATGAAAGCGGTTCTGCGCAATGGGCATTGCTATGGTGGGATGGATGTAGTCACCAATATATTGCACAACTCGCTGGCTTATTTGAATAGCAACTCTAGTGGAAGTGGTGGCGGTGGAGGGAGCGGGAGTAATGGTAGCAGTAATGGAAGTTCGGAAGATTCCGAGCCTGTTTTCAATGATTTGAGGCAACTGGAAGAGTATTCCCTTGCTGGTATGATTTGTTTGCTACAACAAGTTAGGCCGCATTTGAGTAAAGGCGATGCTATGTGGTGTTTGTTGATGAGTGAGCTTCATGTGGGTAGAGCCAATACTATTGAAGTTCCCTTGCCTAATTTACCAGAGAATGACAATGCGGGTGCGGGGCAGCAGAGGAGCTTGGATAGTGGTGTGGTGGCACCGGCACTATGTAGGTTTCATGGTGGGTGGGGGTTTCGAAATGGAGGAGGAGGAGGAGGAGGTGGCGGGCCTCAATTTGGTTTTTTCTCATATAGTGGTGAAATGACGTTGCAGAGAGATATAGAATGTCCCAAAAGATTCAATCTTTCACCTTCAATGAAGTCTTTGCTGAAGAGGAATGTCGCAATGTTTGCTGCAGGTTTTAGGGCCAGTTCAAAACAGATAGACGCGCAGCCTCAAATGCAACCTCAATCTCAGGCTTCTGTGAGTGGTTTGCCAGCTCCACACGTCGTCCCAGTCGACAATGGAGGTGATGTTGCAGTTGTTAAGGGTGAAGAGGAGTCAAAGAGCTTGAAAAGCCAAGATGAAGTAAGCTCGGTGTTGAGTAAGTTTCGTGATCTGAATCTTGATGAGAGTTTGGAGCTTCCAGCAGATGAGCAGAAGGACGATATGATAGTGGCTCTACTTCATCAGATTAAGGATCTGGAGAAGCAAGTAAAAGATCGAAAGGAGTGGGCACATCAGAAGGCGATGCAAGCTGCTAGAAAGCTGAGTAATGATTTGACTGAGCTTAAAATGCTGAGGATGGAGAAGGAGGAGAACCAGCGGTTGAAGAAAGGGAAACAAACACTTGAGGACTCGACAATGAAGAGATTGTCGGAGATGGAGAATGCCTTGAGGAAGGCCAGCGGTCAAGTTGACAGGGCAAATGCAGCTGTGAGGCGGCTCGAAACTGAGAATGCAGAGATAAGAGCTGAGATGGAGGCCTCTAAGTTAAGTGCTTCTGAGTCTGTGACGACGTGTTTGGAAGCTGCAAAGAGGGAGAAGAAGTGTCTGAAGAGGCTGTTGGCTTGGGAGAAACAGAAAGCTAAGCTGCAGGATGAGATTTCTGACGAGAAAGAGAAGATCAAGGAGTTGCAAAGGTGTCTAAGTTTGGTTGAACAGGCACAGAAAGATGCTGAGGTTTGTTAATTACTGTCTATCTTGTGTTTTATGAGTGTACATATATGGTACATTTCCTATAAGCGTGTGCGTTTGTCTAGATTGAAGTGTCAAATCAGATACCAGGCTGGTATCAGTTCATGTCTTTTAAATCTTTGGTATTACTTGAACCTAATATCTTGTGATTCAAATGCAGAAATTGTGAACAGTGTATATTGGACAATTCCGTGTACTTCTTTCTTTGTTTTCGCTACCATCTTCTTTCACGTTTTCCCCCTTTATCCCCAGACCCTGTCTGCTGAATAGTTAGTTAATGTTTAGTGAATGTTGTCCTGACTTTGGTTATCAAAGTATGCATGGCTGCTTTGTCCATAAGTGTTAGCTGCTTGGGTTTAGAAGGTTAGCATATGCTGTAGAATCTTTGTTGCATTGACATGTGAAGTTATGTAAAGACCTGCTCTTTAGTACAGCATTTATTGTGCATGCGATTAGGAATGACAACAGTTCTGTCGCGAATGACAAGCAAATATATTTATCACCGAAAATAAATCAAGAGTCCTTGCTTTGGTGAGATTACTCTGTGAGATGAATAATGTAGCAAGGTGAATGCTGGCTGTTTATTTGACTGGTCTCGAGAACATCTTTATTCACTAGTTGTGATGGCTTACTTCTACTTTGATGCAACAACAAACTTTTCATTTTTGGAAGTTTCAGTGGTATATGGTTTCTTGCCACTAAGTCCCTGACCTTATTTTTTTTTTCTGGGGTTTCCATGTACTTGTTAGACATTGCTGGTGAAGCACAATAGTGATAACCATGTGCTGTCCTTCCTTATGAACTTAGAACATTCCTGGGTACCAATTATGTATTACTCCGATTACAGGTGAAGTGGCGCCAGGAAGTGAAGGCAAAAGAGCAAGCTTTATCACAGGTGGAGGAGGAGAGACGCTCCAAGGAAGCTGCAGAGGCCAACAACAAAAGGAAGCTCGAGGCCCTCCGTCTCAAGATCGAGATCGACTTCCAGCGTCACAAGGACGACCTCCAACGACTCGAGCAGGAACTCTCACGTCTGAAATCATCGTCCGTGGAACCCAATGACACTCTACCGTCGGGAAAGCCCCTTGCCGAGAAGATCAGGCCCCAGGGAGAACAAAAAACCATTGCCAAGCTGCTTCACGAGCTGGAGAAGCTCGAGGATTCTTCTCAGAAGGGCGGCAGCTCTGATCGAGAATGCATGATCTGCATGAAAGACGAGGTTTCTGTGGTGTTCTTACCGTGTGCTCACCAGGTTATGTGTGCTGGATGCAGCGATAGCTACGGGAAGAAGGGTGGGAGGGCTACTTGTCCTTGCTGCCGCGTCACGATTGAGCAAAGGATTCGTGTGTTTGGAGCAAGTTCATAGTTGATCAGTTATATAGATATATAGTCACCATAATAATAATAAAGAACGGGGAGAATAAGGAAGAACTGGATGAGGTTATTTAAGCTTCCCATAGCTGGAAAAATGGGTTTGATGTTGTCCCAGGACATCTGATTACTTATTGATGTGTTTTTTTTTTTTTACAGACATTTGTGTTTTATTAGATGCTGCTGGTGTTTTTACAGCACATATGAGGGGAAGTATGTAAATAACAAACATGCTCGATTCAGGCTCTTCCTTGTAGCATGAAAGAAAGGGAGAAAAGAAAACCCTTTCCTGAGATGTTGCTGATGGTTTGTCTGATTGGCACCAGAGATTTCAATTTCTAGCTAACTGTTTGTACCATCTTGCTCGACTTTGGAACAATAATGATTTGTTGCGTGGGGTTGACTCGTCATCCATTCGTCTAATCTTGTTGGGAGGGGAAAAACCTGTGGAAAGTCGAAGATGCCCCCGGATTAAGCTTCAACGATCAAGTCAGTTTATGTTTAGGTGAGTTGGGAGAATAATGTAGAGAGATAGCCAAAAGTGAAAAGTGAAGTGAGAGAAGAAGAAGCCCTTTTCCTTGGAAGGCTTCCAGCCCTTAAATACCTTATTATTTGTAGCGGGCATCGAGTGTCGAGCGTCGTTGATTGGTGCGATAACTATTTAGTCTGTGCGGCGAGTATTTAGTAACACCCCCAACACTAACTAATTTACATTTACTATACTTGTTTTGGGCGGTTATTGAACATGGCAAGCATGAGTCCTTCCGCGCTGCTTTATTCTTGATCCATCTTGTTCTCGACTTTTTTTTTTTTTTTTTTTTTACAATAGATAATCATATATTGATCAAGAAAAATAGTTAAGTCCTGGACACCAGCCAGGCCCGGAAATCAAAAGAAAGACCCATAGTCGGGAACAAAGAAAGGGCTTTACGAGCCAACAAATGGGCTACCCTATTGCAACGCCGACCTACAAATCTAACACTAAAACCTGGATTCCCGGTGAAAATTTGAATAAGCTCCTCCAACAACGCACCCAAACGACCATCCCGAGCGTCTTTAAGATTGATTTTATCAATGATAATCTTCGCATCGCCCTCAAAAGTAATATCCGCCCAACCAAACGACTGACACCACCGAACAGCCTCCCACAGCGTAACTAACTCCACCACCAATGGGTCCTCGATCCAAGGAAACTGCACCCCTTTCGCGAGCATTATCTGCCGATCCTGGGTTAGGAGGACCAGACCTCCCGCCGAATGAGATCCACTCCGTACGGCACCATCCCACATGCAAATGAACCCTTGCCCTTGTCCCCCAGCGACCGCCTGGCGGTTTGGCGCACCCTGAGTACTATAAGGAATACTATCCACCGAAAGTCGGATCCACTCCTCATACTGCTGATGGAATTGGCGCATTAGGGCCGAGAACCCGAACTGCTTGCCTTCAAAGACAACCCAATTTCGAGAACGTCAAATGCGCCATAAGATAGCTACCACCGCCATAATATCATTAGGCTGATTAAGCAACGATATCAGCCTTTTAAGGAATAAGGGAAACGTATGACGAGGCAGCCCCTCCCCAAGGTGAGCCAAACCAGCATAATCCCAAAGGGCCCTCGCAACCTGACAATCAAGGAAGAGGTGCTCCATGGTTTCAGACTCAGCCCAACACACCGGACATCTGGGATGGACCGGGACCTTCCTCTCTATAAGGGCCTCCGTGGTAGGAAGAAGCCGATTTAGGATCTGCCAAAGAAAGATCTTCAACTTTGGAGGGATCTTGGCTTCCCAAACTCGAATCCAGCTTGCCCTATCCATCCAACTGACATCAGCTTTCCACTTCCCCAACCGTTTATCTAGAGCAACCGCTAGATGATAAGCCGACTTGACCGAGAATACCCCATCAGGGGAATCATGCCAAATTAACCTATCCTCTATCGACTGCCGAGGGAGAGGTATAGCTTTTATGGCCCTGCATGTTGGTGGGTCAAACCATTGGCTAAGCGCTCGATCATTCCACTTCCCTTCCCCTTGACAGATTACCTCCTGAACCTTCACGTCACCCTCCATGGGCAACACCTGAGGATTAAAACGAGGAGGGTCCAACTGGAAGGAAGGAATCCAATTAGAATGCAATAGCGAGGCAGACTTCCCATTCCCAATTTGCCACCGCAAACCTTTCTCCAGTAAATTCCTACCATAAAGGATACTTTGCCATCCCCATGAAGGACGAGAGCGAGGCATCGCAGTCAAAAAGGAACCCCCTGGGAAGTATTTACCTTTATAAACCTGGGCCAGCAGGGATTGAGGCTCCATAAGAATACGCCAACCAATTTTGGTTGTCTAACTAAATTTTATAGAATAATTGGTCAGGTTTATTTTATTCAATGTGTCTAACTAAATTCTACAACATTTGTAAAAATTATCGATATTTTAAGCTCATTTCATCATACTTTGACTCTAATGTAGTTACAATAACGCAAGAGCCTCTACCTTTCAAATGATTTTAACTTTATTAATCATGCCATCCTCTGCGCTTTTATCTAACAAGTGTCGTTTCTTGAATTTGTTAATAAAATAATTGCTTTTTCTTTTTTTCTTTTAAACTCATTTGAAAGAAACGACTTGCTCCGACATGTGTCCCGAGGCAAAATATCCAATATGTTATGAGTGAATATTGATATTAAGTATCCACATCAACCTCATCTCATTGTCATTCATAATCGGTACTAGCCCCGTCACCTCTTGTTAAGTTAGCCAAGTACTTAATCAAACATTAGAATAAAGCATGTTGTCTCTCGATGTTCTAAATTGTCTATGTGGCTAGCTCGTTAATAAATGAGTGGAATTCGAGCTCGACTTGTTTATTGAAATTTGATTTGTGTTTGATTCAAGTTCAACATGAGATCGACTCATTAATGAGCTCACTAGGTCTACTCGAGCTAGTGACTCATCAATAAGCTTGCGAGCTCACATATTGTGTTTTTTAGTTTGTAAATTGTAACTGTTAATATCATGCTTTTTTATAGTATCTTAACAATCTCTTTATATTATAAATGATACATAGTACATATTTGCTCATGTTTGCAAGGTATTAAACATGAGATATATGAATTATCAACAAGCCTACTCATTAAGTTATATATCGATTCGATCATAGGCCGCTAGTCGAGCTGGCTTGCCAACCACACTGTGATTCTATGAAGCAGCTCACGAGCTGAAAGAGAGTCAGCTCGGGAGTTGAATTTAACAAGACACCGAATCAAGCTAACTCATTATAGCCTTGCAAGCTGGGCAAGACATAACTAACACTCCACTCGTATGTAAACAAGACCAATGCCGAACAATCTTTTCCTGAACTCAAACGCTCATAAACAACTTGACTCATTTGCAACTCTTGCACATGTATCCTTGAACTTGAGATGGACATAAATGAAAGAGTAGGTAGATGGTAAGAAATTGAAGATGTGCAACAAAAATCATGGGGGGTTGTGTTGGTTGTGTTTGGGTTGTTTCGGACGGTTTGTATGGGTGCCAGATGGCATCATTGTGGCTTCACATTGGGGGGACTAGAGCATGCACACGAGCACACTAAATTCCCTCCCTAGTAGTCAAATACTTTTGCCATAAAAAGAACTAAAGAAGAAGAAGAGAAGAAGAACCATCACAATTCACAACAGCTATTGATGAGAACAGCAGCAGTAGCAATTGGTATGCACTTGATCACCCGTGATATATCTAATTATTTGGGTCATAATCATCAAGTCATAGGTCACAATAACAAGAAAAGTGTGAAAAGCTAACGTGTGCATGCGAGATCGATCGGGTATACTCATTAGAAACAAACGTTTTCAGAGCTTTGAGCTTTCGACGCTCAAGATTTCTGTTAAGTCTTTATGTTTGCGAGAGCCTGAATGGTTTTACTAAAGGATTAACATGCATGGAGTTGTGTAATGTGTGTTGAAATCTAATGTAATGTGGTGAACGGAGCAAGTTGAATGATACACATCATATTGGTAACCGCTAGTTGATGACGTGAGATATACATGCTAGTAATCGTGATTTGATATAAATTCATCATTGTTATATCAAATACATGTATTTTATATCTTGTATGCATGTATAAAGAATACGTATTTTTATCAGAATAAGCAACACCCTAGCTAGCAAACACAAATTTCAAATTGGTCACTCATATCCTATTTATTTACATTAAGGGGAATTTTTTTTTGCTTTGCGTTTCTTTTGGCTCCATTCTCGTGAGCATAGTGAAATTGATAGGTGAGGGGAAGATGGGTTGCATGCTTGGCTCTTTAAATTCTACAAGCTTTGCAACCTTACATAAATAAAAGGTGGCAACAAAAAGGTTGACAAATACCAAATATGAACTCACCCTTCTCATGATCTTATATATGTCAAAGTGACGGTGCGCCCTCTATGATATTTTTCTCTACCCTTTGGTAACCTAATTTCCTTCTCATATAGTTGGTATGAACTCTACTAGTAGTGTTATTCATGGTGATATATATTTAATTTTTGACTTTAGGTTCTACTTAAACGATTTGGATCTAAGACCTCCAAGTTGAACGCCAATGACAAAACTATAAGACCAATTTTGTGTTCACAATGGTCGTACGTAAAATTTTTTAGTTTTTTACCCTTCGAAGTTACAAGGTCTTTAGAAATTAACAATTAACAATCATTACTAGCTAGCTCCACTACGACAAATCAATTTATTCATTTATCATTTGTTTTTTTAATTTGACAATTTTTCATCCCGACGATAATTCGAATTTTCGGAAGAATCATCATCGTTGACCCTCGGCCCGCCCATCAGATATAATTGTGAAAACTACCCATCAATTAATTTTTTAAGTTTTTAAAAATCCAAAATAACTTGCGATTATTTCAAAAAGAATTATTATTTTCCTACTGATCCGACTACTCGAATTTTTGGAAATAAATAGCTAAGAAATAATATACAAGCTATCCACCAATAAACCCACCTAAAATTATGGAACAACAATAGATGAGCACAAAATGAGTTGGTCTTGGATCATATAAATCATTGCTCCCCAATTATGTCCAGCTACATTTATCATCATCATCATCGAATCATCAACTTAACTAAAATCCATTTGTAAACCCTTAAACAACAGGATTCCAACTTTCTCCATTAGAGTAAGCTAGCTAGTTCATTTTCCCCTCTTCCTAAACTTGTGTAGCAATCCCAACTGCTTACTATAGTTTTAATAAACTCTGCTGACCATACGGCTTTCCTTTTTCATATTTCTTCTCTGTTTTTTTTCCTCCTCCTAAATAAATGAATTAACCGATCGATCGCATTGTCCCTAAACTTGTAGGGATCTTTTTGGGGTAATCTATTTAACAAACATGGATCCGTAGGGGTTGTTCTCATAATAGCTAATTGTCCTTATTAGCAAGCAAACTTGATAATTACAGAAGTGGGATTAATTAATATCCCAATTCTCTGTTCCATTTGGTATGTCATTATTGTATTTGTCTATGCATGCACTTGCCCTCCATCTTATTCAAGTTCAATTATACAGCTCTAAAGTACCATCAACAATTTTAGTATAATTGAGTTCTACCAAGCAATTAAGCTCCAAATTGGGCCATGTAAGTGAGGTTGATTATTGAACATCCCCCATTATGGAGATTATGAATCTATGATCATATTGTACATTCCCACTAATCACTAAACATCTCATAAACAACTAATTGAAGAAAGTTGGTCTGTAACCCTAACAACCAACTTATCATGTGCTTAAAAGTTACAACCCTAATTATAAGAAATTCTTCAACTTCCAACTATAGTGATCCTTCCTTTACTCGTGGACAATACTACTTGTGAATATTGTACAAGTCCACATTGTATATGACTGTAGAATTGCACGCCACCCCGACCGACTATAATTAGAAAGCCTGCGTCAGGGTTTTTCGAAGTGGACACGATGACATTTGGTTCAAAAGTACACTGAATCTAGAACGGACTCGATAAAATACAAAACGAAAAAAGAAATAATGATACAAGAAGCGCAATAAAAACACTACTTGCTTGGATTCGAATCCGATGGAATTGAATATTTTCATATAGTTCATAAAATTACAACACAATAGAATCTACATTTCTCGACGTGATTCCAAATATCATATATCATTCAATTTGATTCGGTGTAAGATCGATTGATAACTACTACTCACCTCAATCTTAACGAGATGTCAGATCTAAGCCTCTGCATATGATTGTAGTTTTTTTTGGTTTTTTTCTCTTACACTTGCCAAACTGACAGACGGCGACAGAAGTGAATTCCCCTCATCGGAAGCAGCCTCCAAGCAATCCTCCGGCCGCCGCAGCACAGACTCCGTCACCTACCTGACCCATTTTTTCCCCCGACTCCATTTTCACTTCTTTAATATTCACTTACACTAACCATAAACAACAACTCACTCAACAATCAACAAATATAGGAAAAAACTACATATTAAAAAGGCAGAAGGGAAAGCGGCGAATTGCATGTGACTGCAGCTTTCCTTCCCAACAACAGCTCCCTCCCATCCTTCCTTCCCTATATATAATCTAGCCGCTCAACAGAAACCTCCAGAGCCCGCAATTTAGTAATCACACTCAGCTCCGTCTCTCGCCACCTGTCTCTCTGGTTTTCATTATTCTAATCTCTCCGCCGGAAACAGAGTAAAAAATGACGGAGACGTGGAGGAAGAAGGCCGGCGTCGCGTGGGAGAAGGCCAAGCGCGCTCCCGCCCTGGCGTGCCGGAAAATGTGGAGAGTCGGCAAGGACGACCCCCGGCGAGCGATTCACGCCGTCAAAGTCGGATTAGCGCTCACTCTGGTCTCCATGCTCTACCTCCTCGAGCCCCTATTCGAAGGGATCGGCCAGAACGCCATTTGGGCCGTCATGACCGTCGTCGTCGTCCTCGAGTTCACCGCCGGTAAACTCAAAACCCCACCCAAACCCCCCTTTCCGCTAACACTCATCAGAAGTAATTACTCCGACGTTTTTTTTTTCTCACTACGAATTTTTGAAAAACAGGGGCGACTCTGTGCAAAGGGCTGAACAGGGGATTGGGCACGATTTTGGCCGGTTCGTTAGCGTTTCTAATTGAGTTCATCGCCGAGGCAACAGGGCAAGTCGGCCGCGCCATCTTCATCGGCTGCGCGGTCTTCATTATTGGTATGGAGCTTTTCCATCTCAATCCTCTGTTTCTTTGTTATTAAGCTTGAAAGTAGAATGGCAAGCAAGAACCACAAAGTACTGAAAATTTTGAGTAGAAAAATAATCGAACGGTCGGTAAACGACCTTTGCAACCGACTCTTATTATGAATAGCGCAATTGGTTGATTTTACTGGGGTTCTATCTGATTAATTTTGTCGTTATTGAACATCCTCAAAAAAAAGGGGCGGCGGCGACTTACCTGAGGTTCTTGCCGTACGTGAAGAAGAACTACGACTACGGAGTCGTCATCTTCCTCCTCACCTTCAATCTCATCACCGTCTCCAGCTTCCGAGTCAGCAACGTCATGAGGATCGCCCACGAGCGGTTCATCACGATCGCGATCGGCTGCGGGATCTGCCTGTTCATGAGCTTATTGGTCTTCCCAATTTGGTCGGGGCAGGATCTCCACAACTCCACCGTCAATAAGCTTCAAGGCCTCGCCAATTCCATCGAAGGTAACATAACATAACATAACATAACATAACATAACATAACATAACATACCTTAACGTGACGAATCATTTCTCGCCGAATAATTAACGAATTAGGACGAATTTGTTTCACCTAGTTTGTGTGGCTGTTTGTTCTGCAGTTTGCGTGAATGAGTACTTCAGTGATGAAGCTGTGACAGAGGCCAGAGAAGAGAGCGACGATGAGGAGAAATCATGTGACGAAGACCCAATCTACAAAGGTTACAAGGCGGTTTTGGACTCTAAATCGACTGATGAGACTCTGGCGTTGTACGCTAGTTGGGAGCCTAGGCATTCCAGGCACTGTCGATATCCGTGGCAGCAGTATGTCAAGGTCGGAGCGGCTCTTCGTCGCTTCAGCTACACGGTTGTAGCGCTCCACGGATGCTTACAGACTGAAATCCAGGTAATTTAATTAGCTGCAAATGTGTGTAACGTATTAACAACTAATTAATGATACATGTTATTGTCAAGAACCAGTAGATCCAACAACTCGAGTTATTGGGATCAACTGGTTTTTGACTTGGTATCAGAGTATTCTGTGACTGAGAGGGTCCTGTGTTCGATTCCCGGTGACCCTCATTTGTTAAGCACATAGTGTTCTTGTCTTCAGACCTGTGCAAACTTCAAGCCCTTGTGAGTGGTTTTCGTTTGAGGGAGCGTGTTAGTGTGTGGTATATGATACACAATTGAACCTCTCCCAACAACTCGAGTTATTGGAATCAGCTGGTTCTTGACAGTTATCAATAGTTAATTAATGTCAGTAATTCTTTTCCCCTGCTCTAGGCGCCAAAATCTTGCAGAGCCCTGTTCAAGGACCCGTGCGTAAGGCTTGCCAACGAGGTGTCGAGAGTGCTGATCGAGCTGGCCACCAGCATCGAGGGCAGGCGGCACTGCTCGCCCGAACTGCTCTCGGACCACCTCCACGACGCCCTGCAGGACTTGAACAAGGCGTTCAAGTCCCAGCCCAGGCTGTTCCTGGGCTCCAACGGCAGCCAGGTCAGCAACATGCTGGCCGTGGCTGCAGCACAGGCGCGCCAGCAGAAAGAGCGCGAGGAAGCCACGGGAGGAGGAGGAGGGGTGGCACTTTCTAGTGCGAAGACGGACACGTCGGCACTGAGGGAGTGGAAGAGAACGAGGAGCAAGAAGGAATCCGGCGAGAGGAAGGTGCTGAGGCCGCAGCTGAGCAAGATCGCGATGCTGACGTGCAGCCTGGAGTTCTGCGAGGCGCTGCCCTTCGCGGCGTTCGCGTCGCTGCTGGTGGAGACGGTGGCGCGGCTGGACAGCGTGATGGAGGAAGTGGAGGAGCTGGGGAGGGTGGCTTGCTTCAAGGAGTACAAACGTGGTGGTGAGGATGATGTGGTGGTGACTGTGAAATGTGAGACGCCTAGGGTGAACGTTTGTCTCCATAACTTGCCCTCACATGGAGTAGACTGATTGAACTGTCGATTGATTAATTGATTGGTTTGGTAATGTGTACATAGCTGCAGACATAGAACTGATATTGTATCATTGGTTATTGGTCTTTTTGTGTCTGCAGACATGTAGTAAGCCTTTTTGGTGGAGAAATTTATAGACAGATGATGAGAGATTTGGTTAAGAAATAAGTGTTCTTCATCTCATGAATGCTACTGTTTCAGAGAAGCATATTTGCTAGTGGAATAATTTGCTGGTATGAGGAAGTTGATGACTAAATGACAAGTCCATTAGGTTGCAGAGTAGGTCAAACTCCATCGATGTGAACTGTTCTGGTTTTGGTGGATGCTAGATAAGTAGATTGATCATTATACCATGTCCAACTTTGTACCCTAATTGAATCAGTTCAACTGTGCAAATCTCGCCTTCAAACTACATGAACTAACAAAGACATCTGCAAAATCAGGGTTCAAAAGAAAGATCATAAGACTGGTAAAAAGAAAGGGGAAAAAAGCTGTAGAAAAAAAGAAGAAAGGGCCCAACCGGGTTCGAACCAGTGACCTATTGATCTGCAGTCAATTGCTCTACCACTGAGCTATGGACCCAATTGATGTTAGTTTTCCAACAAAACTTATTTATAATGTGAGTACGGATGATGACCAATGAAGCTTTTAATGTTACATATGGCTTCATCTGCATGCGATTCATTAACAGTTCTTTTAATACTCGATCTCCCCCAGATTAGTTGGGAATATCTTTACAGATTGGACATGTCGATAGATCGGAACCATTGGCGGATCCAGGGGGTGGCCACCCCAGGCCACGGCCCAGCCCTCTTCTGGATTCGTAGTTACTATAGTCCTTATGAAATTTTTGATTTTAGACATTCGACCCAGTGTTATTCTATGATAAGATTGGGTTTAACTAGAAAAATTATCAAATTGAACATATTCAAATCACTATTCTAAATTTAGCCTAGAAATTTTAGCCCCAAAGATTATGCGTCTTAAAAAAACAATGAAACCTAAAGGCTAAAATTCTAAAAAGTTTAAAACGTAAAAGACTAAAAGAAATATGAGGTTTGTTCCCTTACAAATTTACTAAAGCAGCTGGTGTGCAGGGATCAGTGTTCAAGAAGACGCTGGGCGTCAACGAGGCGGGGAGGCACCGCCCAGCGCCCAGGGCGATTAATCGTCGCCTAGGCGAGATTAAACGTGGAAAAAAAATTGAACTAAGAAGCCCTTAATTCACCATACTCATGCCTACAAATCTCAATCCAACATACCATCTGCTCTCCCTTGCTTCATCTTCTTCTTCAGCAGGCCTTTCCACCCCCAAAACCGTCTTCCCCAGCAGGGCTTCAATATAGGATTAGAGAGAAATTTTGAGAAAAGAAAAAGATAGAGCTAGACCAGCAAGACCCTAGACATATCGAAGCTCGAAGGAGAAAGAAGCAGTACCTTCAATGGAGGAAACTTCTTTTGGAGACCGGCGGCGAGGATGAGGAGGCGAGAACGAAGTGCTACGACGACCCCCTGATTCTCCAAAGCTGTCTGCTTCGTTGGCGAAAGAAGAGGACGAGGCGGCTTGAAATGACGGTGGTCTGCTGGGTGGAGAGGAACGCCGGTGGTCGACTGGTTGGAGAGGCGAGAGAGGGACGACGGCCGGCTAGGTGGAGAGGAGGGAGAGGAACGATGGCGGTTTGGAGAGAAGGGAGAGCGACGGCGGTTGTAGAGACTAGAGAGGGAGAGCTTCTCGCTTTCTGTAATTGGAGATAGGGTTTTTCCTTTTTCAGGCCTTCCTCCTAAAACGCACAACACCAAAAGTTCATCTCCCTCTTCTCTTTTCTGGGCGTCGCCTAGAAGCCCACAATCGCGACTCCCCGCCGTTAAACGCGCCTAGGCGTTTTTTATCGCCATTCAATGTTTTCTACGCCCAGCCCTTTCGCCCAGCCCTAAACTCCAAGAATTCTCCATGCCCAGCTATGAATCGCGCCTAGGCGCGTCTTCTTGAACACTGGCAAGGATGGACACACAATGCAAATTGATTAGTCGATTGATTTATCTAGTGTTGATGCTTCTCGTTTCAACAGCTACTACGAAGAGAACCTTTTTAACAATGAAACATGTGAGAACTGATTTGCTCAACAAAATGAGCGATGAATTTCTCGCCGATTGCTCAAGTATTTTATTTGAAACAGTGTATACTATTGGTATGGATGTAAACTTCATTATTGATGCATTCCCTAAATTAAAATACAGTCGTGTACAATTTACATTGCAAAAAACTATAATCATTATATTTTTTTACGGTTCTAATTTTCTAATGAAATGCGGCCTAGTGCTCTTCTGTGTTCTGGATCCGCCGCTGATCGGAACACTACTTTAAACTATGTATGGTGACTGCTATTTGTGTAACCGACCGACCACAAGCTTATATAAATGTGTTTGTGGAGAAAAGGCAAAAGTTAGGTACGTAGGAAGGGGAAGAAGAATCTGTCCTTAATTAGGGTGAGAATACTTAACAATAACAAATGTTGCACGTACGTAGAGGGCGGCATGAAAGGGAAATCTGTTTGATATTGTTATTCTTTGAACAGAATCTTTTCATGGTGGAGAAATGGCTCCGTTCTTGTTTTGGTTGTTCATTTGTTCCACACTTACTCTCCCTTTTCTTTAAAACTAGTTGGTGTGCAACCGAGCCGTCGGATATAATTTGAATATAATGTATTTATAATGTGTATTTTAAAGTTTTCAAAATATTTGAAATATGAATTTCTTCCCATTAACTAAATTAATTGTTAAAATCAAATTAGAACAATCAAAATATGAAAAGTGAAATATCAGACACCTAAGAAGTACTTACGTGGGAGTTAGCGGGCTAGCTAAAAGTAGTAGAAAATCCAACTGATTTTGAAATTTTATATTTGTGTATATTTTTAGCATGAAAAGATAAATTAAATCCGTCTAGTGTAATTAGTAATGATTCATATCCTTGTTTAAATATACCATGGTTCAAATTCCAATATTGATGTATTTTTTATGAATAAAAGAAATAAATAATTGTGATGAATAATCTACCCCTTGTACTTTTGGTATGAATTCGGTTCTTGTAACTAGGAACATATATAACATAATTATAAACAAGGAAAATTTATATGTCTACATGGAAATGGAAATGAAAAGCAAAAGATCAGTTTTCTCGAAATATGGACCAATGGAAGTTTAACTCCTAAAAAAAGCACTTTATGAAGTTTCCCGGAATTTGATTGATTTATTTATTTCTTTTTTACATGCGGAAAAAGGGAGCTTACATTATAAAAATCAACATAGGATTACTATACCCCTTTTTATTTTTCATACTAAATTGCCTAAACTAATAAAAAATAAATAGCATTAAAATCGATTTTTATTGACCAATTAGAATTGACTCCTAAGATCTATAATTGCCTCAAAAGATCTAATATACATACATTATTGGACCTTTTGAATAACAGTTAAGAAAACCTTATGAAAATTGAACATTTTTGTCTAGAAGATGTAAACATATATTGGCAATTTTTGAAGTAGAAAAGAATTTCACAGCGGATTTGCCAAAGAGAAAATTCTAAATTCAATACATTTATATTCATTTTCAATATTTTTAGAAACTCAAAATTAAGAAAGACGTATGCATATACCAAAAGCTTATAAATAGAAGAATGATCACCACGCCTTAATTTATTTTTGAAAAATATTGTAATAGACTATCTTATTAACGACCCTAGAGTCAAGCCGGTAATTGACTCTTTAGCAAATAAACAATTAGCTTTGCAATAATTCTTCACATGAACAATGAGCATTGCAATAGTTCGTTTACATTTTTTCCAAGTCCCTGCTTATATATATGCACTGGTCCATTCTCCACGGCCATCGTGGGAATCTGTCTTTATTTTTTAGTGCCATGATCAATGAATTAGTTGGCCAAAACATCCTTAGCCTATATGACGAAGAATAAAAAAGAAGAATATTTTTAAATATATTAGTTGGCCCGAGCATTCAATTCGCTCAGAAAAATAGTAAGGTTGCCTGAACTTGATCAAATTTCATCGAGTTTGACCGCTCGTGTGCTTTTAAATAACTAGTTTCCTAGAAGTCGATGTAGAAATCAAACAGACTAAACTTGGTTTGACCGATATGATCAACCCTGTGGTTAAACCCTTGGAAAATACAAGAACTAGAAAGAGTCTTATAGATTGGCATGATAGTCATCGGTTAAAGTGCTATAACCCACTAGTTCCTATGCCCTTTCTTAGTTACCAAGAGGAGTTGGATTATGCACTTTTAAATTTACCTATTCTGTTTCCAGTTTGGTATTGAAAACATTAGAGTTGTTTGGTTATCTCCAATATCTCAAAGTCTAATATAAAGTTGTCCCTAAATATGAATTCCTCGACACATACATACCACATTAAGTGAAAAATCAATAAGAAAGTTAGATATGTATACTAACAACCACTCCCCCAAAGGAATTCCCTTTCACCAAAGGACATATATATGTATAGAAGACATGCCTTCTAATCATATACATCACATTGATCACCAAAATTACATTATGCTATATATGCTAGAAGTAGTCCCAACTCCCCAAGAATCTGAATGTGCCTATTATGCATGCAATCCCCCAAGCTTTTTTGTGAGGCCAAAACCCTCCTCAAAATGCATGGTGAATAATGTCCTTTCTCCCTCTCACCTAATCCATGAGTCTAGCACATGATCTAGCGACCCAATCAACTTTGACATTGAGAGACCTCTTAAAATAAGAGACACTAATGAGCGGGTGACGTGAGAGAAGATCCCTCATGACACCTAACCATGCAGAGATTCTCCAAGGCCAACGTGAGGGAGCCGCTTGAAGGGCTTTTGTAATGATCAAGCTATCTGTCTTGACAAGGCAGTGAGATCCAAGCTGACAGGCCAAAGAGATGCCTTCCACCATTGCTTTTGCTTCCGCTTCCAAAGGAGTAGCACATTGGAACTTCCCATCTTTCCATTCGTAACTTGTCCATGGTTGTTGATGATGACAACACCAAAGGCCGCCTCCTGGGAATTGTTTATGAACGATCCATCATAGTGAATCTCATATGTGAGATTACCTGGCGTTGGAGTAGGTTGAGGTAGATAATCTGTGGGCTGGGGAGGAAAAGGTAGAACAGCTTGTCTTCTGGAACACGAAGACCACAGAGCAAGATCCGAGAGAGCATTAGAGCATGTCGTAGGCGGCCACAAGTTTCTGCCACGAAAAACTATTTCATTTCTGCTTTTCCAAACATGCCACACGAGGTACACCATCTATTGGATCGAATGCGTAGGGAGGCTGTGGCTTAGAGAAAAAAGCCAAACTAGAGGGTTAATCAGCGGCGGAGGGGTGGCTATAGAAGGGAAAAGATTGGTCCATACATCAAGGGCATGCTGGCACAAAAAAAAAACAGTGGTTGATTGACTCTACATGGTTCCCGCATATCGGGCAATCAACATTAGGCGAGCATCGTCTGCCAAACAGTCTTGTCTTAGTCGCCAGAGAGCACCCTTAGCACATCTCTACACAAAGGATTTCAGTTTTGGAGGGAGGGAGAGATTCCAAAACCACTTCCATTTTTCTTTCTCTTCCGATGTCACCACGTTTCCTTCTTGTCCAAAAGCTCTGGACTGATCATGATAGGCATGATAAACAGACCGGACCGTGAAATCCCCATTGAGGGAGAATCTCCAAGCCCAAAAATCATCGTCCGTTGGAAGGCCAATAGGAATGCTTGAGATAGCTTGATGATCTTGGGGACTCATAACCTGTTCAAGTAACAGCAGGTTCCATTGCCGAGAAGTCTGATCAATCTAGTCTTCGACCATTGAATTATCATTTTAACTGTTGATAATCTTGTGGCCCTGAAGCGACGGAATCCACGGGTCTTTGAATTTTCTGGTTGACTTTCCACTTATGATGACCCTGGCGATGTCTGCTCGAGATGCTTTCTTGAATCCCAGAGGCTAGCCCAGATCCAGGATGGTATGCTTCCTTTCCTAGCATAGAGGAAATTGGTGCGAGGGAAGTAAAGACTTTTCAAGAGCCTTTCCCAAAGAGTTGGGTTAAACTTTGGACAGAGATTAGGGTGCTAACACACAAAAGTCCATAAAGCTAAAAGGACTATTGCACCATAGTACTTCCCATGACAGCAATCCATCCATCAATGGGCGCTTTGACCGTCATATCATTGATGGTGTCGGTCAAACCAAGTTTAGTCTATTTGATTTCTTATTTATACACCATCCTCTACGAAACTAGTTATTTAAAAGCATGTGAGCAGACAAGTTCGCTTATTACTTTTCTGAGCAGACTGAATGCCCGGGGGCCAACTAATATATTTTGAAAAATTCTTATTTTTTCTTCTTCGTATTCTAGATTGAGGATGTTTTTGTCCAGTGAAATATCGGATTTTGTGATGTGGCGAGTTACATTTGGGTGACTTGTCAGTTTTGTTAGCCACATCATAGTAAAACTTGCGTTGTTAGTGGACTCTAACGGAAGAAGAGACCAAATTTGGACTATTGAACTAATATTAGTGACAAAAAATATATTAAAATATTTTTAGTGACAAACGTAAAACAATTTTGTAACCTTAGTAACCAAACTTACAATTTAACCAGAACAAAATGAACTCCAAACTCTAAGGAGATTATAAATAGAAACTTTTTCCTTTTACGTACATTATGCTCTTTGGGTTAAATTTTGGACACAGATTAGGGTGCTAACACCCAATTTGTTAACTTGGTGTTAACACTAGCTCTAGTGAAAAGGACATTTCGTTTAATAACTTTTTTGTTTCAAGGGCTCAATAATAATTTACACGAATGTTTAAAGGAAAGGGCACACTTGTTATCATTAAAAATTTATAGGGGCACACCTGTGTTACACTTCTTATTTATAGCACGTCTCGTGCCTCACCACAAGACCAGAAACGCAACTGACTATACCACAAATAACATAAAGTAAACCAGAAAGCTTATAAAGTATACTAGAACATCACCACACCATAAAATTCATAAAACATACCAATAAACTCAAGCATATCACAAGTTTATTAAAGAATACAAAAAAAATCTTATAAAACAGAACATAAATTCCTTCAAATAGACCATAAACCTCATAAAGCATATCACAAGTTCTCTAAAGCATAATAGAAACCTCATAAAAGCATACCACATGTTCCATGAAGAGTACTAGAAACATCATAAAGTATACCACAAGTTCACTGAAGAAGACCAAAAACCTCATGAAACAAACAAAAAGTATTATGAAGCAGATCAAAAAGACGAGAAACCTCACGAAGCAAACAGTAGATGTTATAAAGGACGACAACTAATAAAAAAATTTAATAATGAAATAATTTTTTATACAAGCGGTTGTTTTTTTTTTACACAGGAGGAAGCTGAGGGGTAGGAGATGAGATGAAAGGGGTGGAAAAATTGGAAGGGAGGAAGTAGTGAGTAACTACTATGTACAATAGTTATCATAATATCCTCAATAATTATGTTAACACCTTACCTATTGCCTAAAATTTGAGTTAACCTTGTGATTTTACTTCAAATTATAAAAAAAACAATTTACTCAAATTACAAAATAATTATCAATAAACTCATAGCTCATTGTATTTTTTTTAACTTAACTTCGGGTTCAATTAACATGACGTATCTGACCTTCGGATGACATGTAAATAATAATCGGTGAGTCATTCCTCAATTGGAAAGGAGATATGATGATGCCCCCAACTTTGTAAATGCTTTTGAACTAGTCGATGGATTGGAACTTGCAAGTATGAATTGTGGGGAGTGAATTAATTAGAAGGTTGTTATTTGCCGTGCAAGATTTTATTATTTGCCGCTCACAAAATTTGTAAAAAAATCGATTTTGCCCTTCTTTATTTTTCTAACAAATAATTTAGCAAAACATAATCCCAATCAGCATTCAGCACAAAGAGGCAGAAAATTTTAATTTTGCTAACAAAATTTTACGGCCAAAATGACGAGTTTTCGACTACCAGAGGAATGGTCCAACGGTGGGAAGGCCTCTGAAGACGACGCATGCGCCTGGTCCGACGCCGTCTACTGGTCCGAAGGCTGACCTCAGCTCTGGCATCTCCGTCCCAACTCCGACTTCGGACCGCGCTTCCCCGTTAGAATATCAACGTCGGACCCTGTCCCAACGCTATCGTCGGACCGCGTCCGCAGGCCGACCTCGGACCCCGTCCGAACGGAGACGTCGGACCCCGTCCGAACGCAGAAGGTGGTGGAAGAAAATGGATGAAGATGGCGGAGGTCGGAGGAATCGTTGCGGAAGAAAATAGAGGAAGGGGATTCGGTATATGGGATTTGCGAATATAATGCCGGAAACGTCGGGAGTAAAAGGGAAGGTGAATTGGATGTCAGTAGATTTGGGGAAAGAAAGAATCGGGTAATTTTCTTTACAGAGTATTTTTTGTAAAGGAAATTACAGAGTTATTTTGAATGTTTGAAAAATAATTAAGAATAAAGGGGGAATTAATGAGATAGAGAATGCGAATTAATGAGATAGAAGTTACTATTTAACTGCAATTGTTTATTATTTGGCTCAATTAATCTCTGGCGACCAGCATTTTCCGGCGACCCTCTAAAACTCTGGCGCCTCCAGGATATGCATCAGACGAGAGGTGATGGTGTTGTTAATTAAGTTAGAAAGTTAGAGTATCTAGGATTTAATCTAATAAAAGGGCAAAAATGTCATTTTATTTGAAACTACGCGCGGCAAGTAGTAACTACTCGGGCGGCAAATAGCATTCATATTAATTATGTGGTCCAAGAAAACGTCAATGTTAAGGAGCCTTTCCAAAAATCTTTTGAGTTGTGCGTGAGAGCATCGAAGGCACACGGTCGTCTATCCACCCAGCCTAGTTATTCTCCTATTCAAAAATATATGAACTAGTATCCAAATCTGCTGATTTTACTAAAATATCTAGATAACACGGACTAGTATTCAAAACATCACAAACTAGTATCCAAATAGCAAATACCAACTAATATCCATAATCAACCAACTAGTATTCAATATGGATACTCTTATTCGTGATCTCGATACTAATTATGTGCTTTATGGATACTATTCCGTGTTGTCTAGATATTAATTTGTGAATTTGAGATAATAGTTTATTCATGTTGGACATTAGCAAATATTGAATACTAGTCTGTGCTCTCTAGATACTTTAGTACTTGGATACTAATTCATTTATTTTGGATATCAGTTAGTATTTGCTAACGAATCTTCAAATTAACATATTAACTTTTTCGCTATCCACCAGTACATGCACCACCACATCCTTCCACATATCAAACTGGGAAAAGTTAATCTGCTAACTTGAAGATTCGTTAGCAGATACTAACTGATATCCAAAATACATGAACTAATGTTCAAGTACTAAAGTATCTAGAGAACACAGACTAGTATTCAAAGTTTGCTAACTGATATCCATCATGAATCAACTATTATCCCAAATTCACAAACTAATATCTAGACAACACATAATAGTATCCAAACAACACACAATTAGTATCCAGATAATACATAAGAGTATCCAAATAACCCATAAGAGTATCCATATTGAATACTAGTTGGTTGATTGTGGATATTAGTTGGTATGTGCTACCTGGATACTAGTTTGTGATGTTTTGAATATTAGTCTGTGTTATTTAGATACTTAGCAGACTTGGATATTAGTTCATACATTTTGGATATTAGTTACTATATACTAACGAATCTTCAAGTTAGCAGACTAACTAGGCTGTATAAAACTAACTATGAGTCTCACCAGTCATCGCCACCAAAGAGAAGTAGACATCACATTCAGCAATGGTTGTCATGTCGGTGGCATGCCACCCGGTTGAACCTGGTTCAACCTGTACCGGTCATGAAACCGGCATGACACCACCGGTATGATCGGCTTACGCATTCTAAACAAAATGGCATCATTTCAATTAATTTAATTAAAAAAATTAATTTATTATTCATTTTATGAATTTAATAGTTAAAAGTTGATGATATTTGTTGGATTGTAACTAAATTATTCATTTTATGATTAAATGCATTGGATATTAATTGCTTTTACATTTTTTAAACCGACATGAACCGGCACAAATTGGTTATACCACCAATCGTACCATTCCACTTGCCAAACCGACGGTATAAACCGGTTTGACAACCTTGCATTCAGCCAATGGAGTTTTATAGTCAAAGAATCAATTTTGAAGTACAAATTGATATCAATTCACCACATCCTTATTAGCAAAACTGGATTCGCCATTTAGACGCTGTACACTTTCTTCCTCTTCAACCACTGCCCCTGTTTTCCTCTTCCTTAGAAGATCAATAACCCCTTTAAAAGCCAAATCAACATCCTCGTTCTTTATAAGCTCCTCCGTCACCTCCGCCGGCGTCACATCCACGCTCCTTATCAACTCCTCTATCTCACCGTACAGCCGGTGGCTCCAGTCGTCAACGTTGAGGTAGTTCGACGCCAGAATGGCAAAAGCTTCAGGGGTACAATAAGATAGGTTGATATGAACATCCATCCTCCCCGGCCGAAGCAGAGCAGGTTCCAGGCGCTCCTTATGATTGGTCGTGAACACAATTATCCTCTCGTCACCGCAGCTCGACCACAGCCCGTCAATGAAATTCAAGATCCCCGACAGCGTCAGCCTGGGCTCCAATTCCTGACCTTGGTAGTACCCAATGTAGCCGGCGCCACCGCCGCCGTCGTCATCCCCGCCGTCATCCTGCCGGACGTGAACTTTGGAGGAGCTGCAATCGATGTCTTCAATCACCAGAATAGAACGATTCGAGGTGGATAGCAAAACCCTTTTCAGATCTGAGTCCGAATACACGCTGCTGAGCGCCAAATCGTAGATGTCGAATTTCAGGTAATTCGCCATCGCGGCAATCAGGGTCGATTTCCCAGTTCCAGGCGGGCCGTAGAGCAGGTACCCGCGCTTCCAAGCTCGGCCCACTCTCTTGTAGAATTCCTTCCTCTCAACGAATTTCTCCAGATCCCCAATTATCATCCTCTTCAAATCGGAATCCAGCGCGAGGGTGTCGAAGCTCGCTGGGTGTTGAAGAATCACAGATCCCCAATAAGTGCCTTGCTTATCAGGGCAATCCGTGCTGTAAATCCTCACGACTCTCTTCTTTTCCCTGATTTCTTCCCCTCTGGCCAAGACGTAGGGAAGGTAGGAACCAATCACTCTCTCCTTCAATTTCTTGGGGAAGGTGAGCTGAAACGATTTCTCCTCCCTGGTTGGACCGTTGCTGCTGCGAACGCAGATGTATTTCCATCGAACATCGAAACCGTCGTAGCGGTCGACGATCTCCTCGTCGTTGAGGAGGGAGAGGGTGAATTCCTTCTGCTTGTGGGTTTTGCGGATCTTGAGGCGGCCCACGGCGGGGCCGATTTTGGTTCGGAGGTAGATCTCGGCTGCGTCGTAGAGCTCGTCGCGAATTAAGCCGTTTTCTTCGACGACGAGGGTTAGGGTATTGGAGAAGCGGGAGGCGAAGGAGAGGACTGGACGAAGGACCTCGTGGGGGATGAGGCTGTGGGCGACGGACCGGATTAGCATTGTGTAGGCGACGATGGAGGCGGCGCCGGAAAGGATTGAAGAAACCGACGGGGGGATTTTGTTGGCGATGGAAGGGAAGTTGGAGGAGGTGAGGTCCATTGTTGTACGGAGACTGAGAGGCTGCCTTTGGTGAGTGTGGCTGAATCGGTGAATTGATTGACTAGGATTTTTCTTTTCAAAATATTTAAAAGGATTTGAGGAAACTTCCGCTCCACGTCACGCAGCTCTCGATTCGGGGAGTTTTTTTTATTTTTAATATTCTTTCGTCCGGTTCTTTTGTTCATTTGACCCGATTTTTATTAGGTTTATTGACTCCTAGTCCTGACTCCTAACTAACCACAATTTTTTCTCTCTTGAAAGTTGAGACCGTAGATTCTTGGCCTTTTACTTTGGATATATTACGTTGAGAGAAGATAGAGAATGTGAGATTATTTATTATTATATCTCATTAGCTATATTTTAAAAACCTGTACTATTTGAGATCTTTCAAAATCTTCAATGACCACAATTCCTCTCATCTATCCAAACGCATAATTGTTTTAAAATCTTGTATAACGAGAAATTGTTTTAAAATTTCTCACTACAATTCTGCATCCAAACGACCCCTTCGAATAATTTTATCGATATGAGAATGATGAGATTGACTAGCTAGATGACTGAATGATCTTGAAAGAAGGATCAAATGATCAATTTAACCTGTTCATTAGTGACAGCAACAAAATACCTTGGAAGTCCATGTTTAGTGGGGAATATCGTTAAGAAGAATCTGTTATTGGGGTGATATATAACAATTGTTGCACCAACATAGAGGGCGGCATGCAAAGGCTAATTGTTTGATATTGTTATTTATTGGGGTATAGGTATAATATGCCCTTCTACTATGACGTTTTATCAAATATGCCTCTCTACTATTTTTTACATCAAACATGCCATTGTACTTTGTAAAAATGATCAAACATGTCCTTTTGTTAAAATTTTCATTCAAAAACCATTAACCATGGCCGAACTTTGGTTTGGGCGACACAAATGTCTAAAATATCCCTAATAATTTCACTTTAGAATTTATTTGGTTATTTTGTATAGCCAAATAATTCAAATAATTTCACTTTGAAGAGACCTAGAGGAATAAAACGGGGGACAAAACTATCATTTTCCTTCCCATTTGTCGATGTCGGGTCGTCTAAATATCGGTTCAACCATGATTGACGATTTTTTCAATCGAAATTTTAATAGAAGAACATGTTTGATAATTTTTTCAAAGTATAGGAGCATGTTTGATGTAAAAAATAATAGAGAGGCATGTTTGATAGTACGTCATAGTAGAGGAGCATATTATACATATAACCCTTCTTTGTTAGCCCTTCTAGCTAGCTGAAGATTCCTTCTCAAGGATGCATTAATTGGTGGATTCTTTTCATGGTGGGAAAATGTCCAGTTTCTTCCTTTCTTTCTTTGGTTGTTTATTTGATCCACACTTCCTCTCCCTTTTATTACAAAAATAAGCCAGTTAATTAGCACTATGTTTTCAGACCTCATCAGGATGTTATGGATTCGATTCTCGTAACTATGCACGTGTAACTAGGTAAATGATGAATCGTTACTCACAATTCAAGGATTTACTTGTAACTCATAAGAGAGAGCTACGTTGGTATTGAAAAACGTTTATTTTATTATTTGATAAACGTAACTAATGCCGAACTTTGATATACCGGAAAAGGCTAATATGAGACCCTCTCCTACCCGAACTCACTCTCCTACTCGGCTACCCTATCCCACGCGCAAAAGGTAAACAAACACAAAAAGGAAAAAGACATCCTACAACCCAAAATGCCCAAAAGCGCAATCTGAAAATAACCTCATTAGTAAATTAATTGGATTCAATATGGAATTGAGAAAGACATGTGTATACGAAAAATTTATAAATGATATTTTTCGTGATACCACGTCCCAGTTATTTTTTAAATATTGCCTATGTTTGGCTCGGAAGTGTTTTTCGGTTCCAAAAATGGAAACAGCCAAACACCTCTAAAAGCTCGCCTTTTAAAAAGCTGAAAAGTGTTTTTGTATAACATAAAAGCAGAAGCTCCGAATCAGAGCTTTTGCAAAAAGTTGTTTTGAAATATAAGATTATCCTCACTATAATTTAGTTTTCTTTCAGAAAATATAATTTCTTTCATTTATATCATTTTACAAATAAAATTAAATATAAATAAATTATTAAATATAAAATAGATCTAAAAAGATCCATTTTGACTACTTTTTATTGTTTAAAATTTTTATTCATATTTTATATTATAAACCCTTTATAATAGTTTATCAGCCAAACGCTCAACTGTTTTTTTAAATACTTCTCTAAAAGTTACAATCAGAGGCTGCTTCTGCAAAATCTACATCCAGAAGCTACTTCTGAAAAAATTACCACAGAAACAAACTGGCCCAATATAACCAACTATTTTGTCAATTAACCCAGAGTCTCGTCAGTAATTGACCCTTTACCAATCATTCATCAAATACTGTATGGAAGATGGAGGTCATTAACAACTTCAATTCTCCATGTTTCTTTTCAGGGTAAATACAATTTAATATCCAAACCTTTTATTTTAAACAATATAATAGCCAAACCTTTTCGAAAACAATCTAATATCCAAATCGTCAACTTTCTGTCTGTTTGAACGTTAGTTGACACTTCAAAAAAGTTCGAAGTACGACACTTCATCAATACACATCGATATCTTCTCTGAAAAAACACCAACATATCGTAGTTCCAAACCCGTGAAGTCCATGACTCCACCATGATGATATAGAATATCTAAATATTCAGTCATCTGCAATGCCAAAACAAGAAACAAAGTTGTATTGTGACAATTTCCCCTAAACAAAGCTTTTATGAAGTGTCAACTAACGGTCAAACGAACGGAAAGTTGACGATTTGGATATTAGATTGTTTTCGAAAAGATTTGGCTATTATATTGTTTAAAATGAAAGGTTTGGATATTAAATTGTATTTACCCTTCTTCTTTTTATGAATAATTTTCCATGTCCCTGTTTATAAATATAGGCACTGGTGCATGCTCCACCGTTGGCATCGGGCTTTATTTTATTAGTGCCATGATCAATGAATCCATGGCAAATCAAAAGGTAGTTCTCTAACCGACATTGTTGTGGAAAAGGCTTCTTTAGCTTCTTTTGTTTGGAACAAAAAGGAACACCAAATTCTGAGGAAAGTATAAAATACAAAGATTATCATTTACGTACATTGTGTTCTCTAGGTTAAAGTTTGAGTTGACCTTATAATTTTATTCAAACTACCAAAAAAATATATATTAACCAATCAACTAATTTTTTTTATAATTTTTTAACTTAACTTCAGGTTCTAAATTAACATGGCGTGTCTGACCTTCGGATACCATCTAAATAACAATCCATTGAGTCATTTCTCACGAATCAAGGTAACATGGTGATCAAACCTCACGATTGCCTAACTGAAAAATATTGCACTTGAGGAAGTTGAATAAAAAACATTAGTAAAAGTAAAGCTTGGAGTACTCTTTTCAACCTCAAAGGATCGAAGTGTCATTTTCAGTTTTCATTCAAAAAAATAGTCGGCTTCTTAAATATATAACCTTAATTAATTTACTTTCCCTAATAAGACATTAAGTCAGTGAAACACAACAACAAAAATAGCGTTGGTGTATATATGATACCTGCAAATGCAGTTTGAATACAGTTTATACAGTTAGAAATCATCAAAATTCAAATACCATACGTCTCCACAACTAATTTCCTCCCTAATGACAGAATGAATGTGGACATAATTGCAACTCTTTCATAAACTTGTCCTCTCTCTAAATGTGGGTTATGGAAGGGGGGAAATGCCGTTTCTGTACATCAAGCTTTCACACTTCCTTTACTGAGAAAGTTGTATGCAAAGACAAGATTAGATGACTAATTATCCAAGTAAAGTGAAGTGCTAAATAAAACCATATGGAGTATCTCAATGGCACTACAAGCAAACTACTAATTGGGTAGAAATTACCAATTTGGGTAGTTTTGAATATCAAATTGGAATAACTTCGTCGGTGTGTTGCAATTTTATTGGTACGAGAATGAATGAGATTGAATAGATTGTTGGATTTGAAAAATGAAAAATGGGATACACAAAAGAATTAGGTGGTTTCTATATTGTCTTCGAATCATGTTGGGTGTTACCACAATTCAAATGGTTAGATCGTATTAATTTGGAAGGTCATGTAGGCATGATGCATATACAACATTGGAAATTGGTACGAGAGGACGGGGGATCCGATGTGATAGTCATGGGTTTGAAAAGCAAGAATAAGGATGTAAATTTGCTATCAATTATCAGCAGTTCATCCTGACTATCAACTGGGATCACCGATCAATATCCAATCACAACCGTAATTTGATTTTTAAATTTATCGTAACATTGTTAACATCCATAAACATATGAAGCTACACTTCACCCACTAATGCAGTCAAGTGCAATAGTTCACTTTTTTTTTAAATGGGTTGAACAAGATGACACGTTTGTGCTGAAAAACAAAATGAAATAAGCCCTTAATTATAAAAACACATGTTACACACTAATAACTTCCCAACAAATATTAACCCAAATGTGGAAAAAAACACTCATGGATTCCCATCTTTTTGTAAAATTGGAATGGCAAACCCAGGAACAACATGAATACATGACAATATGAAACAACCTTTAAATAGTGCTATAGATATAAAACAATACATATCGATCGAAACCCAATTTAGAAAGCATAACATTTGGTGCTACTAAGCCTTTGCAAGCTTTTTCCCACACTTCATTAACCACTGAACTTAAATATTCATATTTCCTTTCCACGAACAAACATTAAAAGGAGTTGTTCTGGCTACATCACGGTCCCAACGAACTATTATGATTTCTTTTATTCTTTTAGAAGAGTATTTTTATTTCGTCCGACCATAATGTTCACAACTATAATCTCCATAAAATGAAGTCATGTCGGGCTCAACACTCTCCCAGAAACTCGAGTAATCTCCGGGAGACATACTGTAACCAATGTGACTGAGGTCATCATGTGAATGTTCAATATCTCCCATGGGATTCAAATGTGGATCAGCAAAATTCAATCCATCTTGACCTTGCTGCCATGGCATCGCCATTGATGAGCTTGGATAGTCACATTGAGGAAACACTTCACTTCCACTTCCTTGTCCTCTCGAAAGATCCTAAAAACACAAATCAAATTCTATTAGCCATTAACTCGATCGATCTTGAAAGAAGGATCAAATGATCAAAATTTAATCTTTTTCATTAGCGACATGAACAAAATACCTTGGAAGTGTCGAGAATCAAATCAGGTGACAGAACCCATGGAGTCGATGGATTGCTACTCTCCATTGAAATCAACTGCTCAGACTCTGACGTCGCTACTGGCTCTGTAGTACGTGGAGAACCGAAGGGGCTAGAATACTGACTTCCAGAAAAACTCCCGAAGCTCGACATGTTCATCATGGCCTCATTCGTTATAGCTGTTGATGATGATGAAACAGAATCGCCATAGTTGATCATCCTGCTCGAATTGCTCGCAGATGCAGTCTTATTCTTTTCTTCATTCCTCTTCACAATCCGACACAGAGCAAAGGCCCCCTGTTTTTGAGAATGCGATACAGAATTCGATTATTAAAACCTCTTTCAATAACAAAATTAGGGGTAAAATCACGGATAATCTTCGAGTGTTCAAACCTGAGAGTTGGTCGACGGATCGTCTTCGAGACGATACTCGTGCATTACCCAATCCGTCCGGTCGCCCAACGGAGCCCTTCCCCTGTAGAAAACCAGAGTCTTCCGGTAGCCGGTCACGCCGCCGACTGATCGGCACACAATCTTCCTGTCTTTACCGGTAGCCTTCCAGTATCCAGCTCTGGTGGCTCGGTTGGTTCTCGACCCGTTGGGGTACTTTCGGTCCCTGGGGCAGAAGAAGAACCATTCCATGTCCCGCTTCGGCAAGAATGATTTATCTGAAATCAGAAAAATAATCTGATTATTGAAATGAAGTCGTTATAATGTGAGTTTATGTGATCAGAAGGTCTCGTCTGGAACATTACCTGGAAGCTCCCACGGATCAAATTTGTACAAATCGACGACAGGGACGACTTCGAGCTCGATCTCGAGCCGTTGAACTTTCCTGTGCAGGTAGTATCCGACCAATTCCTCGTCGGTCGGGTGGAATCGAAACCCAGGAGGCAAAGAAGCTCCTCCCATTTCTTTGATGCTATATCTAGTTTCCTCTGTTTTTTGCTACTAAATGCGCAAGAACAGAGGCTCTAAAGGGGAAAGGAAAGACAAACAGAGCAAGGGGATAAACAGGTGAAATGAAATAAAATCTTGCAGCTAAGTGCCGAGGCTATACCGATGAAAGATCCAGAAATAAAACCCTTTTCCAACTCTTGAATATCTGCCGAGAATCAGGTATGAATTGCAAGGGATTAGACCATTAATCAACAGGGTCATTTTCCACCTGGGATTTCTAAGCCTTCTTTCTTTGGCGGGTAAATTTAAAACCCCCGCTCGCCTAATTTTTGAAATGAAATACCAAAGAACCAAACTTTACTATGGAATTATTAGAACCCAGAAGCTAAACTGTTCAGGAATGTGTTGAAAATGAGAGGACTACAACCCAGAAGCCTATAGTTGTTCAGAAACGTGTAGAAAAAAATGGAAAGGGAGGGTGTTAGAAAGATGGAGCGAGTAGAGTGAAAGCAGAAGGGGTTCGAAAGGGTATATATAGAGAGAGAGATGAACCGTGAACGGCAGGAATGGAAGAGAAAAAGGAGAGAGCAGCCATTGGAGGTTGTCTTTTTTGTGCAGAACACCGAAAGTAATGGAATTTGGAGGGGGTAGGGGGGATTGCCTTTGCTTGTCCCGAGTGCTGTGCTCAAAATTCCACACCCCATTTTGCACACTTTGGCCCCACTTCAGTTCACACCTAACTGGCTAACCGTTTTCTTTCCCCTCTCTGTTCTGTTGTATCTCCCGCCACTTTTGGTTAGTGACCGTTAAGTCCAATTTACCTAACCTTAGTGGCAGAGCAGAGATAATGGTCTCTGGTTCGGGTGGCTAGGGTTTGCACCACGTCAATACGAATCTAGTCATGTTAGACCATAAGTCAATAACGAAACTACGTGTAGTCCATGAGGGATTAACATGTGATTTGAGATTCTAATGTATATTCATATCTTGCTGAGAACATTAGAAAGTGGTATGATGGACCTATTTCCCAGTCTTCTTCCAAGATTCAAGTTCAGTCAAGGGAAGCATTTATAGGGTGTTTTACAACGTTGAGGGTTCGCCGCTAACTTTAGATCGTGGTTTATTAGTGGTATTCATAGATTTCGAGTCATGCTTATCTATTTGAGTTAGAAACAACTCTAAACAAATCGAATCCTTCATTCTTCAGCCTTTTTTTGTGGGCTTTTGAAGAACGGGGTGGAATTGTTGAAATTCTATGAAAGAGTTGATTTATCCTATTGGATCATAAATTGACTTCATTGCCTTTCAAGCTTCAAGTGCACTAGAGGATAGTGGTTGGTGAGACCCTGCCATTGCAGTGCTTTGCTGCTAAGGTTAATTTCCAACACTCACAATTGTAAGTTGTGAAACACATTTTGGAGAAGAAAAAGACCCCGAGTTTATAAGTGATGAGAAAAAGAGAGGGGACAAGTGTAGAAAGTAGAATTTGGATTGTTGTGAAGGATCATGGACATAAATCTGATCTGTACTTAAACATGTCTCACAGACAGGACAAAGTATGGGAGTCAAAGGAAAATGGTCAAGGAAATACATTATTAATTTTTTAATTAAACATAATTAGGAATTTGATTAAGGGTAATGAGTTTTGGAGTTGTGTTGGTGGCCCAACAATCCTTCCACATCATCCTGAGTCAGACAAATCTTCTTTTTTTGCTATCAAAGTGATTGTGTCATCTTAATGGCCCAGTCCTAGAAGAGAAAGTGGGTTGTTCATAGTGGCTTTCTGGGAAGCCTTTTGGACTTCATGACCCAAAGATAAGAAGCCCTCATTGTTGGGCAAAGAGCCCCAAACAAAAACCCTTTTATGCTCTCTCTCTCTCTCTCTAAGTCACCAAGTATATGGAAAGTGCATTTGATTAGGGAAATGATGTGGGGTTATGAGTTCCCTTGATAAGGGATCAACCAACATCATCAAGCTTTCAACTGTTTTTGATTTGTTATGAGTTCATGATTTTAGTCTATAGACTAGAGGTTAGAGCTAGGGTAGCTAGGGATAGTTTAAAGTGCTAATTCAAAGCTTGCTTTTATGACTAGGAATGGGCCATGAGATGGGAGCATTCCCATTTAGGTTGCTAATTGTTGAGATAACTAGGGGTGGGCCAATATCCCTATATGGGATTGGGATTGGGATTTGGAAGGACTAGCTAGTGTTCAAATTTAAAGAGAACTTAGCATCCTAGCCACAACTAATACTGAGGTTTACATCCTTGATTGTGTTTGTAAGAATTGGTTCTTGCATAAGTTACGTTCATTTTTCAGTTAAAATACTTACATAAATTTTAAATTAACTTAGCGTATCACGGTATCATTTGGGGAGTCTATAGTAGCGTGCCAGAACACAATATTATTGCTACAAAACATATAAATGGAGAATCTCTTACACCACAAAACAAGTACTTAGCTTGTAGAATACATTTTTTGATAATTTAGCTTGTAGAATACATTGATGTATTAAAAAAAACAAGAAGAAGAATGAATTGAAAGATGTGAAAACAAGAAAAGTAGTGTGGATTATGACATTGCATTGCACCATCCATGTAGCTATAGAACCCACATATAAGCTACATTGGTCACATTAAAAACAAATATAGAAACATTACATATATTTGCTTTATGAGCTTTCCAAGGTGCTGTTTCACATTGTTATTATTTAATCCAATGGATTTGATTCTCTCCCCTTTTATGAGATGTTTACTATAAACTCTTTACTTAATCTAATTTTCATAAACTAATCTATAATGCCATCTTTTCCCTCATAGTGGATTAAGGTTAGAGTGCAAAAGGTTAACAAGTGGCAGGACTCAGAATTTACCACTCTATCACTACCTTTGAGTTAGTTTCTTTTCTTTCAAATCCCCCAACTGAAATGATTGAGGGAGAGAAACTCAACTGAAAAATTGGGGAACTTAAAGGTGCAAAGTGAAACTATACAAGAGAAAAGGGATGTTATCAAAGTGACCAGAAGGGAGAGAAAAAAAAGGTCCAAATGATGAGGTGTTTCCAATATTTGAAGGACTAAAAGGTTTGGGAACTAAAATATATATTCCCCATCTTTTTGTTAAATGTGAAAATGAAAGCAGACAATGTGCTTCTTTCTTCCTTTTGATGTCCCTCTTATAAGATGTGTAATAAGATTTAACTTATTTATAGATATGCAAGAGGTTATTATCCTGATGTAGAACTTCCAGTTTTTCTTGACTTAAATACATGTAATTTGGTAAATTTTCAGGGTGTTTCTCAATACTCTTAAGTGTAGGGATTATCAAAAGCAAGTAAAGTTATGACTCGTCTATCAAACAATGGGGCATCTAATATAATAGGACATAGGATATATAAGTTGTTTTCATATTCCTGCGCAGTTAAGAGAAAAAATATGCTCAGTCTGGGGAGAAATCCAAGAGACTCAATAATATGAAATATATCTTCTCATGCCCAGAACAACACTCATTCTCCTATCCATGATATATTTTCAAACATTTCTTACCAACTCAATCGTTGTCTCAATATAACTGGGAAGTGATACTTTCCCTTTGTTCTCTCTTTTTTTGAGTTTCCTTCTCGCAATGCTGAATTATTGTCTGTGGAATTTAGAAGAGAAGAGAAGAAGACTTGGCAGGAAAGTGAGAACAGAGAACAGAGAACACCCTCCCTAATAGAATTTTCTTCCTCTTATCTCTTAAGTTGGTCTGCTGCTTTCGGCCCTTTTTGTCTCTCTCTGCTATCTAATATACTGCAGTGTAATGTAATTGCCGTCTATATGCGCCACAGTGCCAGCCAGCCAGCCCTTTGGACCATTTTTATGCCTTTCTGAAATGGCAAACAGTAGTCTAAAACTTCCCTGTCGCGCCATTTGCTAACCAACCGACGCTTCTCCCTGCCTAGCTTTTGGGGAAGTCAGACTCAGAGTCACCACCCCACCCGCCAGCTTCATCTACCTAGCTGTCTACCATAGAGTGAGCCAGTGGAGTGAGTAAGACATGGTGTTAAAAGCGACGAGCCATTGCTGACTTTTGTGCTCCAACGACAATTGATCAAAAGTTCGACGCTCAACTATATACAACGACACGCGAATAAACGTTTGATTTAGTGATGTTATCACTAATTTGAACTTCGAAGCCTCATATTCGAATCTCTTAAATAACAGTACTTAACTGCAAACTTATATCACTCTAATAAAAATAAAAAAAACTTACATAAGACGAGGTAATAACCTGCATTGACCCCGTTGACGCATAAAATTGCAGCAGGTGACCTCCAAGTTTTGTCTCGCTCCGCCATCACAAAATGTGGTCTGTGGTGAGCATAGTTAGTAACATACGGTGCGGGATAGTTGCGTATAAAGTACATATGGGTAGTTTACTTCGTCTCTAAGCGAATGTTGCGTTTCATAGTACGTTACTACTCATAAATATATATTAATTATTATAAAAATAAAAAATAAATAAACAATAGTACATCTAACAATTTAATTCATTAAATACGGATATTAAAGGTTTTATACGTGTTTAGTACGAGAGCAATCAAATGAACGGAAAAAAAATGAAACGATTTGATAATAATATGAATACAAAAATTTTAAATAAATAAAATACGTACAGGTAAATATACATGTATTAATATAAAAACCTGGATTGGAAATAAAATTAGCCCTAGCCTTAGACTGGTACGGGCTTGGGCTTAAATGAGACTAAAAGGATACTTGGGCCTTTGGGCCTGTACAAATAACCATATTTAAGCAGAATTTGAGAGAGGCCCATATATTTCATTGACCCATAACACTTCAAAATATCCCATTATCCAAACCATAAAAATACCTCATTTTTCTTCGTTAAAGATAGCATTTCACGTTTTTGCCGCCGTCTGCTTCTATTATCTCCACTCTAAGCTCCCCGGCTCCCGTCAATGGCTGCCGGTCTGTCTGCAGCGATGGACGTCTGCTTCAGTACAATTCCCCAATCCGACCCCACTCGAACCACCTTCTTCTTCTCTTCCTCCCCAATCAAGAAGCAATCGTGTTTCACTTTCCCCACAACCCGAACTAGATTCCTCCGCCGCCCCATTTCCTCCACCTCCGCCGCTGCCACCGCCGATGAAGAATCCCCTCGTAACCTCTCGAAACCAAAGAAGAATGGCCCGTCTCTCTCCGACCAGCTCAAGCCGCTCTCCGCCGCCACACTCTCAGCCGCACCCGACCGTCGCCTCCAGTCATCCAACTCGAAATCCACATGGGTCAACCCGGCCAGGCCCAAGAGGTCAGTCCTCTCCCTCCACCGCCACAAGAGATCTGCCTACGCCCACAACCCCAAGGTGAAAGAGCTCCGGCTCTTTGCCCAGAAGCTGAGCGAGTCGGCCCCGTCGGAAGCCGAATTCGCCGCCGCAATCGCGCAGCTGCCTCACCCGCCCACCAGAGAAAACTCGCTCCTAATCCTCAACAGCTTGAAATCATGGCAGCAGAGCTACATGTTCTTCCAGTGGCTGAAAACCCTAGAGGACTCCTTCCCTCTCGAGACCATCTTCTACAATGTGGCAATGAAGTCCCTGCGATTCGGCAAGCAGTTTGAATTGATCGAGCAGCTGGCTAATGAAATGGTGAGCAATGAAATCCCTCTTGATAACATCACTTACTCTACAATCATAACTTGTGCCAAGAGATGCAATCGATTCGATAAGGCGCTGGAATGGTTCGAGAGAATGTACAGGACAGGGTTGATGCCTGATGAAGTGACTTACTCGGCTGTGCTAGACGTGTATGCCAAGTTGGGGAAAGTTGAGGAAGTTCTGAGCTTGTACGAGAGAGGAGTAGCTAGCGGATGGAAGCCCGATTCGATCACGTTTTCGGTGCTTGCCAAGATGTTTGGGGAAGCAGGTGATTACGATGGGATTCGGTATGTTCTTCAGGAGATGAAAGCTCTAGGTGTGCAGCCTAACATGGTAGTGTACAACACCCTTTTGGAAGCAATGGGGAAGGCTGGTAAACCGGGTTTGGCGCGCAGCCTGTTCGAGGAAATGATCGGTTTGGGATTAACCCCGGATGAGAAGACACTAACCGCAATGATCAAGGTCTACGGCAAGGCTCGATGGGCTAAAGATGCAATGGAGCTGTGGGACAGAATGAGGGAGAATGGCTGGCCGATGGACTTTATCTTGTACAACACGTTGCTGAGCATGTGTGCTGACCTGGCATTGGTGGAGGAGGCCGAAAAACTGTTCGAGGATATGAAGAGCTCGAAGGTCTGCAAGCCGGACAGCTGGACTTATACTGCGATGATGAATATATATGGCAGCGGAGGAAATGCTGAGAAAGCTATGGAGTTGTTCGATGAGATGTCGAGTTTGGGTGTTGCGCTCAATGTCATGGGATCCACTTGCTTGATTCAATGCTTAGGGAAAAGTCAAAAGATCGATGATCTCGTTAGAGTGTTTGATGTTGTGATTGGACAGGGGATTAAGCCCGACGATCGGCTATCTGGATGCTTGCTCTCAATTGTAGCTATGTGCGAAAGCAATGATGACACTGCCAAGGTTGTTGATTGTCTAAGATTAGCTAACCCGAAACTGGTGGGGTTTCTGAACTCCATTCAGGATGAGACGACCCGGTTTGAGGATGTTAAGGATGAGTTTAAGGTGTTGATGAGCAGCACTTCAGTTGAGTCAAGGAGGCCGTTCTGCAACTGCTTGATTGATGTATGTCGGAACAGGGAACTTCATACAAGAGCTCACGAGCTGCTCTATCTTGGTACACTATTCGGGTTGTACCCGGATTTACATAACGTGACCCAGGAGGAATGGAGCCTCGACGTCAGGTCCCTGTCGGTTGGAGCAGCATGTACTGCGCTGGAGGAGTGGATAGGGACGCTGGCAAAGTTCGTGAGCAAGAACGAGGAGCTGCCGGAGCTGTTCTCAGCTCAGACGGGGGCTGGCACCCACAAGTTTGCTCAAGGGATGGCGAGCTCGTTCGGAGCTCATGTGGAGAGGATGAGCGCGCCGTTCAGGCAGTGTGAGGAGAGAGGAGCTGGGTGCTTCGTGGCTAGCCGGGAGGATCTGGTGGCGTGGCTCGAGTCAAGGGCATCAGCTCCTTCTGCAGCTGCTGTCACTGCTTGAAGTTTCTGTATCTTGAACATTTGACCTCTCGATGATATGGTCTTGTTTTTGTAATGTTATTATTGTTACTCGAATGAGTTTCGAGGAATTTTGCTGCAGCCTCTACCGAATCCGTAGGAGGTTCGGATTTGGTTCTCTCTTGAATCTTGATTTTCCTACTCAACCCCTTTATTTTCATGTTCGATGTCACGCCAAAGCACCAAAATGTAAACAATTCTATCAATGTGCATGATGAAAACCTAGCTGCAAAGTCAGAGCTCAACTTGACCGTCGATCGCCATATTACAATTAGGCTAACCCTTAAACCGATTCTGGCGAAGCATGCACCAAAAATGGAGATGGCAAGATGGAAAGCCATAGAGAGCTCAAACTTTACCTGCAAATATGCTCCAAAAGTCATCTCTATACCAGCCCACCATTTCGAATTACAGACAAATTTTTGACCTTCTGAACAACACCTTCCCATATTTCAAACCAAAAGGCAAAAGAAAAGTCTCCCCCCTAACCTATAAAGATAGCTAAAAGAAACAAGAATGGACTTGACAAAAACCAAACAAAACTTTTTTTTTTTTTCTCCACCTCCCCCTTCTCCAAACTCTCCCCCATCAATCACAAGATTCCCTCGTCTCTTTTGGTGTTTTCACCCCTTTTCCTTTCTTCAACCAACGGCTAACATATCATTTTGGATTTTGGCCCCCAAACCTATTTAACTGTACATCACCACCTCCCCCAAAAGTAAGAGTTCTCTGTGCCCATGATAGATGGACGACCTCGACCTCTTGTTGTAATCTGTTACTCGGACAGCTGAGAATCGAAAAAATGTTCACTTCGATCTTCAACCAAGTCTGTATGCACAAGGCTGATGCTGGTTTTGAGCTGCGACTGTTAAAGGTACTTTCCCGATGATTTCCAGATTCGTCCTTCGAGGGATACCACCATGACTGTAACGTCGTCATGGTATTTCCGTCGATCTCCTTGTGGGATGTCCAGTAGCTCGTGAAAATCCATCCCTACAGATGCATGCAGATCAACTTAACTAATCAGAACAACAAACTGAAAACAAGAACTTGGGAAATGATATCAAACAAACCTTAAGATTCTTAAACAATAGAGTTATGCAGAAAATGACCGCCAAATGCTGACAAAGTAATCATGGTTGACAAAGCTAAGCAAGGATAGTGGATGACAGAAATACCAACAGCAAATCAGTTCACTATTTGTCTCAGATAAAGATACTCTCAGAGACTTTGCTACACGCATTCTGTACGATCTTCACTAACACATTAGAAAGAAACTGGCAATCAACTATTACTCTTCTGAGGGTATCATAAGTTCTCCAACGAAAGCAGGCCACAATAGCACTAGTATGATGGCATTTTGACAAGTAGCAACCATAAGCCACTGCCAGTTTGGAACTTATTTCTAATTAGACTGGATTGTTGCTTGCTAGCGCCCAGCAGGCTATCCTACAACATCCTCGAGATGTATCAACGACCTTTCATGAACATGCTTAGAGAGAGAGAGAGAGACAACAACTTACCCGCTTTCTTGGCTGCACGGGAAAGAAGTTCCTCTATCAAACTCTGTGCAGGATCTCCCTCTGGAAACTTCTCCATGAAATTTTCAACAATAGAAACCACTTCCTGATTTGTGAGATACTGATATAGGCCATCTGATGATAGAACCAAGAACTGGTCTCTTGGACAGAGATGATGGTGACGAAGAGAAGGGATGCAGGATATATAAGGTGCAGTGCCTATATACTCATTCCGAAACATTTCCAACAATGGAGCATTCAGCTTTGGCTGCCAAAATAAGAAAAAACATCTGTTATTATAGTGTATAAATCCATTATGTCCTAGTATATGACTAAAGTAGATTATTCGGAAAGCAAATGTTAGTTTTCCCCTTAGGAGTGGTCATTGAGGCTGTTCCCCATAATCCACCAATTTTCAACTTGTACATTAGAAGGTTACAAAACCACACTCACAGTATAAGTTCCACATAATCTGTACAGGGAAGCAAAACTTCTAGGTAAAACACTCCTAAGTCTTAAATGATCCATGACAATGAAGAGATCATCTTAATCGGAAGTTAGTTTTGAAACCTGTTTCAGGAATCCAGCTCCAAATGCTCTGGTAACCTTAAGACGACCTTTCACTCTATCATTGACAATGCATTGGCTGTCATCTGGATGTTCATTCTTGATCCTTTGAACTTCCTGCAAGCGTGAACAATCCCACAGTTCATTGATGATGTTCACCCAGATAAAGATGATATTCTAAATATTGAAAGACCTTCAACAAAAATGGTGAACTGCTAAAAGCAATCTACTAAATGGGAATCAAATAATGAAGATTAAGTCTAATCGTCCATATAGAATGGCTAACCGAATCTTCTGATAATGCTCACTGATAGAAAATATTTTCCACGAACTAGCATTTTAGGACTCAAGGAATCATTGAATCATTGGAATAAGAAACCAATTCGAATGTCATTCATTAAACATCATTGTGAATAAAAGCTCAATTATATGTACGATTCATATCAGCATCTCTTCAAACTTGTCCTTCTGGAGGATTAGCATGCTGGATGTAGCATTGTCATCTGTCAGGGTGGAAGCCCTTCTAAACAACGGATGTCAGTAAGCTTGAAAGTCAAACACATTGCAATAAAAAAATATGAAGTCCATACTGCTGAAGGTACTATGGATAATGGATCCTCTACCATGAGATTAAACCCACTCATTGAGTAGCACTATTTACTAAATTCAGAGGGTAAACATACACTTTGTTGGTTTTCCTGCCATCAAATAAGTGCATAAGCAGAAAAGACAGGCAGCTATAACCTATATCATAACGCGGACCAAAAGGCAGGTGCCGTTATCGTAATGCAGACAAGAAGAACACAAAATTCAAGCAATCATCTACCATCTCATAGAGGTAGAAAGGATAGATAACACTGTTAAATGCAAACTAGCATTGATGTGGCATATGGACATATAAATGTAAGCCTGTAACTACCTCAAATTTCTAAACCAGTGCCCTATGATTCACAAGGTACTACAAGTTAGGGTAAAAGACTGCATGCAACTGATTGAGTGGTTGTAAAAGTCGGCAGAAACATCTAGTAGATTCCTACTAGTTGCTTGTGAAAAGAGAGACAAAAATGAAGGTATTGCTTCTAACAAGGTTATTCCACTAGAAGAAGCAAAGTTTCTACTAGAGCAATATGATACCTACCAACAGAAGCTGAGACTAAATGAATAAAATTTGGAACTCTGGGCACAGAAATTCAGTAAATAGACTTGTGAACATGACAGAAGACTTACTTCTTCAATACTCGTGCTGTGGTCTGTGGACAGCTGCAATGCAGTCAAGCACATTGCCTGAGCAGGACCATCAACTATCCCTTCGGTGGTCGACCCATTATCACCCGCATTTGAAACAACCTCTTGAGGCTCATACTGTGCCACAATTGCCCTACTATCACCAACATTCATTACATATACATCCTCGTCCCTCATCAGAACCACCAATAAACATGATCCCATCAATGCCAACTCTGGATTTGTACCTAGCACCTTATCAGTCATATCCAAGTATGCAAGCTCTGTCACGTCTAAAGCCCGAGACAATGCCCTCAAAACTAAGTCATGGTCCACTGGCCCTTCTTTCCGCATTTTCTTCAAAACCCGATCCTCCACTCTAGCTATCTCCACTTCTACTTTCTCTTCCTTGCCCGCCAACCCGAATTTCCAAGGAAACAACTTTCTTTCTCTGTGCTTTGACAGCCCTTGTTTCAATTTCGACAGTAGTAGCCACCTGTTGCTCGCTGCTGACCCAGCATTGCCAACACTGATAGCATCATCAACAGAGAAGGCAAATCTTTCTGATCCGGAAAGATCAAGGCCATCCTCCAAATCCTCATTGGCAAGAAACTCCCACAGCTTTCTCCTATAAGGAATCTCCGTGCCGTCTGATTGAAATGTAACCCTTTTTACTCTATCTTGGTGATGCACTGATGAATGTTCGATTCCACCATTCATACCATCACTCTCTTTTACAACACATATTTCAGTTGATGAGTTAGCTTGAGCTGCATTGCTTGATCCAGTTTCACAATCTAGATCATTACAATTAGCCCTAGCAACAACATTATCTTGACCATGAGATACTAAACTAGATTCACAACTACCATTTACACCCACACCACCATCCTTACCAGTCTCCTCCGTCGATTGGTTCGTTTCATTCTGCTCTGGAATTCCAGATTCTGCAGGAGTAGCAGCAGCCACCACAGCATCTCCGGACTCCTCAACATCCCAAAACAATCCTTGCAGCTCGTGATACACAGCTCGGTAAAGATTCCCCATCAAGAATTCAGGAGCATCAGGGCCGTTAAACCCATCGTATATCCCAACAAACAACCATCCTTGCTCCTCCGATACAACTACATGCACTCGGTCTTCTCCGGCCTTCCCTAGAGCCCACTGTACACTGTTCTCGTACTTGCCATCTCGCTCTTCTCCACCGGCAGAATTCTCTCTCCGGTTCACGAAATTCAGCACGGGAACCACCCACGGCAACTTCTTCTCCGATAGGTTGCGATAAATTGCCTTCTTCAGCCTTGGAATGCCCCTCCGCCTCCTCTTCTTGACATACATCCCGCCAAGAGGGGCCGAGAAGTGCACCCCGCCGGCGCTCTCTCCACCGCCGGAGTTAGCGTCAAGCGGCCCGGACAATGCGCCCCGCTCGATCGGACCGGACTGGAAGAACCCTTCCCCGCCACGTGGCACGGGCTGCAGCGGAACAGCGGCAAAGGACGCTGTGCTCTCGAAGCCATTGGCGCTAAAGACTCCGCTGGAGCTGTTGCTGATGCTGTTCTTGACTCCACCGCCGCCGTCAGCGTCGTCGTCGTAGATTCCGTCGAGCTGGACCACTGTCCTGGGAGTGGAAGTGTTGGCGCTGACTGAAGCACCAGAAATGGTCCTGAACGCGGTCGCCCCGCCGCTGCCGCCGCCTGCTGCTGCGGCGGAGGGAGCGGCTGATTCGGGTCCGGCTCGGCTCGGGGAGAATCGCAGGGAGCTGGAAGGAGAGACGAAGCGATCGGAAGGGGTCGGAGAGAGGAAACGGTTGGAAGATCGGACGTAGCAGAAGGAGTGGCCTAGGGTTTCGTCCAAGGGCTGGTCGGCGGTGAAGATCAGGTCCGGCTGGTGGTCGTGGTGGCTCCGGTGGTTGGCGGCTGCCGGCTTGAGACAGGGGAAGAGGGAGGAGAGACCACTTCCCATCACATTTGATTTGCCAATCGCCACCTTTCTTTTCCTCTTCTGTTTGGACGCCGAGAAAAGCAGAGGGAAAGAAAGAAGAAGAAGAAGAAGAAGAAGAAGAAGGAGAGAGGGAAAACGCAGGAAATCAGACAAACAAACAAAAAAATAAAAGCAAATCTGGTTCAAAAATGAAATTCCGGCGAACTCCCAAAAGAAAACAAAAGAAATGCAGGGAGCAAAAAAGAAATATTTATCATCAGAAATTAGGAAAAGGGAAAAAGAAGTTGAGAAGGGAACAGCTGCTGCTATGGTAGCAGTGCCAGTGGCAGCAAGTAAAAGGAGAGTATAGATTTTCTGTATTTAAATATTTGAGATTGAGGAGGGTTACCTACGGTAAAAATTGTTGTGCAATACAACACTTTAATTAATACATTAATACGAGATAATTCAACGGTATTTAAACGAGTATTAAGTATTGATTATCTGGATGTTTGAAGCAGTGGTTTGAAGGCGTGAAATATACAATGTGATTAACATTCATTGGTCTACTTGAAATCTTCTTTTTTTTCTTGTTCAGTGACGACGGTTTTCTTGGTATCTTACTAGCTGTTTATTTGTTTGGTTTTCTTTTCTGGTCAGTAGAAGTTCATTTCTTTTGTTAATATTGGTTTGTTTCGGAGGTCCGGCTGCATGAACATTCAAAATTTACAAGTCTGCTTGGAGTCTTCGGCTGTTACTGGCCGTTTTCGTATCAGTTTCAAAGATAATAATTGGTTTGACCGGGGTCCATTAGATACGCCTGAAATCTGTCGGTCTTCTGATTGGTCGTCTTTCCGAATTGTACTACGCGTCGGTTTGTTTGCCCCTCTTCTTAGTCGTGGATTGTCCCTTATTCTTTTAGTTATTGAACTTCTTTTTTTCTTTGCACTCATTCCAAAAGATCGTTTTGCTTTGCGTAGTATTTGTCAATTCGACGTTTTCAATCATGTTTGGCTTACAAGTCTAATTTGGTAAGAAAGTGTTTGAACCATGCAGGCAAAGGTTGGCAGGCAGTCCTTTGCACAGCCGAGACATGAAGTGCACTCCTTCATAAAATACTGATTAAGTTTGGTAACAGAGATTAACAAGAAATGCTAATCACAAATATAACACACAAGTCTTTGTCCATGAGGTTGCCAATGAAAAATCAACAGCAAATCATCATTATACAAATCGGTTTTGATGTTGATATCGCTTTGTTTATCTATACACACTTTTGAAGTTGAATATTGTTTTAAAAAAAAAAACAGGGATGACAAGTTGGGTTGTCATTTGATCCACTATCCTAACAGATTCCCTAAAATTAAAGAACAAACTATTTGATCCTCAATCTAACCCTTGTTTTTTCTAGATAAATAATATCGCCATTAAAAGGATTGCTTCTATATGTTATGACACGATTGAAGTATTAATATTACATGAATGATTGAAGTATTTTTAATAAGATTTTTTTTTTTTGTATTTCTTATGATATTTACATAAATAACACAAATGGAATACTTAGTACATGAATAATTCATTCGTCTGTTATAAATATTCCACGTATGTTATGTGATATGTGGATATCCATTCATAACTATTTTTGAAAAAATAAAATTTTCCTTGTTGTAAAGGAAAATGAAAGTTGTTAGAAGTTCATAATAAATATGAACTGTATATGGTTGTTGGTTGGAAATCGTCATGGTTGGTTGTTGACTTCTTATGGATATGTAATAAATAGATTCGTCAATGGAGTAATTCTGTGGATTACATACTCTTAATTAAACTTGTAAAATTTGGGCCACCAACAAATCATTTTCGTTCCATTTTGGGAAACAATTGTATTGATCTCGAATTGTTTCATGCTAAGAGAAAAAATAGACATTTTAATTTCCACCAACAAAGTTGACTATTAACATTCATTAAAAGATATCCACTAAGTGGGTCTAAAGTACGTTGCATAACTCTCGATTATAAATTTGTGCATAACGAGATCTCACTACACTTAATGTTAAAAGGGGTCACATATAAGAGATGATATTAACATGTTTTTTTATACTTTTGAATTGATCTGTATCTTATTTGATTTTACTCGAGTTTTAAAAAAATATGTACATATGAAACTTTTTCAATATAATTTACGAAATTATATCTATTTTCAATATATACGTGGAAAGAATGTTACTCAAAATTGTAAAAAATAGGAGCATATGGGATCAAATCGATGGTGTGCGTTTTCTGAACATCGAGATTCTCGTATTGTACGAAAAAATTGTAAGGCGGAGCAGTGGCGGATCAATAGAGCTTTGGGACACCCCTAAAATTTGAGAACATGATTATTCAACCTCCGATAATAGTTTAAATATCGATAAAAATATTTAAATGGTAGCGGGCGGGACACCGATACAAATTTGCAAAAATGATTATCCAAATCCCAATAGTAGTTTGCGTATGAGTAAATAAAAATATTTAAATGTTAGTATATGTGATTTGAACTTGGGTCATTGTTACTATAAGTAGACATATTTTTCATTAGACTACAACTCATTTGTTCTTATATTTTAAATACAAATATAATAATAAAAAGATATTTCTTATCTCCAATTATTTTTAAAAGCTAACGATTAAACCAAATCAAGGACTCCTCTAGTCTCCTTGTCTAGCAGGATCTATCGAGAGTTGTTAGGCAACGATTGTATTTTACAATTTTTCCAAAATACGAACACTTCATGTGCTTTGTTGTATGTCGTACAAATCAGATATTTTTTATTTAATTATTAATTTAATTTTTAGGAGAAGACACCACTATGTAAAATTTCTGGATCCGCCACTGCGGCGGTGAAGGACTAAAGAGAATGGCATGAGAGAGTTTGGGGTGATTTTGGAAAAGTACCAAAGTGTGAGGACTAAGGAGTATGGGCCAGGAAAGAAAGTCGAAAGACAAAGCAGAAAGCGAGGGTTTGACCTTGGTAACCTAACCCCGAAACCAAAGTGAAAAAACTCAAAAAAGACAGAAGCAGATATATTTAACTTTTATGTGAATTGGTAATAATTGGTTAAGTACTACATCAACAAACACTAAAGTTTGGGCGACTAATAAATTGATAATTAGATGTTGATTTTTCAAGGAAACTTGTCATCCAAGTTTAAACTAATTTGGTTTGACATAATAGTGGCTCTATTTTTTTTATAGAACAATAGTGGCTCTATTAATCCAAGTAAATAGCTAAAATTTACCACACAAAGGGGTGGATGAGATTGGATTGGTTTTTGGTAATGTGGGTTGGTGATGTTAGGTCGAGCAATGAGTTTGTTTTTGTAAAATGTTTTGTCCACCTCTTTTTTTAATTTGATAATATGTTGAAAATTATGTCAAATTCAGTTTATAACAAACTTCACTTGTATTGTATGTAATAAGTACATTCTATAGTCTAGACAACTAATAAGGCGATCTCTTAGGTAGTAAGAAAAAGGTATAGGCCTCTTATTTTTACTTCCCTTCTTCTAACACAATTGAACTCTAAAATTTCATCGACTTCATTGCAATTCAGGTTCCGTTTCCCGTTAAGAATTCTTACGATACACATACATTTTATGTATTTGTTTTATAACAAGTAAATCATGAAAGACATGGCTATCAACCATGAGCCAACCCCGCTCATTGTGGATTTGGACCAATATTCTAAAATTCACCCAAAAAATAATAGTATTCCTTAAAATTCATACTATTAATACATGCATTTGTTAAAATACTATAAAGCATAGGTTTGAAAGTTGCGATTGTTTTAGTGAGATTGTTAGTATACATGTATTATTTAGAAGACATCGTTATTTTATTTTATTTAGCAGAAAGAATACACGAAATATTTCTGTGATGTGACAGAAACTATAACTCAAAATAACTGATTGATATATCTCAACTTTTGGTGGCGATTGTAACTATTAAATATACTGTTTTTTGCCTTTTCGATTCTCAGTTAGACATTGCACGAATTCCCTCGTCCCCTCCTCTTGCTAGCCTCCAAAACGTCCCAAAATATTGAATACTTAATGTAAGATAGAAATAGATTATTGTTCACATGAAGATGTATGCACTATGCACACTGACCTAGTTCTTGATTATGATAACCATTAATTAAAAAAACAATACATGTTTCCATCGAAATGAACAGTTAGTAGGCTAATACATGCATATATAAGTTTTCCATCGATTACGAGGTAGATAATTGAATCTTAATTGACCCCTCAACGGATATCGAAAAATCCAACTACAAGGTCAAAGGAAAAACCAAAGTCACATTTGATTTCTACCTAGCCACCTCATAAGTCTTTGTTGTGAACAAGTTGATAAGATATCTTCTTATTTTATTTATTTATTTATATGCCAATGATGTTGATAGAAAAGGGTGACTAGCAAAATCTTTCCACAAATTGGTGTACCATACAAGATTTCAAATTTGAACTTTTTGCTCAATCTTTGTATGAACGTTATATGAAAGTGTTCCCAAATGGCAACAAGTTGAGTACGAATGTAGGATTCATTGTGCTAGGATCATTGCGTTACTAGGATGTTGTCGTATTTCGCTTGAAGTTCGCTATGTTACTGAAATGTAACCGGGTTCCACGCCAGCAAAATACACAACATACCGGCACTAGAGCGAATGACCAGAACACATTTAAGAAAAAGAAGAAGCAGCAAGCATAGTTTGGGTCATGATAGTTACTTATTATTCCTCCCAACATCTAAACTATACTCAACTCACTCACAATTATTCACGCGACAAACAATTCAGAATGATATATTTGAATGGTCAATTTGCTTTGGATGCGTAGCCACACTCAATCTAAATATCTCAACTCTTAATAAAATAATTTTCAGCAGAACGAATGAGACAACATCGTAACAATCTTATTTCAACGAGAAGGATGACGCATTGCCAAATCAAACTCATGGACTAACAATTTTTACACAACGACTACTTGAGGGTTTTGAAATTGGGTTG